TTCAGTAATTCTCTTTTCATTCACAGTTTCTCCAGAACCTATGTTTTTGTTTCTATGAAATACGACCTATTTTCTGTATATCCACATTTCCATAGACTCAGTTTAATTTTCCATTGCTTTTTCACTGCCCAAGTTTCTTCACCACACAGCAAGGCTGATTATACATAACATTTGATGATTCTCATTTATATTGTGTTGTTATATCTCTCTGGCTGTCAATAATTTGTGCATCTTATTGAAAACAGATTTAACCATTCCTGTTCTATTTTTTTTTTAGTTCTGTTTCACTTCTGCCGTCATCTTTTATTACATCTCCTAGCTAGGAGAAACTTGTTGCTCGTCGCTAGCCCTATAATAGTGAACGTGACATAACTTGAAGAAAAATAAATCCGTCAGCTAAATATAAAAACTAATCTATGTCTCCTATTAAGACAAGCACAATAGGTTCACACTTTATGAAGACAACTACTCCTACTTAACTGCTACTCTTTTTATCTTAATCTATCCTAGATTCACTCATTTAATAATTTAGTGAAAGTTAAAATTAAACTCGAGAGGACCAGCTTCATTGCCCTGAGTTTTATGTATATGGCTTTGTCTCTTTATCTGCAGAGCAGCTTATTACCTGCACAGTGTGTCGTACACGGCATGAACTCAATAGCTCTGGCAGTGATTTCCCTTGGGATTGCCGTAAAAATTGCATTCTTGAACTGAACGATGCAGCTGTGAATCAAACCCACAACATAAGGCGTATGGCTTAACCACTTCACCATGGAGACCCCTGTTACTTCTTCTAGTATCTCTCTGTTGACACTTCCACCTTTGCTCTGGAGTTCGAGCATCTATTGGTATGCTTGGTGTCCTATGATGTCAAATTTCCTTCCCCCCCCCCTTCCCCAAAAGTAATACACTGCAGCCAGCCTCCATTGTGGAGAGGTTAACAAAAAAACAAAACAAAAATTGCATAATTTTGGCAGATTAACTTCTTCACATACCACATCATTTATGGTTGTTATTTTTTTTTAATGACATAAATGTTAATATTATTTTATTACTTGGGATGTCTTACATGTGTAAATTAACTACTAAAATATTGACTGACTGACTGACTTTCTACCCCACCAGGACATCACACAAGCGATAAACACCCGATGACACAAAGTGCCACCATGCAGATGAGGATCACCGTGGAGAGGTCCCAGAAACCGCGTTCGGACAATTGGCCATATTTATGGCCTGCCTATATTGCGGCCCCTGGCAAAAGCCAGAGCGGGGCTTCAAATAACAAAAAAATTACGTCCTAAGAAGGACATTAGGAATGATGATTACTGCACAATAAGGTTAAAACTTTAGTAAAGTGGCACTGGTAATTCAGTTTTTAGTACAAAAATCTTGGCTTCTACAGGATGATTTTGTTGTTGTTACTGCCACAGTGCTACATACTGTACATTTAGTATAGAATAAGATAAGAAGAATACAAATATGCACAATGTAGTTATATTTTTTATAGACCAAAACATGGTAAATTATAATAAGAAACAGTAATTGTTACACAACTAACATTTTCGGGCCCAGAAAGAGAGTGACTTCCCTTCCCATTAATAAATTGCTGTGTTGCAGGGCTTGTGCTATGTTGTGCGGTGTCAAGCTTAGTGACCTGTCAACAACACTCAGCATTTTACTAGTTGTTGTCACAGGCTGGCGATATCACATTCTATATTACATGGTGCGAGTGCTTTAAACCGTCCCGACATCTCTGTTGTCGACATCTCTGCTCTCTTGTTTCATTAATGATCCTACCGCCTCACATGCGTTGTCACCCAAGACAGCTTGTTCTTGAAGTAGTCCAGCTCTCTAGGCCTAACTCTGCCAATTGGACTTCTGTTCCTTTGAATGCACTATCGACTGTCCTCTAGACCAGTCTCTCATGAGTGCTTCCGCCTCGAAGGTTCTCAACTCAACTGTTTTCTTGACATGTTCTAGCAGACCTCTCTGTCTGTGTCTTTAAACTGAACTCAACCCCACTATATACATATGGCTGTCTCTTGTGAGCCTCCGCGCACACGAGGCACCCACTGTTATGCTTGATTCTCCTTCACTGAGAACCCCATAATTTTCCGTGTGATAGCTAATTAATCTGCACTGGGCTGATAACTTTGTGAATCCACTGGTCCATCCAGCCTTAAGTCAACACCCGCTTGTATTAATATTGACTCAAGCCCAACTGATATCTGCTGGCTTAACATTGCATTATTATTGACTCAGGACACTGTGTATTTCAGTGGACACCCAAAAAACGCAATTTACACGACAATGTCCCTAACAATATTCCAACACTTCCAAATAGGTCAGTTCTGCGGCTATCCTCCGACAAACGGTCGGCAAAGATTGCGGCGGCAAAATATCCAGCTGAGCCACGGAAAAACTAGGATTAGTGTCTGTTGGCAATTTCGAGAAACGGAACAAACCGCCGAGTTAAGCTCACCGCCGAGAGTCTTCCCCGCGCTGCTACATGCGGCGTGGATGGGGCTAAACTAGATGGCTAGGACCCACGAGCAGCAGCTTCCGCATCTCCTGCAGCTTTGCTTGTGAGTCCTAGCCATCTAGTTTTGCCCCAATCCATGCCACCTGAGCGGCATGGGCGCTACTCTCGGCGGTGGCAGTAGTCGCTGGAAAACCGCAAATTAAGTCGCTGGAAGTTTGAAATTGACACGTGAGTGAGGCCCTGTTTTTGGTCGACATCTTTTGTACCCGTTAATCGGAGGAAAGCCGGTCTGTGGATGCTACTTAAAAGAAAGGTGCGATAACAATGCAGTACGAGCCGTGCCTTGTTTCGATCATACTTAGCCGAGTTTCAATGGCGTAATAGCCACAAACAGCAGATTTTCGGGCACTATTTACAACTTCTGTGCCACAATTTGCAGATATAAAGGTATACAATTATCGGTAAGTAGTCGATTTCATATGACATTTTTCGTTCCTCATTAGTTTTCGTTCCTTATTAGTTTCCACTTCACTTTTTAACTGTTTACAACACATGACCCGTGACCGCGGCTCGGCTGGATATTTTGCCGCCGCCATCTTTGCCGACCGTTAGTCGGAGGATAGCCAGTTCTGCATTTCTGGGACTTGTAATATAGAACACGCGATGTCACCGGCCGGTGACAACAACTTGTAAAATGCTGCATCTTGTTGGCAGGTCACTAAACGTGACACCACCCCTTCCCCCCCTCCCCCCCCTGCAATATAGCACAATCCCTGCGACATGCCATTTAATGAATAGGAAGGGAAGTCACTCTCTTTCTGGGCCCAATGTGAATTTTTTTTTTATTATTATAGTAATTCATTTTTGAAAGTTCTAGAGCAGATGTTATGTTACCTTCACTTGTTTTGTGTGATCTGTTAGCTGAGGGTCACACTGTTCATATTGAATTGATACAGGTGATTAGTGATTAGAAAGGATTATCATCACAGCACTCCAGACAGGTCCATAGGTGCTCCGATCTCCTCCTCAAAAGCTCCACAAGTGTAAAATGGCTGATGATACCTGTTCTGTGTTGGTTAATGAAGCGTCTTGTCCCCTTAGTGAAATGTTCATTTCTTGCAGCTCCAGGCTGCACCCCCATGTCCATCAGTCTAGACAGGGATACGGAGTCATGTCCTATGGCATGCTCCTCGGTACGGTAAGTGCAGCGCATGGCATTGATAACATCACTTCTGTCCAGTACTAGACCAGACCTAGCAACCACAGTGTCAGCAAGATAGTCTGCACGCTCGTTCCCTTGAACACTTGCATAGCCTGGCACAAAGATGAAGGTTAGGGCAGCTGTTCCTGAAGGGCTTAGTGTTGCAATCCATTCTTGTCTGATAAATCCAGGTTGGATTTTTTAAAGCATATTCATCTAGTCATTAAGAATGCATATGTGTGCGAACTTTTGAGTACCAAGCTATGCTAATGCCCTAGTTACAGCCATTGTTTCCATTGCAAGGCTACTAGTTGTAACAGCAAAAGTGCCATCATCTCCTTGATGGTTTCTCCCTTGAGCTTACTATGAATGCCCATGCACTACACTTGCCTCATATTACTGACCCATCTATGTAAACTATAGTGTCACCTTCATCTGTGTTTTCATCAATCTGAGTACTGACTAAAGTGTCAACAATGACAGGAATCTGCTCACGACAGCTTCCATCAAGTGTGATGTGGACTGTAATATTAATGTTTGGAGAAGGAGGCATAATTATTCATTCAATTCCAAAATTAATGTCAGTAAGGTGGCAAACATGTTTGATGGCATCTCCAGTCTGTTCATCTTTGTGGTGCTGAATGTTATGATAGCCAAGGCATATTCAATGTTGGAGAGAACTAACGCACGATACAATATTACAAGTAGCCATTGCTCAGAGTTTGCAGCTCCCATAACTTTTATTGCAGGGAGATCTTTCTTAGCTTTGGTTATAATGTGGACTACTTGTTTTTTAAATGCTAAGCATCTGTCAAATGTTATATCCAGGTAATAAGTACAGGTGTTTGTAGGCTAATGGTACATTCAGGCTGAGATACAAATTGCCAGCAAATCATAAAAATGGTTAACCTATGCAAATTAATATGTATAATTTTTCTGTTGTTAATTTAAAAAAAAATTTTTAATTAGCTAAAATAAATAAATTCAAAAGCAGTATCTCACTTAATGTGAATTATTATCTTTGTTTTTCAGTGTGATAAAACTTGTCAGTAAAAAGCTATTCCTGTCCAAAGGATTTGATTAAAAAAGAAATTTTTTTAGACATCTTCCATTGCTCTAGATGCTCTAGTGATGCCATTGGAGAGGCAATTCATAATTAATGTCAGAGCAAGAAAAAAAAACAAATATGGAATCCAAAAAAAAAGTATTATCAAGTAGTTAAATGTAAACATATTTTTTGCAACAAAAGAGAAAAAAAAAGGTTATAATTAAAATTTTGATTATTTTTTAACTAACCTTATATTTTCTTTCCAGAAATCAGGAGTTGGAGACAGGGTGATCCGTAGAAATTCTCTAACCACTTTACACCCATTACCTAAAGTTAAAGCTCGGTCTTCACCACTTTTGGAAAGACAGAAGACAGTTCCTCATGGATTTAATGTAAGAGAGTCAATTAAATGTTTAAACAGAGGTCTGTCTGTTATATTATAAATCTCAGTCATGTAGGTTCCAGGGCCCCAAAGAGAATAGACCCACTGTCCCCCACCCCCTTTTCAACAACATGTTGTTAATGCCGAATAATTAGGAATGTTTCCTTCAAAGTCAGCATGCATCTGCCTGAGAGGTGAGGAACCAACAGTCAGCATACAAATAAATAGATTTGTAAAACAGATGTGCACACAGAACTCAAGTTCTGGAACAAGACTAGAGTCCAGAAGGGGACAAACAGCCAGAACATTCTGCTTGTGTTTACAGTTGGTGAACACTCAAACAGAAAGTTCTTGGTCATCCATCTCTGGATTCCAGTCCCATTGCAGAACCGTATTGCTATGTGCACATCTTCTTTACAGATCTGACTCACTTGTTTGCAGACTGTTGGGTCCATGCCTATTAGGTAACCACACTTCGAAGGAAGCTCCCAGTTAGTAGACTTTTACAACATGCTTTTTGTGGATCTATTCCTGTATTCCCCACAATGGGGGCCTAGAACCCACGTGGGGAAGAAGATATTGTTATTCTTGTAATTCTGCTTGGCAAACAAACATGTTTAACCATAAAGAACTTTCAAGATTTCCTTAGACACCCTTTTCTGTATTTTAGTTTCAGTAAAATTCAGGTGATGTTTGTGGCTAAGTAGTTAGGCGTTTGCTTCTGACTTTTGAAGGTTACTTGTTTGTTTTATGAATTATGCCATTTGGTGCACAGGTAAAAATCATTGCTACAGCTACAGAGTTCATCCTTTGTGTGACTCTCCTGTAGGTGACTAGCAATTCTTTTGAGAGAGACCTACCCATATAAGATAAAACCTGATCAGTGAACTGGCTGCTTTTGACTTTAAACCTCCCTGCTGGGTTCCGGGGCTACAATTGAGAGAACTAAGAATAGGCCTACTGCTTCCCTAACAAGTATGTTGTAGAAGGACTAATTACTTTATTCCTACAACATCAAAGTGCATCTGCCTGAGAGACAAAGAACCAAAATTGTGTACACAAATAAGCCAAATCTGGTAAACAGATATGCACACAAAACTCAGGTTCTGAATCAAGACCAAAGCTGAGGAGTTGATTAACAACCACAGTTTTCCAGTTTGAGTTTACAGCCGATAAATGCTAAAAAGATGACTTTAAACCTTTCTTGTTTATTTTCGGTGAATAATTAACAATATTCACTAAATGGCTGATTATATTGCTACTTTCTAAATTATTATTAGACTGACATATATTTTTTTACATATTCATTTTGAGGTAATTACTTCTAAGATGGTATTTTGGTTGACTGGTTTTTGAATCCTCTGGAAGACTGAATTTGAACTCGTCAAATGTATTAACAATTTGATATCCAAACTTAATGGTAACCAAATTATGAGTGGCTTATTGTCATATGTAAAGGATCCTTTTCTACGCTTTTGGATATACTGGGCGTATTGGGCTAGACCTGTATTTTTACAGACCTGTCGGCACCCGGTCACCATCATGCCAGCCACCTTTACTTCCCAGGACAATACCTGGTACCCACTCAAGCCTGCGTTGAGCTAGAAGTCAATGTCATTTTGGAATTTAATGGGGATGACCCAAGCACTGAGTGAACGCAGAGACACCAAGATGCTTTTACAAGCAAGAAAGTTTCTTAGTATGCCCAGTCATCCCATGAATGAAAGATTCCAAAATGTGGCTTTGGGACGACTAAAGAGAAGTAGTTTTATCCACCAGGCCAAACGGCTCGGCAGACAAACCACTGATTTGCCTGCAACTGATAGATCCTTAAATGCTGTCCCAGAACGGACCCCCTGGAGAGAGGAGTATAAGTTTCCAATACACATCAAGACTGAAGTGAAAGGGGTATTTGACAAGGAAGAACAAAACAGTGTGCAGCGCAAAACAGCCACCCTCAGTCTACTTGATGATGAATACCCACATAATCTTTGGGTCCGTGTTTACACAGATGGGTCAGCAGAAAGCGCAGTCAGAAACGGAGGTGCAGGAATGTACATTGAGTATCCTAATAATACCAGGGATACAGCCAAAATACCAACAGGAAAGCACTGTCACAACTATGATGCAGAAGTTCAAGCCATCAAGATAGCGGCAGAGAAACTACTAAATACAGGGTATTTTTCACAACCAGTAGTATTCCTGACAGATGCAAAAGCGGTACTTCAGTCACTCTAGTCTGGAAAATTACCAAGCATACGGACACTATTATCCAAACTAGGCAACCGTTGTAATTTAGTAATGCAGTGGTTACCTTCCCACTGTGGAGTTCCCGGAAACGAAAGAGCTGATAAACTAGCTAAGGAAGGTGCAACTGAAGAACAACCTGACATACCAGTCTCTTATCAACAGAAGAAGAGAATGATCAAATCAATCAGAATGCCACCGAAACTGGCACAAGATGATTACCATATTATGGACAGACCAGAGCAAGTCATTATCCTTCGCCTTAGAACAGGGCACAATCGACTTCGCTGCCACATGTACAACAAATTTAAGATTGGCCAATCAGCCATGTGTATTTGTGGACTGGCACCTGAAACAACAGATCACATCCTTCAAGACTGTCCCAGATTCAACGCTTTCAGGCAAAACCTTTGGCCAAAAAAGACACTTGTGGAAGTCAAACTTTACGGGCCGCTTAGTGAATTATAAAAGACAGTGAAATTCATACTAGAGACAGCATTGCAGATATAGATAATTTATTTCATGCAAACGAAAGAAGAAGAAGATGATTTTTGAATTTAAAAAACAATTAATACGGCTCCATCAGAACCTGAAACCATGACTTTCCGATCTGAGATGATAGATGTCTTCATTTCTTGAAGTGGAGTATCTAAATATCAGTATTGAATTCCATCTACAATTGTAGTTTATCTGTTAGATAGTGTGTTATGTGTTCACTTGAAAATATTAACTGTTGCCCAATTGGTAATGTTATGAAATAGTATTTTGTTTGTGTGTGTTTTTTGTTTTTGTTTAGTTAAATGTCAGAAAATGCTCATTAATTTCTCAGAAAATGTGCACATTTCTACATTAGAAAATGTAGGAAACTGTTTAGAAAACTATCAAACATCATAATGAAGATGATATTCTAAAGTTTATTTAAAACTATTCCTGACAGGAGAAAGGCCTGATGACTTACTTTGAAGAAACATGGGTTGCCGAAAGAGATCAACGGAGACATTCAATAGAGAGGGAGATTGAAATCAACGAGTCTGACCTTTACAAAAGCAGCAGACCACCACCTTTATTTTATGGTAAAATTTACATTTCTTTTGTTATTATTTGTATTATACTGTTATCTGTAGCTTGAGTGTTGTGGACACATTTCATAATTTTGAGGTACGGGGTTTGACTCCGGCTATAGGCGGGTTTGCAGTAGACTGTTCTGCAATGATTTTGACAATGCTATTGAGAGTTGACCATTGAGAAAGCAATGGCAAACTACTGAATGTAAAATTGCCTAATAAAACTAAACAGCCATAACAGGCTTGAGTTGGTTCTGCAACATCATTTAAAAGATGCGTATGTAACTAAGTTTTATTATGGTCTTAGTGTTTGTGGTTTAGGGGTTATAAATGTTGATTCATAACTAAAAAATACCTAATTTTATTTAGCAGCAGATTGCTTCACGTAGAGTTTGACAATGCATTAAAGCCTTGTTCGTTAGTCTAGTAATTACAAACTATTGTACTTAAAATTGGATAGCAAAACCTCAATTAGCCAACAAGTGTTAGGGTTGTTTACAATGTCATGAAGAGAATGTCTCACTTGTACTGCTGTATGCACATGAAGCATGGACAATAAGCAAATTGGGAAACATTTAAAAACAGAGAAAATTTGGTTTTGGAGAGAGATGCACAGAATATCATAGATAGGCTAAAAAGCTAATGTGGAGGTCTTTAAAAAAAAAAAACGAGTAAAATTGTAAACTGAAATAGATGCAGATATACACAATTTCTTGAAGGAATAAATTTTAAAACTTGGTGACAGTCGAATTATTTCATTGGAAAAGAGCAACTGAAAGACCAAGATAAATTTATAGATGGTATGGCTGCATGCGTAATGAGAACAAGAACATATACCTGATCTGAGAATCTGTGATAATATGAGTGTCCAGAAACATTTGTCATAGGACATGATTTTAAATAATGTTGCCAGAAACAATACATTCAACAGTTTATTACCTGGCTTATTTCACTATATCTTGTAAGGTGCTTTTCTACAGTAATATCAACATGTAATGAAGCACACAAATGAGTCCTTTTCACTGAAATACACATATTATGGTCTTTAGCTACACTGCATCTCACCATTGGAAATTCAAAATTAGACTGTGATTACTTTGGGAATTTCAAATTTACCATGGGATCTTTTTGTCTGCACAGTGCTGGATTGTTAATTTTTATGGTCACTGCTTAATTATAAGATATACTGAGGATGATGATGATTATTATAATCTTATGATATCATAGACAATCTAATCATCATTAAATTTCAGCGCTTGATGTCAAAGTTGTCTGCTTTTTGCTAATCTGTTTAATTTCATGTATGTCTATAAAGTTGTGATTTGTCAGTTATTTTATCTTTTGTTTTTACTTTTCTGTCTGTAGTGAAAAAGATTAATTGAAATGTAATATTATTATTACCATTTGTTTTTAAAGCTATTTTCTTATATTTTTAGAAATGTTGGATCATTGCTAATATTTTAGGACAACAAAAAAGCAAAGATTTTAATTGGAAGTTTAGATTTGAAAATAAACAATTTGCATTGATTGCACACTTTTAATTGTTGTATGTAAAGTTGAGTTTGTACATTTGGACAGAACATGTGAAAGCCAGCAAGAGACAATCCCCACCTGATTACTCCAAACTGAATGCTGAGCCCTTATATGTGCACAGAATGCTGGGAAATGTTATGTTAAATGGAAAACTCATCCCAGCCTCTGCCAACTTTTGGTGTTTCATGACACTCAATGCAAATAATCCAGCTTCTGAAGACATTCCATACAATTTTAGGGTAAGTTTTCTGAGTAACATGTAATTTCTTGATATTTTCTTTGTTTATGTCATCATCGTCATCATCATGTGCTGTGCCGGCAAGTGTAGGCTGTCGTGTTTCGCCAACTCACACAATTACTAGAATGCTTGATCAGTTCAGTGTTTTTGTCTCGCCCCATCCATCTGGCCAGGTCATCCAGGTATTTATCTCTTTGCCTTTTGCTCTCTTTCCATCAATCTTGCCAGTAGTTAGCAAATTCTTGAGTTGATTTCTTCTCATAACATGTCCAAAAAAACAGTGACCATGTCTAATTGTTCTTCTCAGAAATCACTTCTCCCCTGCGAGTAAATGTTTTTCATTTTTTTTAATTTTATAGTCCATGTTTCACATGCATATTACAACACATGTTTTATGTAGCACTTTAACACTCTTTTTCTAACTGCAGTTGACATCTTGAGTGAGAATTTGTTTACTAAGGTGACTTTTGCCAGGGTGATTCTTGTTCTGCAAGGCATCTTGCTTCAGATGTTATGATTGTTCCTAAATAGTTCTATCTGCTAACTTGCTGAAGAATTTAGTCATTTACACATATTTCACACTTTTGTATTTCTTTCTTCTTGGTGATGACCATAATTTCTGTTTTCTTACAGTTTAATTCCTAGCCTTGTTTCTCACTGTGAACTATCACTGCATCCCCTAAACACTGTAGATCTTCACTGTCTGCAAAGTTAATGCCTTGTCATCTACATATTTTATATTGTGGATGTTACATTCTCCCATGGTAATTCCCTTCAAATCTTTCAGATAATGTCTAATATTTTCACAATATAGGGCAAAAAGATCCAGAGACATAACACATCTCTGTGGCACCCCTCTATTGACTGGTTGGTACTATCCTACTTCCTACTCCTTTTTTAATTCCTATAGCAGCATGTTGTTTCCAGTATATGTTCTTAATCAGTCTAAGGTCTTTCCCATCAGTGTGTATATTTGTTAGCATTTTTGTCATGTAGACATGTCTTACTCTGTCAAAAGCCTTTGTGTAATCAATAAAGCAGGGATGAAGATCTTTATTTACTTCCATTGAACGTTCTATTATTGTTCTCAGGTGATTTACATCATTTGTTGTACTCTTGCCTTCTAGAAACCCACATTGCTTTTCACCTATTTCTCATTGTAGTTTCTTCCTAATCCTTTGCATGATGATTCTTAGCAAAATCTTTGTGATGTGACTAGTGATGGTAATTGTATGATGCTGATCATATTCTAAGGCCCATGGTTTCTTTGGGATTGCCAAAAACATAGAATTACACAAGTTATTTGGAATATCTCCGGTATCATATATTGTCTTCAATAACCTGGTGACCTGGTCTATTCCGCACTCTTCTAATGCATTGATCATTTCACTTGTGATGTTGTCTGAACCTGGAGTCTTTCCACTTTTCATATGATTTAAGGCATTCTGAACTTCCATCTTCAAAACCCATTATCCCTCTTTGTTATCAAAAACATCAAAATTTTCTTCACAGGAATCACTGTAAAGATCTCATACAGACACTGACCATGCATCCAGTATCTCCTCTCTGGTCACTAGGATGATATCTTCCTTGTTTTTGAGGCAACCCACTGATGGTGGTGATCTTTTTTGTGTGTGTGAGTTCATTAATTCTTTTGTGCATTAATTTGCTATTTTAAATTTGTTGAGTTTCAATTTCCCTGCAATTTTCCTCTTGCATGATTCTTTTGCTTCTTTACAAAGTCTTCTGATTTTTTCCCCTGTATTTTTCAGTTACTTTTTTTTGCTTATTCTCTCTTCCATTAATTTTTTAATGTCTTCAGTCATCAATTATCTACGGCCTGTCAGCTTCAGCTGTGGGATGAAAGCTGGTGTAGCTTGACTGATTGCACTCTTCAGTATTTCCCTTTGATCATTAACATCTTGAAATAGAATTTCTAAATCAGGCAATGTATCAAATCTGTTCTGTATTTCTGCATTGACATTGTCTTGAATATCCCCATTCTTTTGCGCAGACAGATCTAAATGAATGTTTCTTGGCTTATGTTTAGTATTCTTTAACTTTATACATACTTTACCTATAACTAATCTATTTTCACTGTAGCAGTCTGCTCCTGATATAGTTTTTGCAACATTTAAAGCATTTTGAAATGTTTCATTGATGAGGATAAATCAGTCAGATTCTATAATCAGTCTGATTCTTGGTCTTAGTGTCAGGACTTTTCCTCATTCCCAGTCTTCTCAGATGTTGCAGATACCAGGTGTTTCCCACAATCATGTCATGCTCCTTTGCCCATTCTACCAGCTTGTTCCCTCTTTCATTTCGCTGTCCTAATCCATATTTGCCAACTGTGTAACCATCCTGCTGGTTTCCAATTTTAGCATTAAAGTTTCCCATTTTGATACTTACTGTTGAGTTTTTGCACTTTTTAAAAGCATTCTCCAGGTCAATGTAAAATACATCAGTGCTTTCTTCACTGCTTTCGGCTGTTGGAGCGTATATTTGAATGATGTTTATGTCAGACGGTTGCCACTTAATTTTACAGGTAATACTCTATCTGACACTGCAAATTTTCCTTTAATGGATTTTGATCTGTCCAAATCCATAACGATGGCAACTCGTCTTTGATGATTTGTGCTCATAGTCCTAACCTGTGTCAAAAAAGAATAATCTTTTATTAGCAATTATTTTGTTGTTTTTGTTGCAAAGATTGTAATAATTAGCTTTATTTTTTGTGTTTTTTGTTGAAAGATGTATGTCGTTATTTTTTTTTGTTGACAGGATGTCGTTTTATTAAGTTAGTATGCCTATCTGTACATCTTCAGGAATATATTCCATTCTAACATTTACTGAAATATTAAAGTTATATCGTAGTAATATAATATAAAAGATCGTAATAGTGTCTCATAAAGGCAAGTAATTTCAGTTGCTTGCCACAATTAACAGTAAATAGTGTTCATCTTTGTTACTACAAAATTGATTTTCGAATGTTTACTAGGTTTTGATGCGACCATGTGCTCTCATTGTTCCGGATCTTGAATGCATAATGTCATATACACTGCAAAGCTATGGATTCAAGGAGCATAAGTTGTGGTCTAAGAAGCTGACTTTCTTCTTCAAGTACCTTGAAACACAGGTGTCTCTTTTTTTTTTTTTTAGGTGGGAGGGGGGGGGGGGGGGGGGGGGGGGTACTTTTTCTTATTTAGTTGTTAATAATGCCATAGTAATGTGTGCTTGTTTATTGTTCCCATAGAACAGTATTTGTGGATATATGCATAGTGCATGGGTGTATATTTGAGAGCTAGAGAGACAAAGAGAGGGAAAGAGACAAAATTAACTTTCTTAAATGGCTAAGAGGAGAAATATTATAAATTTTTTTAATAGGTTAGGCAAACAGACAACCTATCACAAACATAAGAAAAAAGGCAGTCATCGTAATCTGGTAAAATAATGGTCAGTGACAAACTCTAACATGATGTGACAGTTGGAAGTCTTGTAGAGATGGGGAAAAAAAGGAGAGAGAAGAATCTTACCAGCAATTGTTTATGGCATGGAAAGGTGCTAGCACTCAAACTGTTACATGCTGCTAGAGATTACAAGATGGGGAAAATTCATAATTGTGATGCCTGTCAACATGGCACTTGATGATAATGATGGTAACATGCACACAGGCTCATGTTCACATAAACACATGTATATGATTGGTTGAACCCTTTCCTGTTTTGCCAGAGAGTATTGTTATATTGTGCTATGAAGAGGCATAGAACTCAAAACCCATGGCGATGATGAGTGTGAGTAGCAAGACCGCCTGTGTTAAGAATAGTCTTCCACAGTTAGTGCATGGAATTTCAGGACTTTTGTTGTCAGAATATGAATTTAGCGAGCTTCTCAGATGCGCAGCTCACATCCTTTCTGCTGTCATTTTTATCCTTTGTTCGTATTCCTCTTCTCCCCCCCCCCCCCTTCCCCCAAGGTACACAGCATTTTGTTCCCACAAATTTTCTTCAGTAAAAGTATCATTCATGTCCCCTTTGCACACATCGTATATCATTATATTATTGTAGAGGCCGACCTCAATATCTGTTTCCCATCTGTAATTCACCATAGAGGATGTCCTTGGGGGTAATATATTTTGTTGGCACCTTTCCATCTTCCCAGACGATAGTGTTATACTGTGCTATGAGCAGGCCTGGGGCTCACAGCCCATGGGTATGGCGACTGTGACTAGCAAGACCCGCCGGCATTAAGAAAAGTTTTCCACAGTTAGAGCATGTGATTTCAGGACTGTAGTTGCCATCACATGTATCTAGTGTGCTTCTTTTTAGACACTCAGCGCTCATCCTTTTTGCAGTCATTTTTCCTTCATTCTAATTTCCTCCCTTATTTGCCCCCTGCACACAGCATGGTCCATGACATTTTGTTCCCATGAAGTTGATACGTATTCATTCATTCACTCGTTCATTCATTATCGTGTTGTGCCATTATGTGTCTCATAGGGCTCGCAGTCTATTCCTCCATTACGTTCTGTTCTGTGCAATCAGTTCAATCATGGATGGAATCCAGGCCAGCAGCTTTGGCTCTCTTGTGTTCATGTTAGGGTTTCTTTTGGGTGTCCTCAACTTCTTAATCCCTTTATTTTGCATTTTGATATCTTTTTGGTGATTCTGGGCTTGTTTCTCCTCAGGATGTGTTCAGTGTAGTGCCATCTTCTCTGTCCTATAACTGTTGATACTAGTTCTTGCCCAGACAATTCTCTTATTTCTTCACTCCTTTTAAATTCATCCAGTTTTATTTTCATCATTTTTTTCTCAGACATTTGTTTTCAAATGCATTTAACTTTCTTTCTATGTCTTTAATGGTTCTCCAACTTTTGCTTGCATATGTAAAACTGAAATAACATTAGAATTGCAAATATATAACTTGGTTCCCCATGTGGGTTCTGGGGCCCCATTGTAGGGGAAAACAAGAATAGATCCACTGCCTGCCCAATAGCAGCTTTCTTCAAAGTCGGAGTACATCTCCCTGAGGGGCAGGGAACCAACAGCCTGCAAACAAATAAGTCAGACCTGTGAAACAGATGTACACGCAACACTTAGAACAGGACTGGAGTTCAGAAGTGGATGAACAACCAGAAATTTCCACCAGAGTTTGCAGCTGGTGAACAACAAAGAAGAAGAAGAAGATATAACTTGGTTTTAAAATTATACAATCTAGAGTTCTATATTTTGTTCAAGCAGCTGATACCTTGCCAGTGCATGTCATAATTTCTTTCTTTTTGTTTCCTTCACTATCAAAATTTCTACTAAATAAGTAAATTGATCTGTTACTTTAATTACTTCTGTCTCTAGTGTTAACATCTACTTGATCTTTTGTTGGTGTCTTCAGTATATTTATCGTTTCATAACTTCTCTGTAGTCCTAGTCCAACCCTTGATGCTAACTTTACTAAATCATCTGTTTTCTTTTGCATGTCATTGCTATTTTTACTTAGCAGAACGATATTATCAGCAAGGTCAAGATCTCTCAAGTGTGTTCTCCACCCAGTCAATGCCGTTGTTTCTAACACAACATTTCTTCATCACCCAGTCAGTCATCATCATCATCATCATCAAATGCCTTGCCGACAGGCGTGGGCGATCATGTCTTTCCACAATCTGTGATCAGCAGCTGGGTGTATCAGTTTGTGTGTTGACACCCCTCTATGCAATGACAAAAGGGCGTTAAGAATCTTCTCCCGTTGTCTACCTCTGTCTCTCATTCACAACATGCTCCATTTTCCCTCCTCTCATAACATGACCAAAAAATGATGACTGTCTTTTTTCTGATGTTTGTGATAAGTTGTCTCCGAGCACTCACCTCTTTCAAAACATCTGGGTTGCTTTTCTTAGCTGTCCAAGGAATTCTAAGGATTCTTCTGTAAAACCACATCTCCGATGCCTCAAGATATTGTTCAGCTTGTTTATTAATTGTCCAGGATTCACAGTCGTATGTCACAACTGGCTCTATATAGCATGTGAGAATTATTTTCCTAACCTCCAATTATATGGATTTATTGCATACAATATTCTTCATTTTATAAAATGCAGTCAGTGATTGTCTCAAATAACAAGGGAGATAAAATGCATCCATGTTTCACTCTAGTATCAACTACAAACCAATCACTTAAACCATCGTCTGTTTGCACTACACACTCTGAACCTGCATACATTGCCTTAATAATATTTATTATTTTCATTGGCATACCATAGCATTTCAAATCTTCCCACAGTGATGTTCTACATAAACTATCAAACACCTTCTTAACATCAATAAAATTCAAAATAAAAGGGGTTGTTTTTCAAAAAATTCCTCAGATGCATAAAAATTATACTAACATAATTATGAAAATAATAACAATGTTTGATAAACATAGGTTTATTTTTATCAAACAATTTTATTCTTTTCATAATTCTGTCAGCATAATTTGTATGCATTATTTTCCTACACTATCGTAGCCAGTCGTTTTCACTGTGTAAATACTTTTATTCTTTAGTCTTTGTCTGAACATAGTTCTTTAAAGAAGATTTAATGAGGTAAAGTATTTTCTTCTGTAGATGCTTAAACAGCAACAACACAAATGTTCTCTGAGAGAAATCAAAAGAGTGCTAAGATTGGCTGTTGGTAAAAGAAATGATTCCAACTTCCAATACATGTGTGCAAGCAGTGATCCTGAAACAGGAAGTAAGTTGCTTTCCATGCACAATAGCACAGTATATAAATGGGTGTGTATGTATGCGTGCTTGCATGATTGGGGGTTTCAGTAAATTCAAAAAATTGTTACACAATGTGTAAAATTAAATATATATATATATACACTTTGAGATCTTTATATCCCAATTATACACCTGAGAGTACTTGAATCTCAGGGCAGTGCACGAACTCTGTTGCACCGGCGAGGATCCTGAAATTCTTTGGGTAGGTTTTTAACACTAAATTTTGCCTGGGCAGCCCCTGTTAGGCTATGCTTTTCGATTTCCAACTGCCAAGGGATTTTTCTATGTCCGCAAGAATACACACGGGCATCTGATCTCACTATCCAGAGACCAGGGGAAATTACTAGAAGTCCACGTGGAAAATCCCAGCCTTCATGGGTGCTTGAACCCGGGATCTATAGCACTCAAGGCGGACACCATACCTCGAGACCACTCAGCCCCCCCTTCCCACATCCCCCCCCCCCCCCCCCCCCGATTGTCTTTGTTTTTGTGATATTGTGAAGCTGACTGGTTCTACTTTTTTTTTTTTTTTTTAATATCTTTTCATGATGGTCCTTTTTTAAAATACAAACTATCTAGAAAAAGATTTTGAAAGCACTAGTGTATTTATGAAATTATGATCTAATTATCACATAGATCATTTGTGTGTTAACGTGGTGCATGTGTACATAAGTGTATTGTTCAACAAGAGATACAATTTTAGATAATAAATTTTTTTTTTGGGGTACATATGTAATGTATGCTAAATTTGGTGAAAGAAAATGTAAAAAGGCATGTACATTATTTGCGTCAAGTTTAATGTTATGCTGTAGTAGATTATCTAGTCATTCCCTTGTGGGATGCAATTTTTCGTAATTTTGAAGCCCCACCCTGGCTCTTGCCAGGGGCCGCAATATAGCCCGGCCATAAATATGGCCTAACGGCTGAACGCTCTTTCCAGGACCTCTCCACGGGTGATGCTCATTCGTATGGTGGCACTCTGTGTTATCGGGTGTTTATCACTTGTGTGATGTCCTAGTGGGGTAAAAGTACTACTACTAATTTTGCTGTAGTGAATATAGTGAATAATTTTGTTTTGTAATATTCTTAAAATAATTAAAGTAATGATACTTTCATTTAATAGATAATGTTCATTGGAAAGTCGGAAATACAGAGAAAACTACACAAGAATCAGAAGAACAAGCCTTGGTATTTGCTCTGAAAGAAGTTTTTAAACATCAGTTTGAAAAATTGACAGATGAGACCAGATTTCTTCACATTTTACTTGAAGTATTCCCACATGCAACGAGTCAGCAGGCCAGAACTGAACATACTGCTACAAATAAACAGCTTCTTACGGCCATTACCGAAGTTTTCACAGAAGATCACCTTCAAGTAAATGATGTGATGTTTCACAAGGTGAATTTCAATTCTTTTTCTAATATGAGGCCTTAAATGTAAAAAAAAAAAAAAAATTATCAGTATAGTGTGCCCTGCTGGAGGTGGCTAAACCTCAAATTTACCAAACTCCAGAGTGACTCTAGTAGTTGTTTTGGGTTTGTCCCTTAAAGGTCAGTTAGCTTATTGTGCTGTGGTTTATATATAGGCTGCGATATCTGTGCCTTTCAGTCCAGCACTTTCGATTTCAGCAAACTCTCATTTAGTCATCTTGTATGACATGCTTGTTAGAGGGCAGTGAGTCTATCCCCCACCCTCCCCCATCCCCCCTCCACCTCCAGCCACATACTACCAGTGGGGACTTGGAATCCACATGAGGAGCTCCAGTAGTTTGGACGCCTTCTCCTTGACTTACAACTGAGTTTTGTTCCAGCTAACCAGGCATAAGTCGAATTTATATTTTTCAATACTATTTTAATTTAAACGCAGTTGGGTCAAGTAGACTAGCAGACTCTTATGTTGAGATCCAGCTGAGCACTAGGCATCAGTTCTAGAAACTTGCAAATGTGCGAGCACTGAACTAGAAGTTTATATCTTTATCTAATAGAAAAGTTAGTAGCAAAATATTTAAAAGAAATTCAAAGATGCATAAATAACAGTAACAAGAAGGAAAGAGAGATGACTAGAAATGGTTTGGCAACCTTTCATTGGTATTTTTAATGTTGTGAAGTCACTGAGTGGCAATCTAAGTGGACTGAATCCACTATATTTGATATAAATAATACAATTATTGAACAAAATAACTATAATCTTTTTTAAAACAAAAGGTGCGTCTTTTTAGTTTATTGAGATCATATACTATACAGTGGAACCTCGCTTAACTAGCATAATTTGTTCCAGAATCATACTCGTTAAGCAAAACACTCGTTATGCGAAACAGTTTTTCTCATATAAATTAATGTAAAATACGATAATGTGTTCCATGTCGAAAGAAATACTCACAAAATGCTATGTATAACTTTATTCAAAGGAAATTATATTCATATTGTTAAGGAGAGTGAATCATCTTCATCTTTTTTTTTCAAACACGGAACGAACCCATCTGGAATGCGAATTCGGTTTGCAGAAAAAAAGTTGAAATAATTATGATACATAGCTAATTATTTTATTTTTTTTTTTTTTTGCTAGGAAGATGTCCTGAAACATTTGTTTTTTTCAGACGCTTCAAAATTTTGCACAAATGCGACACAACATTATCTTTAAATAAATTTGCAACGCGCATAGCCACTTCCTTATTAGGGTGATGCTTCTCAATCATGCTTTCAGCATTTCTCTTATTTCGCCAAAAGATTGTTGCTTTTCTGTTACCTCCTCCTCCTCTGACAAACTTTCCTCCAAAGCTTTTTGTAGTGAAACACAATGCAACTCTATAAGCTCTTGGGTGGTCAGCTCTTGGCTGTGCTCTTCCACAAGCTCTTCAATATCACAGTTATCCACCTACAATCCCATGATAGTGGCCAAAGACACAATCTCATTGACTACAGGTTCCACAGGTAATGTCTCGAACCCTCAAAGTCACAAATCGACACCGCTCTCCGGCCTAAGCTTCTTCCAAGCAGAAGTTAGGGTTCTCTTGGTAACCCCTTCCATCGCCTTGTCGATTATCTTGAGGCAGGCAACGATGTGGAAGTGATTTTTCCAAAACTCTTTGAGAGTGAGGTTGGTCCCTTCAGTCACCTGAAAACAATGCTCGAAGAGTGCTTTAGTGTAGAGCTTCTTAAAGTTAGAAATAACTTGTTGGTCCATGGGCTGGAGTAACGGAGTGTTATTGGGAGGCATAAACTGGATCTTGATGAACTTCAATTCTTCATAGAGGTCATCTTGTAGGCCTGGATGATTCATGTACATATATAACAATATAACACAAGTTTGAGAAAATGTGTGATCACAAGCGAGACTACGATGCTACTGGAACGAGTGCTAAACACAGACTGATGTAACATGCGCACAATTCAGGACTTTCCCTCTCCTTGCCACTCGTTATGCAAAACGTCGCTCGTTAAGCAAAACATTTTTTTTTTTACAATTTGTTTTGCTCGTTATGCGAATTACTCGTTGTGAGAAGTGCTCGTTAAGCGAGGTTCTACTGTATTTCCTTCAGCATGTTATTGGAGATCCCTCTTTATATCATAGGTTGCCACTTGCTGTTGGTGAAAACAGGAGAATTTTGTAGGTATGCATGCACTTCTTAACAAACTTGAAAAGTTAAATCATTGCCATGCTTACATGTTTTGCTGACAGTGTATAGCAAAAGAAAGTCCTATAAATACATCTAACCTAACGCCCCTATATCCTACAGATTTTGAAATTTAGATTTTTTTAAAGAAACACCATAAATAGTATATTTTGTGTTGTTTGCATCTCTCTAGCACTTGAGTTACTAATGCTATATAACACAAATAGATGCTACAGATGCACTCTGCTCTGGAGATGCAGGCTGCTGTTATCTTGCTTGGTCCTTCTGGCAGTGGCAAGACCACAGTTTATCACACACTGGCAAGAGCCATCAACATGCTCAACTATAGGCTGCATACACCTGACCATTCTGTTGATGATCTTACAGCAACAGATTTCAAACAATCCAAGCATCATCTAAAGGTAACTAATATGTGACAACATTTTTTATATTGATTTAACTGGAATTCTAGCAAGATTTGTGAATACGTTTCTTTGTGTGTGTCTGTGTGTGTGTGTTTTTTTTTTTGGCATTCTTTTATTTTAAATACATTCTATAATATGCAAAAATGAATTATAGAAGATAAGTATTTTCAGTGTACACAGCTTTATATAAGGATTGCAGAAGCATATTGCGAATAAATCAGGTAGTATCTAAACCATTTATCGTAACATCTGGAGTGAGACAGAGATGTGTCTCTATAGATAGTTCTCTATTCCTTGAGGTTTTGATTAGTGATCCTGTAACAGCTGCAGCTATCAGTATCTGTTTATATGTTCTCTAAATTCTTCTGAAAATGTTTACATTTACTGCCTTTTTTTTTTTTTTTTGCTTCGCTATTTTACTCATTGTTTATGATTCACATCCACACAAACGAACAAGCAGCACACAAGTTTCCAGTAAACAAATTTATTCAAAAGAATGTTTTCCCGTAATGAGATACAGCGAAATATGCCTGGCAATAAATTGTGCAATGTATTGTTTGTATCCGCATTATTTAAACAAATTTATGTTAAACACGTCGTTTGTACACAGGTCCCTAATAAATTTTTTTATTTATTTATGTGCATTTTTATTATGTTTTTAATAAACATATGAAGGAGAGTAATTAATAAAACGCAAACGGAGCAGAAAATTAAGTGAACAGGCCCAACAAATTTTATGCAGTTGCTCATACTGTAACCCTGTTGATATGGAACCGCTAAAGGTTAAAACTAAGTTACCACGCCATAACGACAATAAGCAGCATTTGTTCACACTAAAACACCCCAAAGGCTATTTTTAGTAAATATAATCACATCCTGCCCTCCTAAACACTGTGCATTTGCAAACAGTACTCAAGCTGATATACAGGCATAGTGCAGAGACTGGCTAATGCTGTATTGTCAGAATATTGGTCACTCTGTCAATTGCAATGGATGGCAGTGCCAAAATACTGGCACTTGGGGTAAAAGGGTTATTAGAGAAAATGGGTAAAAGGGTTATTAGAGAAAATATCTGTACTTGTAAATATATTTGAAGCTCTTAACTATGTTAAAATAACAAATTTTGTTTTAAATATTTTGCATTCTTTACCTCCTCTAGGTGTCTTCCTAAATGAATGTCGAACTCGCACATATTAAATTAATGTAATGGTCATAACCTTTTATTTTGTATTATTATAATGGTTGTAACCATTTCATTTTAATCTAATGCAGAGTGCTGTAGATATAGATGAGCTAGCTGAGAATTCTCTGCAGAACTTGGCTGACTATCCCAAAATTGATGTAGCTCATTTGTTTCCATGCGCCATGACACCTTCTGAGGTAATCTTCATCTTGCTAATTATTGTGCACTGAAATTTTGAAAGTGAGATGAAGAAACTTTAGGTTGTCTTTTTATTTATATTTATCTGTTCAGTTTGTGCATCTACAGGGGGAAGTGGTGGGCAACTTAAAGAAAATGCAGTTCTATGCCATAACCTAAGTGTTAGTTCTGCTCATATTTTGGACACAGAATAATATATAATAAGGTGGGGTGGCCAGTTTTCTTTCTTGATGGCTTCCATTTTCATAAAACTCCCAGAAAATGCAGACAGTTATTGAATACCCATGTCATGTTACTGGGCTGAAATCGTAGCTGTACTGCTCAGAAAGAACAAGTCTGCCATTGCTAGAGATTTAACCTTCACATGTGGTGAGTAAGTGATCTAACAACAGTGCCACCATGGCTTCCTCATTTAAGCCAAATTAACCTATAATATATTAAATCCATGGTGAAATGATCAAGCTCTTTGCTTTGCACTCTGAAGGTCATGGGTTTGTTTCACGGCTGTGTCATTTGGTTCATGAGTGCAATTTTTACAGAGACTCCTGTGGATCATAAAAAGAGCTATGGTGTTCATGCTTTGTGTGACACTCTCAGCAGGCAGCTAGCTATTCTGCAGAGGGAGACAGAACCATATGGGATAAAAACCTGGTGCAGTAAAGCCAAACCTCTTGACTTTAACCTTTATATTAGAGTGAATATCAAGTTTCTACTGACAGGAACTATATAAAGAACATTAGTTGCTTGAATATGTGTATATATTTTAAACAAACTTTATCCCTGTTTATATAAGAAATCACTGCCCGAACACATAATTAAGAAATTATGTACAACAAGAAATATTAATCTTATGCAGACACACATCTTTATAATAATCATCATCAGGCTCAGTCTTCATTCAAATATGGATTGAATCCAGTCCAGCACTTTTGGCCTCTCATCAATGTTCTTCACAGGATTTCTTTCTTTAGCAACCCTCACTTACCGCATTCTATGCACCACACACCTCTTGGCTAGTTAGTTAGCAAGAATGACTTTCTTTTCTGCAAGTTTCTTTACCAGGATTGACTTACAGTGTGGGGAAGCCCCATTTCCAAACCTCCTCCTTTCTCATCCAGGCTTGGAACCATAGTGGTAGAGATAACTGGTGTAATACATGAAGGTTATTTCTCTTATGCAGATTGTATGTTTTACATTTCAGTTCTTGGGAACTTTCAAAAATGGCATGTGGATTGGAGGTATTCTAGAAAAAATTGTCAGAGATTCATACTTGATTTGGTATTCAACTAAGACTGTAGCAGAGAACAAGAAAACCCAAGACAGGAAAAATGCCAAAATCCAAGATGACTCACCATCAGTTCTCCAAAGATGGCTGGTATTTGATGGTGACTTGGATCCATCTTGGACGGAAGGAATGAAAACTTTGCTGGATGATACAAAATACTTGTCTCTTGGAAGTGGAGAGCAGATATACCTTCAAGGTGAGATTTCATCAACTAAATAGTAAAGATTGAAACTGATTTCTTAAAACACTATCTATCTATTGTCTTCTTCACTTTTACCGGGTTGCAGCCCAGTGTCGTGGTTTAAAATATTTGTTTTGTGCCTCTCGGGTGATTTGAGTGACAGTTTTCTGGATCTTCTGGCCGTATTCAGCTACTCCATCTATCCATTTTTTCCTGGGTCTTCCTCTGGCCTTTCTTCCCGATGTTCTACTGTAAAAGGCCTTATAGGCAATCTGATCTGGTTGCATTCTTACTAAATGGCCAAACCACTTCATTCTCTGTCTTTCAATATGTTCCATTCATGCTCTTGTTCCAACTTTGTCTCTAATGCTGACGTTTGTGACTCTGTCTCTTCGTGTATTGTAGGTGACTCTTCGGAGACATCGCATTTCACATTGTTATTTTTTGCATATGTGATTTGTTCATTGTCCACGTTTGGCACTGATAACATAACGTAGGGATGAAAATGCTGTTGATCATCAGTTGTTTGGCTGGTAACGAGATCTTTGGATGACGAAGAAGTGGGGCCAGTTGGTAGTTGACTGCATTGGCTTTTTGAACTCTAGCCTGTATCTCTTTATCGAGTCTTCCATCTTCTGTAAATATGCATCCTAAGTACTTGAATTCTTGAACTTGTTCTAATTGTATGTCATTGATCTTTATGTTTACATTACTGTGTTTCTTTCCTATGGTCATTACTTCAGTTTTTGAGGTGTTTATTTTCATGTCAAATTTTGTACAGTTAGTGAGCAATGTATGAACATGTTGTAGTTTTTGTTCTTCTTCTTGTAACAAACATTGGTCATCTGCAAAGAGTAGTTCATTTATAATATCTGTGTTTTGGTTTGACTCCTGTGCAATTTTATCCATATATGTGATGAAGAGTAGGGGTGATAGGACACATCCTTGTCGTACTCCTGATGTAACAGGGAACCAGTCTGTCATACCTTCTTACAGCGCTCTGGCTATTTTGATAGAGAGCCATTATGTTTCCCAATAATTGACCCGGTACACCATATTCTTCAAGAATGTTCCATAGTTTATTTCTGTTAACCCTGTCAAAAGCCTTCTCTTGATCAATGAATATAAGATTCTGGTGTTTATTATATTCGATTGTCTGTTCACAAATTTGCCGAAGAGTAAATATTGCATCAGTGCAGCTCATTCCTTTTCTAAATCCAAACTGGTTGTTACTTAATTGAGGTTCTAATATCACCCTCGCTCTTCGTTCTAACATTTTTGCAAACATCTTTCCTACATGGCTTTGTAAAGAGATACCTCTGTATGTTTCACAATCTCGTTTATCACCTTTCTTCTTCCATATGGGAACTATAATTGCTCTCTGCCAGTCAACGGGAACTTTCATTTTCTCCCAGGCCATATTTTCTTAAAACTAAACATGATTATTTTTCTGTCACCTTTTAAACTGAACCAACTTGAGGGTATGCCATCTTCCTCTGGCTCTAAATGTTTTTGGTTCATATCCTAGTAAAGAAAAGTTTGTACACAAAAAATCTAAAGATGGATACTGACACTCACCAAAATCTGTGAGTAGTGGATCACAAACTTAGCCTTTTCAGATATAATAAAAAATGAGGAGGACCTGCACATACTAATAATCCCTCATCAGTTAGAACTTGTAGAGAGTAGACCAAATAGTCTGCTATTCAGGATAAATTTCTCAAATGGAAATTCGTCCCAGATTATAATGTTTCAAGTATTCTTGAAAATAAAATAAAAATTACCAGATCTCATTGTAATGGCTGGTTGCAGTAAATGTTTTCATTTCGGGATTGTACCCCTGTTTTATCCCTCTATAATATGTTCATTTAAAATATTTAAATTCCTATATTATGATAGGAAATATTTCAAATGTTTAGATTCTTACAGTATGATATAAAATAAGTGCAGAAAATAACACTGTAACAGCCATGACATTTTGCTCTCATTTCTGTTTTTATACCGTGCTTTCTGTTGTTTTCAGGAACAACCAGTTTAATCTTTGAAACATGTGATCTGAAAACAGCATCTCCATCTATAGTTTCCAGATGCTCGGTTGTCCACTGTGGACCCAGTACCATGTCGTGGTCAGCACTTTACTTTCACTGGAAGCAGAATGCTAGCACCTTATGGCAACTTTCTCCTGTGGGGTAAATGAGAAAAAAAACATTTGATTGTCAATGCCTTTGATTGTCTGTTTATAGTTTATGTTAGAGATCATCTTCATCGCACATCGGACATGACCATATTGCTCTTATCTCCTCCTGAGTAAGTAAGTATTTTTAGGCTAAGAACTCCCATTCTGTTCTGGTTGATGTAATGACGGGTGGCTCCCATATGGTTTTCATGTCTCGCGGCTCCAATTGGTACACCCATGGTATGCAGTCGATTGAGTAAAAAATCATGTTCCATGAAACTTAAAGCCTCACAGCGATTAGTCCCTGCTATGGCACTGTTGATGTCTCTTATGTCCATAGAGGGCCCATACCTGATAGTCGTACTGCCAGCCAGAGCGTCTGCTCTCTCATTGCCTTTCATACCAGCATACCCTGGGACAAAGATAAAGTTGATTTTGCAAATTGCTGCATGCTGAATCAGATAAAGCCACTGTTTCCCTGGCATGCTCATTGAGTCGCTGACCAAACATGCATTGGTGAATTCCTGAGGTTTCAGTCATTCTAGGGCCTTTGTCACAGCCATGACCTCCATTGTCGTGCTGCTGGTGGTAGAAGCAAAGGCTCCACTGTCTTCTTTAATGACTTTCCCTTTAATTCTTGCCGTGAAAGCCCATGCATTTCGCTCTTTATGAATCATGAATCATTTTATTGTCTTTGCATTCACTGTATTTTATTATGTGCCTTTTAGAGAATATTTGTTTGCTTTTGTTAATTGAAATTGTTAAAATAATTCAGAAAAGAAAGAATCACCAATATCAAAACTGATGAACACCAATTAAGGCAGGCTAAGGCTTTTAAATAACTGGGGAACATTTTTTTTTTCTTCAGAAGATGGAAGAATTAACTCTACCAGACTGATATACCGCTTCTGCAGCAATTTCGTAATCTGTCGCTTAACTGCTGTACCTCATTGTCGGTATTTTGCATAATACGTGATAAAAACGCATCACAAACTAAAAACAACAATCATGATTAAACCTCGTGGTTAGTCATTGCGAATGACTGCCCACTTGTGTGTGGGTTTACTTTGTGTGGTTTAACGTGAAAAAATTCTGAAAATTTACAATGAAACGAGCAGCTGATGAATCAAGCACTTGGACAGGAAAGTAAAGTAGATCTAGGTTTTTCACAATCCAGCAGGTGATCCAAACTTTGGTTGATTCATACACTCAGGAGTCAGAATTTCATGAAGAATACATTCCCAGTTTAAGTGACATAGTCAATGAGAGCTCGAGTGATGAGAGAATCTTGAAAATTATGGATTTAAAACTAGATTGATAGTAAGAGAAGGGGGTGTGTCCCTCAAACAGCAACATCTGGTGCTCACTTTGTGAAACAAGGCTGATCCTGCTGAGTAGATTGACACACAAAGGTGAAATATTGGCGCTATATCATGTTGGTTTCTCGTGGTAATGCCCGGGATCTCAGGTATAGAGGCCAGTTAGGTTCAGGGCCTTAGGTCTGGTAGGGTTAATATAGAAATCCAGCAAAAATGCTGTAAAGCCAATCAAGTTTTAGGCCAAATGGCACCAGTTTTGAAATGCAAGCATGTGAATATGAACACTAAAAGAACACTGTTCAACACAATATTCTTACCAATGCTTTGCTATTGATGTCAAACTTGATCAGTCTTCAGAAGACAGAAGGAAAATAGTCACGACAGAAATGAAATGTTTTTGTACTATACTAGGTGTAATGAGGAAGGATAGACTGAGGAACGATGAATTCAGGAGAAGAGTAAGCACAGAAACAATACAAAACTTTATAAGTAGACCACAAATCAAATGGTTTGGCCATGTAACAAGACTGACATCAGATGGGGCACCACAGAGAGCAGTGTTTTACAGATGCAGCGGCAACAGAGCCAGAGTCAACCAGGCAGAAGATGGACAGCAAAAATATCAGAGACACTGAAAAGTACTTGATACAAAGCAAACAAAAGGGTCTGTTCCAGAGATCTCTTCCTGCCCTGATGCCGTGAGGCATTCCAGGAGTAGAAAAAAAAAAGAAGAATTCAAAATATAAATGAAATTCTTTTTTCAAATATTTGTTGTAGTTTATGTATGTATATTAAAACTAATTATTTTATTGTGTACATGTTTAGGATTCTGTGTGTGCATATATGTGTCTGCATGTTGGCATCCTTGGGTGCCTGAATGTTTGCATGTATGTTTGTCTAATTTTCTGGGATATATAAATACAATTCAGTAACTACTTGTAGGATCATAGGGACATACCACTCATTGAATATAGTTGAAGATACTACATTATTCAATTTGAAGCAGATTAAAACTTATGTGATTTGATATTAAATTTAATGCAAACATAAAGGAATGTCTGGGAAGTTAGCATATTTTCACATATATAAATATATAACTATTCTACAACAAGTAAAATTAATACCTATACTTTTGCCATAGCTTTTGATACTTGGTACTAATTTATTAAGAGGGGCCGTGTTAACACAGTTGATAGGAGACTCGCTGCAGCCCATGGCCGGTGTTTGAAATTGGGTAGTTCCTGAGGGTCACCAGCCTCTAGGTAATGGGTACCAGAGTTAACACTCTGGGGTAAACAGAGGAATGTCACATTAGCTACTGATTTGCATGCGGACAGAGACACAGGTGGACAGTTTCTTATCAGCTCTCCGTACTGATGGCAGAGCACTTATGGTCTATAACTGTGGACAATGACGCTGGTTCCTATCTCCCCACTTTAACTTTTTTTTTTTTTTTATAAAGAGTGCTAAGAAATATAACATTCTTAAGCAATAACATTAAAACTTATTAATGTCTTTCTAGGGTTACAATCTTGGATGACCTGATCAGTGATATCTTCCCTTCAACTGTGAAGTTTTTGACATCAGAATGCTGTACTGCCCTTTTAACAGATCTAGATCAAGCTACTGTCACTGCTAATCATGTTATTCCTGGACTGACGGAAGTCTCTGCTTTTCTACACATGTTATCTGCCATGTTGGACAAATTCTCTAGGAGAGCTCACGCAGGCAAGAATATGAAAGTTTAAATTATTGGTAGGGTAATATTAGTGCCAATCAGGGTTGATCCAGCCCTTAATGGGTACCAGGTAAAGTCCTGGGAAGTAAAGGTGGCCATCGTGATGTTAACCACATCACCCACACAGTGCTGGTTGGTCTATAAAATATAGGTCTACATTATATATCCAATACACCTGTGGAACAGTGCCCTTTGCTTTACTTTGCTACTGTCAGTTATCCTGATCAATCGCCTTGCCAGCTGGCATAGCAGATCATGCTTCCCGATATCTAGCTTTCTTCACAAACATATATCAGTCCGTGTGCTGACACCTGGTTGCTAGAGGAGACCAAAAATGTTAAGAATCTTCTCTATTGTCTCTCTTTTGTCTTTTTTTTTTTTCTCTGCTAAAAGAAATTATAGTTGATAAGAATGATATAATTAAAAGGTTGACTGAATACACAGGAAACTATTTTGAGACAACAGAGGTATCAAACAAAAACTGTACAATCTTCAGGATAGATCAGATATTTTAAAAGTCGAAGTGACGAAGGTTGTAAAAAGTATTAAAACATGAAAAAGCCGCAGGTCCTGACAAAATAACGATGGAAATGATAAAATCATTATCCAGTTTTGGCATTGATCCATCACTGAAAATAAGGCTTCTAAAGTTAATAAATCTTGTTGGCATGCACAAAGAAATCTGCTTGGAAACTGTATTGTTTTCACACAGACACTCAGTAACTTGGTAAAGTTAACAAACATGCTACATTTTATGCTTTTAACCATCTTTGTGAATAACCTGCTTTCGGACTGAAAACTCAAAAACTTGTATGATAGACATTGTTCTTCTATTATTTTTATATTTATTGTGACTTGGATTAACCTACTTGCTATTGTTATTCATTTTAAAAATAATTGTTGTCATTATCATGTGCTGTACTAATAGACATCAGGAAGTTGTGATTTATGGTTTCATGTGATCACAGGAATTACAGTTAGGTCTGTGTTCTTGTTCCTGTCATGTTATTTGGCACGTGGAATTATTTACCCCTTTTATGTTATTAATTTCTCTTTAGCTATCAAGTCTTTAAGTCTTCAAGTGTGTATATTTTTTTTAACCTGTCAATGTTTAATATCTTTAATAAATTTGTATTTTTCACTTGCATCTTGATGAACTACAAATGCAATTAACTGTAGTTCATAATCTTCATTCTTAGTGTACCGCAAACTGCTTACAGTGCTTTGAATAGGTTTTTCTAACTTAGAAGCTTTGTGGCTTCTGTCTATAGATTTTTATTGACTTCTTTGTCTCCTTTATCTGAGAAGAATAGGCATCCAGTTCATGGAGAATTCATCCTGTATATGTGTCATCTGTGATTCTTTTTCTAAACTTCTGTTTTACCTCTTTAGGGTTTAATGAAGACATCATATTCTATTCCTCAATTTATTCTCCTGGCAGTACTAAATCTATTGTCAGCCCCATTAGCCATTATGCAAAGAAATTATCCATGATTGTACTAATAAATACATCATATTTATATTTTATGAGTAACTCTAACACATGCTATTGCCTGCTTACAAATTCAGAGATAAGAAAAGACAACTCATCTTCAGCAGGAGCAGACAGTGGCTTAGCCACCTCTTCACAGATGGAATCAGTAAAAGCCGACTGGGGAGAAACCATCAAGGGCATGTTTGCCTTCTGCTACATTTGGGCTTTTGGTGGTCATCTGCATGACAGGTTGTCATCAATTTTTAAAATAATTTTTGATATTGCAATCTAAGGGGGATTATAGATGATTAGATGTTGACAACAGCTTTAACTACAATAAAAGTATGTATACAAGCGGGGCATTAATGATACAGGTATTGAGGTAGATTTGTGGGAGCAGGATGCCCTAGACTAAGTTGCAACAAGAGGAAAAATCAGGAAGGGAATAGGGATAAAGGAAAAACAATGATTGCAGATAGGCTAAGATCTGAGCGACTGAGAAGATGGATATTAAATACACATGATGGCAACAGTGATGCTGAAACCACATGTTCTACTTGTGGAGAGTTTTCTAAATGCAAACCCTTTGAATTATTTAGTTGATATATAATTTAAAAGTCAGAAACCTATGTATAAAAAATTTAATTATTTTCTTGGATTCTCATGTGTGCTCTGTGTGTGTGTGTGTGTGCATGTGTGCGTGCGCGTTCATGTGTCTCATGTGTCTTATTATTATTATTATCATTATTATCATTATTATCATTATTATTATCATTATTATTATCATTATTATTGAAGTGTGTTATGTTTTGACAGGTTCAAAGAACACTTCAGCAAGTTTGCACATGATACTCTGTACCGATCCAGACAGTCTGTACGTCTGCCAATATCAGGCTTGGTATTTGACTACTATCTCGATGAGAACACAGCGGGCTTTGTCAGATGGAGTGATCGTCAGAATCAGGGTCATGCAAAATTGACGGGTGACTTTATAGTGATACCAGAAGTGAGTTATGGTTCAGCACTTTCATCAATGTACTTACCGGATTTGGGGAAAGTTGTCCAGCCATTTTCCTCACACTTTGAAGGCCGTGAGTTCAATTCACAGACATAATGTTCGGTTCTCTAATGCAGTTTTTACAGAAATCCACGGGGTAATTGTTGGAGCTACGAGGTGTATGCATTTGTTTCCTACACTTTTGACAGGTGGCTTATCATTCTGCAGAGAGTCCAAGCAATGTGTCAGTTTAGTAACTTTATTTCCATGCCATAAGACATATTGTGATGCCGGTCAGTTCCATGCTGGTCAGTTCCATGCTGGTCAATTCCATGCTGGTCAGTTCAATGGTCAGTTTCATGCTGGTCAGTTCCATGCTGGTCAGTTACATGCTGGTCAGATCCATGCTGGTCAGTTCCATGCTGGTCAGTTCCATGCTGGTCAGTTTCATGCTGGTCAGTTCCATGGTCAGTTCCATGCTGGTCAGTTCCATGCTGGTCAGTTTCATGCTGGTCAGTTTCATGCTGGTCAGTTTTATGCTGGTCAGTTTCATGCTGGTCAGTTCCATGCTGGTCAGTTTCATGCTGGTCAGTTCCATGCTGGTCAGTTCCATGCTGGTCAGTTCCATGGTCAGTTCCATGCTGGTCAGTTCCATGGTCAGTTCCATGCTGGTCAGTTCCATGCTGGTCAGTTCCATGCTGGTCAGTTTCATGCTGGTCAGTTCCATGCTGGTCAGTTTCATGTTGGTCAGTTCCATGCGGGTCAGTTTCATGCTGGTCAGTTCCATACTTGTCAGTTCCATGCTGGTCACTTGTGCTGTCAAATGTTATTTTCACACTGAAATTCCTAGTACCCATTTCTTCTTCTGAGGTAAATGCATTGTGCATGTTCACGACACGGATGTGCTATCTGTGCCTTTCAGCTGACAAATCTAATTTTTTGTTGGCCAGGTAGGTCTTTGCGGGTACCCACATTACAGGCCAGGCTGACCATAGAGTTGTACCAGTCGGGAAACAGATTATGACATTACTCTACTGAAGAGTGGGTCTCTGACCTGAGACCTCATGTCCAGCCACCAGAGACAGAAACTGTGAAGCACTACGGGAGGCATCTTGTGGAGTTAGTCTTTCTCTTTGTTTAGACTACTGATTGAAGATGAAGAGGGGAAGGGGAAAAAATATTACCCGTCTTTGTTTGTGAGCCATTGTACTAATATTTCATTACTGGACATCTAGAATTTATTTGTATATTTGAATGGTGTTTAGGAATGTGTGCAAGCAGCAAGAAACTATTAGAGGACATATATTGATGAACATGAAATTGATGAAAGGAAATATCATGCAAAATGCCTGTAACAGGTAAAGTATTTGACTAAAATGTATGTCAAACACAGAAAATTACTTACAATTTGTTGTAACCTAATCTGTTTGATTTTTCAAGGTTGATCGGTATGTTTACCTGTTGGAAATGCTCACGTCTGCCCATCGGCCTGTACTGTTGAATGGAGCACCTGGTGTTGGCAAGACTTCCCTTGTGAAGGTCAGTGTTGGAACTCCATAAATCAACTGTTTTTAGTCATATATCATAACTGAAAATTATTTGTTGATATAATGGGTAATTATTTTTCTAAAATTATTAGGTTGTACATTATGTCTAAGTTAATGATTATCAAATAGTTCTTTATGTGTTAGTAACCGTATTCGCAGATAAGATGTCTTGTTTGTAATTGTTTTTCACTTCTAATATATTCTTCAATACATATACATATATATATATATATATGTACAGATATTACCGCCAAGCTGTTAACCACAACAATTATGCCAACAGCCCTTTTGAGGGAGAAATAAGAATACTACATATTCACTTTTCTTCTCTGCAACCACTTTTATTAAATTTCTCCTTTGTTTTTATTATTAGCACACAGTCCTGTCCAAGCAACCATCTACAACAGTCACCATGTCTCCAGGCCTGACTACATCCATTTTGCAAAACCTGTTGGTGAGTCATGGCTTGGCCACTCAGAATACAAACCATGCCACCACCAGCACACCGTTGACTAAACAAAAGCATCTGTTCTTTATTGATGATCTGAGCATGGCATCCGTTGTTGGAGGTTAGGTATCCTGTTGTTGTTGGATCGTTTTTTAATGTGAACAACCTCTGTGTGTTTTTCAGGGCTACATTTTAGGGGAAAAAAGTTATAGACCCACTGTTCCCTTAAGAAGCGTGTAATAAGAGGCAACTAATTATGGGTGTTTCCTTTGAAGTTTGGGTGTATCTGCCTGTGAAACAAGGACTGACTGACTTGACTTTCTACCTCACCAGGTCATCACACAAGCGATATACACCCGATGACACAAAGTGCCACCATGTGGATGAGGATCGCCGTGGAGAGGTCCCAGAAACCGCGTTCAGACATTTGGCCATATGTATGGCCTGCCTATATTGCGGCCCCTGGCAGAAGCCAGAGTAGGGCTTCAAATGACAAAAAAATAAGGAACAAATAGTCTACATACAAATAAGCCAGATATGTAAAATGGATGTGTACACAAAACTCAAGTTCCGAAAAGCTTAGAAGTGGATGAAAAACCAGAACTTTCAACTGCAATTTACAGTTTTGAATGCTAAAATGAAGAAAAAGTAATCTGAACAATGTATAATATTCTAGAAGAGCATGACAGCATTTTACCTCAGATACTCTGAGTTATCAGTGTATATTACAGCTTTTATTTTACGCACAATTTTTTTTTTAAACCTTGTTATTTATTGTTTTTATGTTTTTTTTTATCATGATTTTCAATTGCGACGCTCAGATTTAAAATAGTTTAAGATTTTATTTTTCTTCTTCAGCGTTCATCCAAAGACCTAAATGTATTGTGCCCATTTACAGCATGGCTGTAATATTTGTCTTTTTCTGCCGACACATCCCACTTATTCAGACATTTGTTGCCCAGTGTAACGTTACTAAAAATTGTATTACATTTTGGCTTACTTTCTGTAAGCTGAGAAATCTTATAGCATTTAAGCAAATGACTTATAGCAACAAATATATATATATATATATATATATATATATATATATATATATATATATATATATATATATATATATATATATATATATATATATATATATATATATATATATATATATATCCACACATACACACACATACACACACATTTACCTCTTGTCCACGATTGATACCAGCACTTTCCGTCGGAGTTTACAGCCGGTAAATACAAAAAAGAAAAAGTTATTTGTGTTATAACTGAAATATCACTGTTTGTCATGGAGATTACCTGTGGGGAATGCTTTTGATGGAAGAAAAAAATGCATTTTTTAATTAATAATAAAGTAAAAAATTTAAATTATTTAGAAAGGAATACATATTTTCAGGTTTAGTCTGATGTTTTTATGAAAAACTCTTCCATAGGTTATAACCCCAATCTTGAGCTTATCCGCAGCATTCTCACTTTTGGAGGAATCTATGACAGACAGTGGAAGCCTTTTCAAATGATAAAGTCTGCTTCATTTATTGCTGCAGCCACTTTTCCTTCAATGCCAGGTGAGGTTGCAAATATATGATTTTTCTTGTGTCAAAAATTAAGTCATGTACATATTAAAGGTCACTGTTTTAAAACTAAGGTAAGTTGGTTCAGATGTGAAGGATGGGAATAATTTTCAGTTCCAGCTAAACTTATTCTTAAATTTTTCTTCAGGTATAATGAATTTGACAATTCTGTTTTAAATTACTACATCATATATTTAATAGAAGTAATGCCTGTTTTTCTCTTATAATTAAATTGTGCAAAATTGTTTTTAGGAAGTGGACTTGGCAGTTCTTCTCATGTTATATCATCTCGACTGTCGAGGCAGTTTATCAGCCTCACAGTGTTTTCCCAGTCTGATGATACTTTGCAGAATCTGTACTCACGACCCTTGCAAACATGGCTTGAAGAATTCCCAGTCCATACAGTGGAACATCACTGTGAATTTGCAAAGGTAATAACACATTTGAATATTATATGCTGTTACACAGAATTTTTTTTTGGCTAGCAGTGTTAAATTTTAACATTAAAATTAATTATTTCATAGCTGCACATTAAAATGTTATTCAGCATCTCAGAAAATACCTTCTTTGAACTAATGTTGATTGTATTACCCTAGCACAACATAACTAACACAGATATTGTAAATTAGTATTTTAATTGTTCACGTCAGACGAAATGTTTCAGAGAAAAAAATTGTCTTACCATTTAATTAAAATATTCTGCCAAGAAATCAGTAAATGTTTATAGGTAATCAGTAATTTTTTTTCATTGTTCTTCATGTTTCTGCACCAAGAGCAATATTGATTTAACATTAGAGTTTAACTTCTACATTTATACTAGCTTTAACAAGCCACCAAGCATTAATAAAGGTGTCTGCTTTTATTTGTAATCTACAGGCTATGTCCCAAGCATTACTGGAACTGTACCAACTAGTGAAGACAAGACTTCTTCCTTGCCCATCACTCCCTCACTACATTTTCTCTTTGCATGATGTGTCAAGAGTGGTACAAGGTATGCTGCTCATGACCCCACGAAGTGCTGCTAGGAATTTTACAGCAAAGAAGAAAGAAGGTCTGATTTGCTTATTTGTAGATTATTTTGCTATCCTTTTTGTAGTTTATTTCACTATCAGTTTACTGCATTCAGATGTTGAAAATTGTGTGTGTTTATTAGGATAGCAGTCAAATATAGAATATTATATTTTGTAAATATTTTGAAACATTATATATTGTAAATACTTTTACAATACAATACATTTTCCAACGCATGTTTTGTTGTTGTTGTGTTACTAATAACAGTTTATGTTTCTTATTCCAAAGTTGGACAAAATAACGTCAACTCTATGATGACAGTTATTGTACAGTTATGGTGTCATGAGGTGTCTAGATGTTTTGCAGACAGAATCATCAGTACTGATGGTAAATTTTTTATTTTTTATTTTAATTATAAAATTAAAGCAGAATACAGTCTGCAGTGTTGAAGAAGCAGAATACAGTCTGTAGTTTTAAAGAAGCAGAATACAGTCTGTAGTGTTGGAGAAGCATAATACAGTCTGTAGTGTTGGAGAAGCATAATACAGTCTGTAGTGTTAAAGAAGCAGAATACAGTCTGTAGTGTTGGAGAAGCATAATACAGTCTGTAGTGTTAAAGAAGCAGAATACAGTCTGTAGTGTTGGAGAAGCAGAATACAGTCTGTAGTGTTGAAGAAGCAGAATACAGTCTGTAGTGTTAAAGAAGCAGAATACAGTCTGTAGTGTTGGAGAAGCATAATACAGTCTGTAGTGTTGGAGAAGCAGAATACAGTCTGTAGTGTTGGAGAAGCAGAATACAGTCTGTAGTGTTAAAGAAGCAGAATACAGTCTGTAGTGTTAAAGAAGCAGAATACAGTCTGTAGTTTTAAAGGAATAGAATACAGTCTGCAGTGTTGGAGAAGCAGAATACAGTCTGTAGTGTTAAAGAAGCAGAATACAGTCTGTAGTTTTAAAGGAATAGAATACAGTCTGCAGTGTTGGAGAAGCAGAATACAGTCTGTAGTGTTGGAGAAGCATAATACAGTCTGTAGTGTTAAAGAAGCAGAATACAGTCTGTATTTTTAAAGGAATAGAATAGAGTCTGTAGTGTTGGAGAAGCAGAATACAGTCTGTAGTGTTAAAGAAGCAGAATTCAGTCTGTAGTGTTGAAGAAGCAGAATACAGTCTGTATTTTTAAAGGAATAGAATAGAGTCTGTAGTGTTGGAGAAGCAGAATACAGTCTGTAGTGTTAAAGAAGCAGAATTCAGTCTGTAGTTTTAAAGGAATAGAATAGAGTCTGTAGTGTTGGACTAGCAGAATACAGTCTGTAGTGTTGAAGAAATGGAATACAGTCTGCAGTGTTGAAGAAGCAGGAAACTGTAGTATTGGAGAAGCAGTATACAGTCTGTAGTGTTGGAGAAGCAGAATACAGTCTGTAGTGTTGAAGAAGCAGAATACAGTCTGCAGTGTTGGAGAAGCAGAATACAGTCTGTAGTGTTGGAGAAGCAGAATACAGTCTGTAGTGTTGGAGAAGCAGTATACAGTCTGCAGTGTTGAAGAAGCAGAATACAGTCTGCAGTGTTGGAGAAGCAGAATACAGTCTGTAGTGTTGGAGAAGCAGTATACAGTCTGTAGTGTTAAAGAAGCAGAATTCAGTCTGTAGTTTTAAAGGAATAGAATAGAGTCTGTAGTGTTGGACTAGCAGAATACAGTCTGTAGTGTTGAAGAAATGGAATACAGTCTGTAGTGTTGAAGAAGCAGAATACAGTCTGCAGTGTTGAAGAAGCAGAATACAGTCTGTAGTGTTGGAGAAGCAGAATACAGTCTGTAGTGTTGGAGAAGCAGTATACAGTCTGTAGTGTTGGAGAAGCAGAATACAGTCTGTAGTGTTGAAGAAGCAGAATACAGTCTGTAATGTTGAAGAAGCAGAATACAGTCTGTAGTGTCGAAGAAGCAGAATACAGTCTGTAGTGTTGAAGAAGCAGAATACAGTCTGTAGTGTTGGAGAAGCAGAATACAGTCTGTAGTGTTGGAGAAGCAGTATACAGTCTGTAGTGTTGGAGAAGCAGAATACAGTCTGTAGTGTTGAAGAAGCAGAATACAGTCTGTAGTGTTGAAGAAGCAGTATACAGTCTGTAGTGTTGGAGAAGCAGAATACAGTCTGCAGTGTTGGAGAAGCAGGAAACTGTAGTGTTGAAGAAATGGAATACAGTCTGCAGTGTTGAAGAAGCAGGAAACTGTAGTGTTGAAGAAATTGAATACAGTCTGCAGTGTTGAAGAAGCAGTATACAGTCTGCAGTGTTGGAGAAATAGGATACTGTAGTGTTGGAGAAATGGAATACAGTCTGCAGTGTTGAAGAAGCAGAATACAGTCTGTAGTGTTGAAGAAGCAGGAAACCGTAGTGTTGAAGAAATGGAATACAGTCTGCAGTGTTGAAGAAGCAGGAAACTGTAGTGTTGAAGAAGCAGTATACAATCTGCAGTGTTGAAGAAGCAGAATACAGTCTGCAGTGTTGGAGAAGCAGAATACAGTCTGTAGTGTTGAAGAAGCAGTATACAGTCTGCAGTGTTGAAGAAGCAGAATACAGTCTGTAGTGTTGAAGAAGCAGTATACAGTCTGCAGTGTTGAAGAAGCAGAATACAGTCTGCAGTGTTGAAGAAGCAGGAAACCGTAGTGTTGAAGAAATGGAATACAGTCTGCAGTGTTGAAGAAGCAGGAAACTGTAGTGTTGAAGAAGCAGTATACAATCTGCAGTGTTGGAGAAGCAGAATACAGTCTGCAGTGTTGGAGAAGCAGAATACAGTCTGTAGTGTTGGAGAAGCAGAATACAATCTGTAGTGTTGAAGAAATTGAATACAGTCTGCAGTGTTGAAGAAGCAAGAAACTGTAGTGTTGAAGAAGCAGTATACAATCTGCAGTGTTGGAGAAGCAGAATACAGTCTGCAGTGTTGGAGAAGCAGAATACAGTCTGTAGTGTTGGAGAAGCAGAATACAATCTGTAGTGTTGAAGAAATTGAATACAGTCTGCAGTGTTGAAGAAGCAAGAAACTGTAGTGTTGAAGAAATGGAATACAGTCTGCAGTGTTGAAGAAGCAGTATACAATCTGCAGTGTTGGAGAAGCAGAATACAGTCTGCAGTGTTGGAGAAGCAGGTAACTGTAGTGTTGAAGAAATGGAATACAGTCTGCAGTGTTGAAGAAGCAGTATACAATCTGCAGTGTTGGAGAAGCAGAATACAGTCTGTAGTGTTGGAGAAGCAGTATACAGTCTGCAGTGTTGGAGAAGCAGTAAACAGTCTGTAATGTTGAAGAAGCAGAATACAATCTGTAGTGTTGAAGAAGCAGAATACAGTCTGCAGTGTTGAAGAAGCAGTATACAATCTGTGGTGTTGAAGAAGCAGAATACAGTCTGCAGTGTTGAAGAAGCAGAATACAGTCTGCAGTGTTGAAGAAGCAGAATACAGTCTGCAGTATTGAAGAAGCAGAATACAGTCTGCAGTGTTGAAGAAGCAGAATACAGTCTGCAGTGTTGAAGAAGCAGAATACAGTCTGCAGTGTTAAAGAAGCAGATTACAGTCTGTAGTGTTAAAGAAGCAGAATACAGTCTGCAGTGTTAAAGAAGCGCAGAATACAGTCTGTAGTGTTAAAGAAGCAGAATACAGTCTGTAGTGTTAAAGAAGCAGAATACAGTCTGTAGTGTTAAAGAAGCAGAATACAGTCTGTAGTGTTGGAGAAGCAGAATACAATCTGCAGGGTTGGAGTATCTGCATTTTTCAGGTCCCAGGTTGCAGTGATACATCTCCATATTTCTGATACTGAAAAACTTGAATGTATGTTGGCAAAGTCTGTTGTGCCCTGTCCTTTGAGGATAAAAAATAAATACAAAAATTCCTTTTTAAGGATAAAATAAATTTGTCATGTTACAATATTTCATGCAGTCCATATTGTGTGGCACTGGTCAATGTCAGCAGTAACTGTGCCTAGCGTCCATTTTGACCGGAAGTAGTGAGGGTTTATTCTATGCTGGGCTGTGTAGATATTTGAGGCAACGAGCATGCAGATGATCTTGCACACACCTCAATTGCTTTGCTGGTCAGGTACTGGCAAGCAGTGATGTTATCAATGCCAACCGCAGCACTTACAGTGAAGATGAATATGGCAAAGGGCATAATGACTCCAAATCCTTGTCTAGACTGATGGTAACGGGGGTGCAACATGGAGCTTCAGAAAATGAATATTTCACCAAGATGAAAAGATGTTTGTTTAATCAACACAGAACAGACATCATTAGTCGTTTCACACTTGTGGGATTACTGAGAAGGTGATGAGAGCCCTGAGGACATGTCTGAAGTTATGTGATGATAAACTTCACAAAATCACAAATCTCTAATGCAGCATCAGAGTGAATTTGGTCTAAAACAAATATGTGTATTTGTTTGTGGGTAACTGATAACAGCAGATCTAAGGTGTAACAAAAATATTTAAAAGTAGAGAAGCTGTGGCAAAAGCAGCTTTTGACAAGATTAAGAATATTCAGTACAATATATCTTTATTAACTCTGAGAGAAAAGATTATTTTTGAGAGCTATATTTGACCAATCCTGATAGTCAGAAGCCAGTCAAGGACAATTAGCAGATTTGTTTGAAATTATGTCAAAGCTGCAAGCATGTGATTTTATTTTTTAAAAAGAATAACATACAATTGTAATTAAAGTCTTGAAAGAATGCACAACCCATAAATATATAATTACAAATACAAACTGTTTTGATGAAATATAAAATTATTTCTTCAGATTGTTTTAGATATTTTACTTTAAATAATACCTATATGCAGATAAGAACTGGTTCAACCAAATGGTACAAAACTCGGTCCTCAAGTACTTCTGTTGCCCTCATGATGAAACTGGTCAGGGTTTTTCATGCAGTCTAAAAGACAGTCCTGGAAACTATGTAAGCCATTAATTTTATAGATGATGTATGTAAATTATTTAGGTGTAAAAATATTATTTACTGCTACATACATTATACAAGGATTTTGATTTGATTTTGATTTGATTTTATTTGATTCAAGAACCGACATCACAGTACACAGGGCATTCCCATAAGTTTTTAACATCCATCTTGCCTTTCCTCTGAGCCTCTTTCCTCCAAAGCTACGGAACACATGCTCTGCACTTGACACATTATGTAGGGAAAAGATAATCAATAAGCTGCAAAATAATATGGGAATGCTTTAAATGGTAGTTGATAATTTATAAAAGTATCATTTAGTAAATATTGTGAGACTGTAGGTGTCACATGTGTATGCTTGGAACAGATACAAATTAGTACTGAGTGGAGATGAGATGAGTCACAACTCTTCAGACATTCCCATATTCAGTCTGTCGTCATCGTTAGCAGCTAGCGAAGAGTTCCATTTCTGGTGGTACAAGTTGCAGTTTGATTATATTTTCACTTTGCCTTTCCTCTGACTGCAGAGTGTTGCTCAGATCCAGCTGTGCGATTTAACCCACACTGTACAATCTGTTTGAACTTCTGCCTTTTAACATCATTATTACTATGATTGGATAGTGTACAAAAGAAAGCTTTTATAGCTTTGCCTATACAGAGTATTTTATTTTAAATATAACTTATTATGGAAGGATTTGAATAAATTGTTTGTTCAATTGACTAAATTATTTCTTTTAAAACTGATAATGATTGGTCTATAAAATATAGGTCTAGCCCTATATGCCTAAAGGCATGTAAAAGGTTCCTTTACTTAACTTTTTTTTTCAACTAAAACTGATACTGCTTTTCAAATTCTTACAACTGTTTAATGAAAGTTATAGAATAGCTACACATTCTGATCCTTCAGCCTGATGACACCTTACGAGTAAAGGTAGCTGAAAGTAGAGACATGACAGAAGCACAATACAGGTTGGAGAGGGGATCTGGCAGGACTTTCAGAACTTCTTTTACATCTGTCAGCAGTGGGCAGGATGAGAGAGACTGCATTCATGCAACAGATCTCAGGTACCTTGTGTGAACTAACACCACAATCACATATCATAGGTACACATCACAGGGATCATCAGTGAACTGACACCACAATCACACATCACAGGCATCATCTGTGAACTGACACCACAATCACACATCATAGGCACACATCACAGGCATCACCAGGGAACTGACACTACAGTCACACATCATAGAGTCTCAGCTGTATAGTAATAGACACTTTATTTTGTGTACCGACACCTTCCCTTTCCTGCTTTAAAAAAAAAGCTGTGCATCATTGATATTATCACTGAGCTGACGCCACAAACAAATCCATCACAACACAATACAAAGAGTGAGAACAGTCTAAGACATATGAGAACTATCTTCACAACCACACATCACAACCATACAACATGTGTATCATGACTTTACTAACAGTAACAGAAATAGTCTGTTCTTTCAAACTGCAGCCTCATTGCTTTCAATATAAAACCTTTAGCTGTCTGTGTAAACACTTACAAACACACACTCTTTCTTTGGTATGGTATCTACTATAAATTCAAAAGCTCATTGCCTTCTAGAAAAATTCAGTACCTCTATAGAAGCAGTATCATCTTCCTAAAAAAAATTAAGATTTATGGTAAAAATAGTTGTGTTTATTCATGTTAATGAATGAAGAATGTTGAATGAATGTTGAATTAAGAATCGGCATCACAGCACTCAGGACACTCCCATAAGGTTTCAGTCCCCATCTTCAGCAGCAAGCGAAGCATTCCAATTCCAATGGTACCAATAACCCTCTAATTGTATATCCATCTTATCCTGCCCCTTAGTGTTGAGCATTGGCCAGATCCCCTGGTAACTCCTCGCAGTGCAATTGTCCTTGGACCGTAATGATCTCTCTGCACCTCTGCACTGTTTACTTGATCCCAAAGGGCCCTGACAATATCCAACTTGTCATACATCACTTCACCACCAAGTGGTGCAGAGCCAGCCAGTCTATCAGCCTGCTCATTTCCCAACACACCGGCATCACCTGGAGAAAATATCCAAAGGATGCTAACTACCCGGGACCTCTGAAGTGATGCTTGCCACTCCGCACGAAGCATGCCTGTTTTCACCTTTCTCAACATGCTCTGTGAGTCATTTACAATCACAGCATTTGTGTACAGCTGAATCTCAAGCCAGCGGAAGACAGCAAAGACTGCCTCCACCTCCATTCTCAAACTAGACGTTGTGACATCATATGCTAGACTTTGCTGCACTAGGCGATGTCCTTTCGCCTTTGCTGTGAAACCTCATGCACTTCGTCTGCCCCTCAACACAGAGAAATCTGATCACTTGGGTGGGAATTGTCATGAATCATTTTTTTTAACTTCCGATTCTTCATCACCAGCTGGCCAGTCTTTGCACTCATGACCTAACGTGATCAGAACAGTGAATGAAGAAACATTGGATTGTACAACAGATGCCAGTATTATTTCAGCTTCAGTGTGTTTGTTAGAAAACAAGCTGATTTCTTGTGAATTAATTTTTATTCCATTTTACAATGGAGGTTAGCTGTAGTGGATTTATAGATCTACTACGAAGTGAAGTCCCAATCTCTTCCACCAGGCAACTCTTGCACTATTGTCCAAAAACCACATTAACAGTTTTTCTTGAACCTAAAATCAAGAATTGCGAAGCATTTTCTAAGCCACAGTACTGCACTAAATCCAAAATAAGATACAAATAATTAATTTTTGTTTTAATCTGTCGTATGAGGTATTTTTGTTTTTCTAAAAGTTCTCAATGCTGACACTAATAAACGTTTACTGCTTTGCCTAATTTTTCTAAGCTGGATAACTGATGAATCTTTTCTTTTTCCAGAGAAATGTTTATTGGAAAAATATACATTTGTGTATTTTTTATCACAGGCTTATTGGAGTGAATTCAGAGAATGTTGAAATAACCTCATATCCCAAATCTGAGTCTATCTCAGCACCAGGTAAAATATTTGACAGTTTAAAAAAAAAAATTTGCTGTTGCTATGTATAGCACACAGAAATATTTTGGTTAGTGAAACTCATTTTCATTTCACTGAATTCTTACATGTACAGCTTTTCTCTTCACCATTCCTTCTTGGACGATTTCCAGAAATTTACCGATACAGTAAAATCTTGTTAACACAAACTACAAGGGACCAAAAAATCAAGAGGTTGTGTTTAAAAAACCAAAATGCATGCTAACCAGGGACTAATAATAATAGATCCCTAATGAGGGACCACAATTTTGTTCAAGTTCACTAAATTTTCTTTCTAAATGAGTTTTAGTTAACAAGGTTTTGCTTTGTTATCCGCTACCTGTTTTTTTTAATATTTTTTATTTATATATGAAAACAAAAATAACTTGAGACACATCATATTATCAATGATAACTGCAAGAAATTTCAGTTTTATCTCAGTATATTTTGTGTATGTAAAATTATGTACTGGTATAAGAGGATAGACATAAAGATATGTTTAAACGGGACATGAATATTACAGGTATTGGTGACTTGTTCACAGGCATGAGGAAAGGTTAGGGCTTTTCTGATGTGCATAAGGAGTTAACTACCTCACCTTGGCTCCCAACCAATTCTTAGATGGTTTTACGGATGCAAGACTCATGCTGCATTATGGATAAGGGCTCAACTTTGTATGCTGAACCGAGCTGGCAGGGGATCTTAGAGCTGGTGGCCTCTAGAGATGTAGTGTCCAGTCTGGCTCACATCAGCCCACTCTCATTGCAAGGGTAATAACATCTATCAAAGCTCATTTAGAACATGGGTAAAGTACACTCATGGAACAAACTACTGAACAACAACCCTCAGTTAAAACGAATGTCAAGTAGTAAGACTTACCGAACTGCTGAGATTCAACCCTGTAACAAGAGATTGGCTCGCAGCCTAGATGAGCAACATCTATTGTGGGTGGTAACTCTTGGAACAGTCCTGTCTCCATACATCCCTTGCTGATCCTCAATATCATCGAGTTGATGTACGCCACAACAATTTGGCATTGTCAGTGTGTTGGTTTTTCATAAACGTCCATCTAATACATGTCTTATGGCACAGAAACAAAGTCTCAAATGTCCGACCGATAAAAGTCCTACTAGCTGGCAGAAAGAGGGCTTACCGGTCTACATGTAAATGTCCTGGACAGGGTCTTTAGGGGCAGCACTTGTAGATAAGGGGACAAAGAGAACACCCCACAAATAAGGCCACAACATGTCCCTTTCCTATGAAACTGTCCGAAAAGTTAACCCGGTCAACAAGTGCTTGACGAAGTTGGATGTGTCGGCCAAAAGGCACATATATCACAGCTCTTCTGTAAACAGGCACTGCGAAGTTATGTCACCTGGACGAATTAAAAGAAGAAGTTACAGGTACTGAGGTAGATTCTGGGCAGTAGGATGCCATTGACTGTGTTGCATGTAGGGGAAAGTTGAGAAAGGAATCGGGATGCAGCAGAAAGAAAAATCTGCAGATAGGCTAAGAGCTGAGGCTTCTTAGACAAAAACAAGTTAAAAACCCCCCGTGTGGGTTCTGGGGCCCTATTATAGGGAAAACAAGAATAGACCCACTGCCTACTCAAAAGCATGTCGTAAGAGTGGACTAATTGGGAGCTTCCTTCGAACTCAGAGTGCATCTGCCTGAGAGGCAAGGAACCAACAGTCTGCACACAAATGTGTCAGATCTGTCAAACAGATGCACACGAAACACTCAGGTTCTGGAACAGTGCTGCAGTCCAGAAGTAGACAAACAACCAGAACTTTTCGCCTGAGTTTACAGCTGGTGAATGCAAAGAAGAAGAAGTTAAAAACATGCAATGGCCCTGAAATCCCATTCTGTACCTGTGGATAACATTATAACATGGTCTTGCTAGTACACATCGTTACCACAGGCTTTGCTCCCTATAGCACAGTGGTATACTACAACTGGGAAAGATGGAAGGGTGCCAGAATGTCTCTATTTATAAAGCTGATAATTAAACGCTGCTGCAAAGGATCTTCTTCTCCTTCTTATAATATATACCTTGTGGCATTGGTAGTCATGTCCATCCACAACCTTCTGCCTCATGTGCTTTCAGTCAGCTTTGACACATGTTGATTTTCCATGCCATTTTGTTTAACTGTCCAGCATCTTCACTCTCAGTTCCCCTTGCTTTCCTCCTCCCCCCTCCAACTTTCCCTCAGTCACAGCGTGCTCCAGTTTTCTTCTTCTCATGACATAATCAACAAATGGAGTGTAGATGTCCCCTTATGATGTGGACAGTAATTTCTTTTTGTGAGTCAGTTTCTTTCAGGATATCTTTATTATGCAGATAAAATATCGACAATGATAGGATAACTACATTTTTCACTCAGTGTTTATGGAGCAGAGGGCCATAGTTGTACAGCTGCTAGCAGGCCTGCTTGCCGGCTCAGTCGTTATGTGTTCAAATACCAAATGAGTCAGATTTTCAAATTAACCTGAGCTCTGTCAACCCAGTCTATAAACAGGAAATGTTATGGAGAGTAAAGATGGCATTGCAATATTTACATAACTAAATTTACATCATCCAAAACTGGATGGCTAACATCAGGTGCTAGATGTGCCGCAGGACATCAAAATAGTTCTTTACAACAGTGTTCCATTTACAATGAGAGTGTTTCTTCTTACACAGTCATAAGAATGTAACTTTTCTTGACCACGGGTGATTTGTTGTAGCATTTGTTTTGTAAATATCTGTTAGCAGGTGAGTTTGAGTTTTTCATTTAAAAATTCTTTTATTGAATGTTTTCGTTTGAACATGTAGTACACTGCTGAACACTGTCAAACACACACACACCTACAGACACATTAATGAATATAAATTTCTTACTAACAATTTTCTACACAGATAATATGTCCAGCTTACAGCAACCAGAGTCCTACAGTTCAAAACCTGGATCTGCATTCAAAGCTACTTCACTAACTGACACAGATCTAAAGAATTACTCTGGTCCTTTAGTGCCATTGTCTGATGTGAGTCATTGTTTCAGAATGGTTCAATAAATGCCAGTATTATGCAGTCTTGTCATTCTTACTAAAAAAAAAAATTTCCAAGATATTTTGCAAACAAACGGTCACACTGCTGGAGCACAATTCAATCTTCTCTTAGGCTTTCAGTGGGTCTTTGCTTAACGTTTAGGATCACCATGAGCAAACGCTTGCCTGAGTATTCTTCTTCTATATTTAAGCTCAGTAGAGCATAGGACAACCAACTCATCAACTCATAGCAAATCATTTATTAACATATTCCTGATTTTGTGGATATTGCAGCCGCAGTTTTCTGTGGTATGAGGTAGCGTCTCACACCAACCCTACTTGGTTGACATTAACAATAGACTACAGTTAATATTCTTTGTTCCCCTTAAAGTCAGAGTTACAGTCCAGACGATCAGCTTTATTTCACCAGATGAATTCCATATAATTCAGTCTCTCTCTGCAGAATGAACAACCGCTTGCTGAGAGTGTCACACAAAGCACGAACTCCCTAGCTTTAATCCATTGAGATCTGCACAAATCTTGCACTCTTAAACTGAATTATGCATCTGTGAAACGTACCTATAACCTTCCGAGTGCAAGGCAAACCACAGTGACAGAGGGGTGAAGCTGAGATTACCACAGAATATAATTTTTGAGCCGGACTTTTTTCAAAAATGACCTTGGCTCACAGGTCGACCCAGCCTTGAGTGGGTACCGTGTGCAGTCCCAGGAAAGTAAAGGCAGCCGGCGTGATGCTGAACACATCACCCATCTTGTGCCGACTGGTCTATAATAATATAGGTCTAGCCCTATATGCCCTATACACCTAAAGGCATGGAAAGGGTCATTTACATTTTTGAAAATAATGTTTTGATTATATCATTTGGCTTGTAGTCCCTCTGAGGTGAGACGTGAATAGTGTAGTGTGATTGCCTGTCATGCCAGTTTGCAAGAGGACTTTTACATTTGCCAATTTATCTTGTCATCTTAGAGTGCTAGATAAATAGTTTAAAGTTACAATACAACAATTTAACAGATTCAGAATGGATGTTTGTCAGACATCATCTTCAGCAAGTTCTATATGACACATCACAGTGAGGCACAGGAGTTGGCATCTGAGACAGGTACTTTGTTTTTCTAAAAAATATCAGTTATTAATATTGGCTAGGTAACAGCATCCTAGTAAACTTATTTCAGTCCTTAAGGAAAATAATAGGGGCTTTTGAGCTGAAATACTAGAGATTCTCAAAATACCAAAGAAGGACAGAAATACTGACATCCTAAAAGATCTGAACATCAAGGAAAATTGGCTAGTAAACATCTTGTGTCAAAAACTAAAACATTTTGCCATATCTAGTGCCGTGGCAGATAGGAAAGTATAGTAGCAAAAAGCATGGTGCCAGGAAAGAGCAGCAAGGAGTGACCAGCATGAGCAAAGGATGTAAGTGACACCTTGGATTAGAAAATGCATTTGAAGGAGGTTTGGTGAGACATAGAAGGTCTGGCAAGAGATCGAGTTTCTTCCAGTCAAACCGTGATGAGAGCAATGTTCTGCATAGGACCTACTACATCTGATGGTGATGATCATTTGTTATCTCTGCGTATATACACACATGGAGGTGAGGAAAAGACGCTGGCATTGGATAGGACACACACTGAGAAAACAGGAAAACAGCATAACTAGAATGTCTTTGCATTGGAACCCACAGGGGCATAGGAATAAAGGAAGGCCAAAAAACACATGGAGAAGAGAGCTGGAGAATGAAGCTAGAAAGATGGGGAGGACATGGAGAGAGCTCCATGTAATAGCGAAGGATACAACGACTTGACGTGAGTTGGTTGAGGGCCTATTCTCCATTGGGGGATAGAAAGGCAGAAGAAGAAGAAGATATACACACATGAAGGTGAGGAAAAGACGCTGGCGTTGGATAGGACACACACTGAGAAAACAGGAAAACAGCATAACTAGAATGTCTTTGCATTGGAACCCACAGGGGCATAGGAATAAAGGAAGGCCAAAAAACACATGGAGAAGAGAGCTGGAGAATGAAGCTAGAAAGATGGGGAGGACATGGAGAGAGCTCCATGTAATGGCGAAGGATACAACGACTTGACGTGAGTTGGTTGAGGGCCTATTCTCCATTGGGGGATAGAAAGGCAGAAGAAGAAGAAGATATACACACATGGAGGTGAGGAAAAGATGCTGGCGTTGGATAGGACACACACTGAGAAAACAGGAAAACAGCATAACTAGAATGTCTTTGCATTGGAACCCACAGGGGCATAGGAAAAAAGGAAGGCCAAAAAACACATGGAGAAGAGAGCTGGAGAATGAAGCTAGAAAGATGGGGAGGACATGGAGAGAGCTCCATGTAATGGCGAAGGATACAACGACTTGGCGTGAGTTGGTTGAGGGCCTATTCTCCATTGGGGGATAGAAAGGCAGAAGAAGAAGAAGATATACACACATGGAGGTGAGGAAAAGACGCTGGCGTTGGATAGGACACACACTGAGAAAACAGGAAAACAGCATAACTAGAATGTCTTTGCATTGGAACCCACAGGGGCATAGGAAAAAAGGAAGGCCAAAAAACACATGGAGAAGAGAGCTGGAGAATGAAGCTAGAAAGATGGGGAGGACATGGAGAGAGCTCCATGTAATTGCGAAGGATACAACGACTTGACGTGAGTTGGTTGAGGGCCTATTCTCCATTGGGGGATAGAAAGGCAGAAGAAGAAGAAGATATACACACATGTCTAAATTGATAAGAAACACATGCATGTATTAAAATTATTTATTTATACAACCGTAACCTTGGTTAGGCTTCTTTTCCTAAAGTCAATGCCATGTGGCGTTGATAGTCATGTCTATCCACAACCTTCTGTCTCGTTTACTGTCTGTCACGTATACTTTCAATCAACTTTGACATAGATGAACCTCTATGCTATGATGTCAGACTGTCCAGCATCTGTTCTCTTGGTCTCCCTCTACCTCTCCTCCCCTCCAACTCCAGGGTGCTCTGATCATTCGTCTATTAGGCTTAATTTTGCATAATTATTCATCAGAATTATACCTGCTGCCTTGACTTTCCCAAATGAATCTCCAGTATCGGTATTACTGAACTGGGTCAAACCTGCACCCATACTGGTGGACAAGAAAAATCTGCATGTATTAATATTTTAGGTATTAGCTAATGTATTAGTAAACCTATCATATGATTAGGTAATGCAACCTGAAAACCTAATTTTTGTGGCAGGACATGCTAAACTCTGAACCTTGGCTGGCAGCTGGTCTAGGAGGGAAGCTCTGGCAAGTGGACAGGCAAAGCATGGCTCATCTTATCTGGCAGCTCCTGCAGCAGTCTATCACATGTACTTGTAATCATTTATGACAGTTGATCTTCCATACCATGAAGTCAAACTTCCTAGCGTCTTCTCTCTTGGTCTTCTGGTTATTTTGTCCTCTAACTTTCCCAATATCATAATGTACTCCAGTTTTCTCTTCCTCATAACATGATCAAAGAATGTAGATTATCTCTTTCTTATGCCAGTAATCAGCTCTCTTTTTATCTGTCCATGGTGTTCTCATCAATTGTCTGTAGAATTACATCTCTGCCGCTTCCACATAATTTTTCAAAATTTTGATCAAAGGTTATACACCTCAACCTGAGGCTGTTTTAGCAGAAGCACTTCGAACTTGCCTGATGAAGTACAATAAGGAAACTTCACTGAGGTTGAACTTGGTGTTCTTCTCTGAAGCAGTGCGTCATGCAGCAAGACTGAGCCGAGTGCTTGTAAGTATTGAATGATTGTACTGTTTCATCATTTTAGTGGACAGTCACCTGTTAAATTGTTGAAAAAATATCAATCTAGATGAGAAGTAGAACTAGTAAGCTTCACAATACGATTATCAGGACGACAAATAAACATTGCAGTTAGAAAGCCTTCATGAGCATATGACACAAACAATGATATGGTCAGCAGTTATTGTTACACTAGTGGAATTTTTCTATCTTTCCTAACAATAATATTGCATTGTGCTATAGACAGACATTTGAATTATAGTTCAGGGTTATAGCTAGCATAAGTTAAAAAATACCATCTTTTCTCCCCATCTGTAAAATACCCTTGAGGATATCCTTAGAAACTACAGTCCTTCATTCTGCAAGTATGCCCTGGCCATTTGAGCCTATGAAGACTGAGCAGTCAGAAAACTTGAAACGCTTGCTGTGTCCAGTACATCAGTCCTGACAGTGTTTAAACACAGCAACATATTTTCTGTAAGAAATTTGAAATTTTCAGTTATTTTTGACTATCTTTATTGTTTTTTTTTTATTCTATAAAATTATTATTGTTTTAATTTGTTATTTTGTGTGTTTATATAACCCTAGCATTTTTTTATTTCCGTCTATACTATAACTTAAATTATTACAATTTTAGTAGTTTCAAAGTTGTCATTTGTAGGCATATGAGTGGAATGGGACCTGTTCATCATCAGGTCTAGAAGTGAACTCTGCAGAGAGAGAGAGAGAAAGAGAGAGAGAAAGAGCAAACCAGATTGGATAAAGCCTGCAGCAGTAACAGTCCGTGAACTTTTAATATATATATATATATATATATATATATATATAAATATATATATATATATATTTTTTTTTTAAACATAATTGCATTATTTTTGTTTTGTTCATTTCGCGAGTTCTTTTTAAATAACTATGTTCATACTATATGAGAATGATTGTTGTGTTTCTTTCACACTGCAGGAAAGTTTATCAGTAGAAAACAGGAATTCCTTCCACAAAAAGGTAACAAGAAAAAACAGACATTTTAACAAAACAAGCAGAATTGAGCTATCAGTGATCAGTAGCCATATTTTTTTTTTTTTGGAGACACTGCAGACACTGCCTAAATTAAATCCATGAAAAATTGTTGAATTATTGTATGCTGAACAAGATGAGTTTATATTTTAAATATATTAGTTTGATCAAGCAGGTGTGCAAATTTGTATGAAGAAATGTTTTCACTAATTTCTGCTTCAGGCTCATCCAAGAGGTCATGCCCTACTTTTAGGCTTGAGCTACGCAACTGGAAGAGCAACACTTGCAAAGTTGGCTGCTTTTGTTGCCAAATGCAAAATGTTTGAACTCAAGCGACAAACCTTGCCCACACACAACTTAAGCATGGTTCATAAATATATTAAGCAAAGCTCCTTCCATGCTGGCATTCAGGGAAAGCCAACTGTGCTGCTTGTACATGCAGATATAGGAGAGGAATGTTTACAAGATATCAGCGCTATCATGACAGAAGGTTAGTTTATCAAAAACCACTTTTATTTCTTGTACTTATTTACAGTTTTTACACAAAACAAATATTTGTGTACTTGTGGAAAAGCCCTGCAAACAATGCCTTACATGTACTATTGCACTATACAGTTAGGCAATGTATATTAAATGGACCATTGAAATGACCGTCAGATTATGGAAATCTGCAGAATCTGTGTCAGACAATGCATTTCCTATATGAAAGAAATTATCAGATATAATATGACTCCCTATATTATGATTCCCTACAAATGAAAAGAAGAATCATCATCATGTGCCATGTGGTAAGCATAGGCTGTCATGTTTCACCATCACATACAATCATCAGAATGACGAATTGGGTCAGTGTTCTTGTCTCATCTTCATCATAATGTGCCCTGCCAGGCATCGTAGACATCCATGTCTCTCTACAGATCTCAGTCCTTGGTATTTTAAATCAATCCCTTTATGGCATTGCTTCAGGCTTCCCAGCATTGTTTCTCTTTGTTAGCCTCTGCCTCATCTGCCACTAATCTTTCCAGTCATCACGATATTCTCCAATGCCTCTCTTCTCAGTGAAGGAAAATTCTAAACTGCACTTCACTATCAAATAGTGGTGGATGGGCAACACATGGTTGTGTTGGAACACACAGTGGGCAAATGCAGCTCTGAGGATTGAGGAGCCACCGGTATCCTGACAGTCAGAAACTGCTGTCGAAACTAGAGGAACAGACCATGTGGATGTGGAAGACAAAGGGAAACAGCCATATTATCTTCCCCAGCTCTCATGAATCAAACATTCAAGTGCAGTAAATGATGTTATTGGCTGTCTAATCCTCAGTCAGTAGAAATAATATGAGCCACATCTAATACTAGACTGCCATCAGGCTACTGGTATCAAAATCAGTAAATTTAGAGTAGGAATGTGGAGTGTCAGGAGACTATCAGTGTTAGGAAGGTTGGATAAAGTTATAAAAGAAATTGAGAAAATTAAAGTTAAAATTAATATTTTAGAAATGAGTGAGATGAGATGAAAGGGATCTGGTAAGATTATAAGGGATTAATCCCTTTATTCTTTATGGAGTGCAATAGTGTTTTGATCAATGAAATATAATTATAAAGAGTTTTTTATAGATTTAAAAAAAAATTTTTTTATAAAAATTCCCAAAATACAGGATATTGGCTTTGTTCTTTTAGGTCACTGGAGTGAAAAGGTTAACCCACAAGTTATTAATATAACTTCTTTTCATGTAAACTTTTTACTTAACCTTTTCAGGCTACCAGCAACTATTTATCTTCTTCTGACACAGGATTTTGTGTTTCAAAATAGCTTCTAGATATACTGCAAAAGTAGTGTTGGAATGTATGGTGTTTACAAACAAACAAACAAACAAAAACAGCAAAGGACTCTTTCCAAGCAGCATACTTTTGTAGACCAATCAGCACTTCATGGGTGAGATAGTCAATTTCATGGTGACCATCTTTACTTCCCTGGACATTTCCCTGTATCTGTTTTAGGTCAAGTCGACCTGGTAGCTAATGTCATTTATAAAATTCCTGTGCCGGTGTGGATTCCACCTAACACTTTTTGGCGTCTAGACATAGCACTACATCAATTTCAGATGTAAGGTGTCCCCGTCTGGGTAAAAAAGGGGAGGAATAGAATCATTGTTACTTAACAAGCATGTCATAAAAGGCAACTAATAAAGATTTGCTGAAATTGGATGTGTTGGGAAATGTATATACACCATCTTCTATTTCAGGAACAGCTCCTGGTGTTTACACTGAGGAAGACTTTCAAAACATAATCAGTCAAATGATGCCTGGTGGGGTCCACACAAAGAGAGTAGACAAAATGCAGCTGGCTTTTGATAGATTTGTTAAACGCATCCAGCAAAATCTCCATGTATTGGTGTGCTTAAATTACAGAGGTAATTGTGTCTACACGTATCATTTCCAAGACAGAAAAAAAAAACGAGGCAGTCCTCTTTAAGACAGCTGAAAACTGTTAATTAATTAGAGAAATTAGATGTAAGTTTTTTTTTTTTTTTTTTTACATGACATGAGAAAGAATTGACTTGAGAAGGTGGTTACAACTGTGGAGATTAGTGGATAAATAGCAAGAGGAAAACAAAGAGATAAATACATGGATGAATTAGCTATATGGATGGCAACAATACCAGAACACTGACCTGATCCACAATTCTGGTGATTGTGTGAGATTAAACTTCTATTTCTGCCCTTTATTTCCCAACTGAGCATAGAACCCTCAACCAGCTCACGCCATATCATCCTATCCTTTACTATTGTTTGCAGCTCACCCCATATCTTTCCCATCTTTTTAAATTTTCTAATTCCTTTCTCTGTTTGTGTGTGTGTGTGTGTGTGTGTTTTCCTACTTTTTATTTGTATGCCTTTGTGGATTTCAGTTTAAATCCTTCTAATTATACTGTTCTCAGGTTTTCTCGGTGTGCATCCTATCCAAAACCAGCATCTTTTCTTCACCTCTTGATTCCTGGAATGTGTCAAGTTCTCTCCCAAAGCTCAATTTTAGAGATTTTTGATGATTAAACTGTGGTAGCATAATGATTTGTCCACTTACCAGTCAAGACAATCGTCTTTGTTCAGTCCTCAAGAAATGGCAAGAATTGTTTTTTCTGACCAGTAGTTGGTCTTGGAATGTGACCAATAGTATAATTACCAGAAAATGTACTGATTTTTGTAGAAATTGTTGTGGAAGGAAATATGGTGAGGAAGGACCTAGCCACTACAACTCTTGATGCCATGACCCAGAAAATGTGAAACCCTAACACAAAACACTCAGATGTATATAACTGTGCCATGGACTGTCTTCACGTTCAGCTTTTTGTGTTGGTGTGTGTGTGTGTGTGTGCGTGTGTGCTTGTGCGTGTGTGTGTGTGTGCATGCGCACGCATGCGTGTGTGCATGCATTTATTTCTACCATCTCTCTCTCTCTGTGTGTGTGTGTGTGTATGTGTATGTGTGTCTCTCTCATTCATTGAAGTAGAATACAATTAAATCAACACAAAAACACCAATTTTCATTTGGTATTTATTAAACTTCATTCCATTAGTAAATTTACATTAAGTGAATAGTAATCTGACATTGTCTTTAATAATTATTTTCAGTTAATGTGCCATACTTAATGAGTGAGTTAACTATAATTTTAAAAACTAGGGAACAGGTATTCTTCAAATTGGCAAGCTTTCCATCACAAGCTGCAAAAGCATCCAAATCTGATCAAGAACAGTTGGAGCATTGATGTTTACCTGCCTTGGAGTCACAGAGCTCTATCACAAGTGGCTAGAACATGGCTTGAGGACACAACTTCTGGGGTACTATCTTTTTGATATTCTTATATAGAATAAAACTGGGTCCTTATTTTGCTTCTTTCACAGAATTTTATTTTCAGTGAAAAGTTATTTTCCAAACACACATTTAACTCTTTGAGGCAAATCCTGAATCCCAGACAAATCATAATGTTTACTCAAATATTCATTATTTGGTCATCTTTTATCCAATGAATAATTTTGATTTGATATGCCCTCTTTGAAAGTAAATTACCCCTTTTTATATTCAGTGGTTATACCTCTTTTGTCTATTCTCTCTATTGAGCCTTTGTTATAAAACTGTGAGATACTAATAAATATAACAAAATTCATTTGTTTTTACATCTATGTTGTTTTCTGTATGTCAATTTTTTTTGTAGATTTTCTTGTCACTTCTTTTTACAGAATTAAATTTTCTTTTTAAAATTGTGTGTATACGTTTCTGTCCGGGAGAGAAAACATACATATTTATAGTTAAATACTTATGCCCATCTTAGTATATCCAGGGTAAAAGACAGAGCATGTTAGAGATCTGTTGCAGCCAACATTCATGGTAGAGATGGCAACTGACTGACTGACTAAGTCTTTTATGTGAATGTGGATTTTGAAGAGAAACAACTACAACAATTTTCCAAGAAAATTGATATAGTCACTACCTGATGTAATTATGGTAAAGAGACAGTCAAATTACCATGCAAATCTTTGGGCTGAACACCTGGGATTGACAGCCATTTTAATCTATTTCTGTTTACCTTCAGAACATTCCAGTAAAATCACCCTAAAGTCATCTTTTTAACCACAGATGACTATTACCTATTGGGCAGCACTGAATAACTTGATATCTCTAGACTCCTCAGACTACAGATTCAAAAGCTACAACTACACAAAGATATTTTCTATTGAAGTGTGTGAACTCCTACCAGCACCTCAGACTGCAGACAGATACTAGAATGCTGTCATGGGTTCGCTCCCTGGCAGAGCCAGACTTTTTCAAAATAACCTTCGCTCCCAGGTCAACCCAGCCTTGAGTGGGTACCGGGTGCAGTCCCAGGAAGTAAAGGTGGCCAGCGTGATGCTGACCACATCACCCATCTTGTGCGGATTGGTCTATAAAATTATAGGTCTAGCCCTATATGCCCTATGTGCCTAAAAGTGTGGAAAAGGGTCCTTTACTTTTACTTACTCTAATGCTGTATAAAATTTATCTCAGAAAATGTGTATTTTTTCACTGAATGAAACTACCCTAGATTTCAAACTCCGCAAGATCTGTAGAAAAGAGAGCAGTTCATTCAGGAGAAAAGAATTGCATTTAGAGTATGATTACAAGCAAAGAAAAAAGACACAGAGAAAGAACTTCCACCACATGATCTTAAGCATTTTTATACAATGAAAATTGTCTCTACTGCTTTTATTTAACACTTTTAGCCACATATGGCTGAGAGGTCATAGCCTGAGGATGGCTAGTGCAACCACCGTGAACTGTGCCAGTTAGAATTTGTATATTTTCTCTACAGAAAAAAATATCCATTCTTTACTGAGGATCGAAGCTGGGTCTCTTGCATGAAAGCCAGTGTTCCAACCCTTTGGGTAGTCAATGCAATAAACAAGGTTAATTTATAAAATAATGTTCACTGATCAATACAAAATTAAAAACCTCACAACTTGAAATGTTTATTTCTACATACAAAAGGTCCTGATTCCATGGAGTCCTCAACGGACATCAGAACAGATTGAAATGGCCTCAAATGGTATGGCCTACATTCATTTCTCCGCTCAAGCTGCCGTAGAGAGACTGTATTACCACCAGATGGAGCCTCTGCAAATGTTTACACCTCTGACTTTTATGGAGTTTGTGCATTTATTCAAAATTATAGCTGCATTTCTTGCACAAACTGAGAAGGTAAGACATGTAATAATCCTTTAAAAGCCAGTATGCTTCAGCTTGTTTCAAAACTAATAAATGTTTAACTAAAATAGTATCAACTAAATGGAGTTTAATGTGAGTCATTATCATGTTCAAAGAGATTACAAAGGAAAATGTATGAGTTAAACATGGGTAAATTATATAAACAGAAAGTGAAAAGGTGTGAAGACAAATAAGAGCACCATGTAGGAAGACAAAGAAGAAGAATAAACCCCATTCTGTGAAGGTCATAGGTTCATTTCAAACTGCATCATTTGGTTTATGGTGCATTTTGAAGGATTTCCCAAAGGATTGTTGCTGGAGTTACGGAGTTCATGCTTTCTGGGATGCTTTTGGCAGGCAACAACCCGTGCTGCTGAGAGAGACCAAGCTATATGGAATAAAAAGCTCAGTGCAATGAAGTCAGTGTTTTCAATATTACCTTTGTGAACCCCAGTAACATATCTTCATCATCAAGTGCCATGTCAAATGGCATTAGCAATCATTCCTCTCCACAATCTGTGATCTTTAACAACATGTATCAGTTTGTGTGTTGACACCACGCATGACAATAGGCTGTCATGTAGGCACATAATAAATATACTATATTTAACCAGCTATACAATGCATTTATTTTCCAAAATTTAGGGTCTATAAATCATAGTAGATTTTTACCTAATGATTTATTAGAAAAATATCCCTTACAGGACCTCATTTGGGAAGGCCAGTCCATGGCAAAATAAATTGGAGACAAAAAATTATAAAATTAAAAGCTCTTCCCAGTTATAATATTTTTGCAATTGTCTTCACGCTGTTCCGCACTTGTTACATTAGGTTATGTTTTGCCCATAAATATCCCAGAAAAGATTTTTTTGTACAGTGCTAAATTCAAATTAAAAGTGATCCAGTTTGCAAAAATTGAACAGAAACCATGCTGCTGAAGATAAATTTGGTCCTTCTGCAACTGGGACAACTCAAGACTGGCTTTGGCTGATGATGCCATGGATGAAGACTATGAGAGGCCTGATTTGGAGAGGAAATCAAAGATATGGATTGATGAACAAAAAGCAGTTGAAATTCCTAGGTACCTGGGTGAAAAGATCTTGGGATTAGGAAGACTGAGATCATTATCAAGTCTTTCAAGAAATGTGGCATTTTACAGACAGAACTAAGGATGAGGCAGCACATGAAGACAGTGACTCATCATCAGATACAGACGAGAACAAGCTAAAGAACTATCATATGGATGAGAGTTTTGACAGTGATGAGTTTTCTTAATTCTGTGATGAATAAAACGTGAATTTGATAATTTTATGTAATTAAATTATTTCTTTCCAAATTTTCAGTCTCAGCATCAGGTTGCGTCTAATACACAGGATTACCTTTTACTTCAGAAAATACAATAAAATGACCTGGGCTTTTAAGTGGATCCAGTGTAACATGTGTACCAGATGAAATTTTCTGGAAAGTAAAGCTGACTTGTATGATATGCACCAGAACACCAATTCAGTGCAATTTGGTCTATTAAAGACTAAAGACAAGCACCAAATATCCAGTGTGCCTCAAGTCTTGGGTAAAAAAACATTCCCCTGGCATTAAAAGTACCAAAGAAAGGGGCCCTATTCCCCACCTTCAGGTATATTGAGCATATAGGGCTAGACCTATATTTTGTAAACCAATTAGCACTTAATAGGGGATGTGATCAACATCACGCTGGCCACCTTTACTTCCCAAGACTTTACCTGGTACCCATTTAAGGCTGGGTTGGCCTGGAAGCCATGGTCATTTGAACCCACAACATTAGAATCCACGTTCCAGCTGTAAGGCATTAGACACTACACATAGGAAATGTAGGTGTTTGTATTAGAGCCTAACAGATATTGTGCCTACTTACTTGCATAATGGTCCAGGTTGAAACTCATGTTCTTTTCTGAATACTCTGGCTTTGGGCTCATTCAAGCCTTATAAAATGTTTACTAAAAATTATGAGAAATGTTCTGGAAATTGCCTAAGAAGAAGTGTTGGGAAATGGTTACCACATCTCATTATATAACTATATGTGTCTGTGTTTGTATATTTGTATGTGTGTTTATGTACATGTGTGTGCATGCATGAGTGATGAGGTAGTGAATGAGTGAGTGAAGATATAGCACTTTACATTTATGAGAGTTCATTTTCTTTACATGTTCTTACATAATAAAACATATGCTGATTATAATCTTCTTTCATTCTTTATTTTCTCTAGTCCCTTTTTTCCCTTTCAGCATCATGTCTCTTAAAACTAAACCTAGAATCTCATCACTTCATGGTAAATAAGTCCTATTTCATTACAGGCGAAAGGTGGAAAGTTTGAAAAAGCTCTTGCAAAGATTGATGAAGCATTTGGAAGCATAGCAGAATACAAAAGAAAAGTATCAGATCTGGTACCACAATCCAGTTCAGCTGGTGGGGTTATCAATGATCTGGTTACACAAGTTGACAACTTAAAACAAAGTTACAGACAAGTATGTTTCTGCGGTCATGTTTGTTATGTCATGTTTTTAAATATAGAATAAGAATAGAGCTAAAAATAATGACTGCAGATTAAAAGCTGAGTATCTCTTCTTCTTCGCATTCACTCGCTGCATACTCTGTTGAAAAGTTTTGGTTGTTTATCCACTTCTAGACTTCAGTCTTGTTCCAGAACTTAAATTTTGGGTGCACATGTATTTTTCAGATCTGGCTTACTTACATTTAGACTGTTAGTTCCTCACCTCTCAGACATCTAGATATGCTCAAACTTTGGAGGGGAAATCCCTAATTAGTTGCCTTTTACAACATGCTTGTTAAGGGGGCAGTGGGTCTGTTCTCTCCCTCCCCCCCCCCCCTTTACAAATGGGGCCCTGGTCCCACACAGGGAAGCTGGGTTTCTGAGAAGAAGAGTGTTTATTATTTGCAGTGGCTGTTCCCGTGGAAGAATTTTCTTAGACGTGAGTGAGTCTTGCTAGTCACACTTGCCATTGCCACAGGCTGTGATTGCCATGCCTTGCTATAGCACAGTTTAACGCTGTGGTCTCAAAATATGCCAACAGTAAATCTTTTACACTAGAACAATTCTTAAAACATAGGAACTGTAACATCTTAGTTGTCACAGCCCTGGCTTTCTAACAGTGATCTGATTTGCAGTCCCCATAAGTGGTGGGACAGGATTCCTTGATGACCATGACCAGAATGGGTCTGGTGTTTACCCATATTCATAAAATGGTGCCGTCTCTTTAAAATCATCTGTTAAAGTCAGCATTAATAAGGGAAAGATCATAAATTATGAGTTATGTGTTAGATTAACTTCACGGGACTCTAGGCATATCACTAGGTGCTCAAATTCCTCTTTTAACATTTACAGCAGCATCCCATGGTTAATAGTGCCAGTCCTGTGCTGGTTGACAAGACTTCATGTACATTTAGTGTGTCTGTTATGCCTGACTGTGCTGAATGCTGATTACTGAATTAGCAGGTGCTCTGAATGCTCGTTGAGATCAGCAATGAAGGAAGCAGAGATAAGATGAAATTGTGCTTGGTGGTCAAAGATAAAATTTCATCAGTGAAACTGATCCAGAACGCCAAGGACTGAGGTCTGTGGAGAGACATGAATACCAAAGTCATGTAGCAATGCCACCAGATGATGACTTTCTCTACAAGAGAATTTACCAACTGCTTCTTGGCGACCTCATGGATAGATATGTTTTTTAGCTTGTCTATTCCCAACCACTTGTTACATTAATTTACTGTATTTAAATTATTTCAACTTGTTTCTACTCCATAGTATTATTTTGACTCCTTACACTCAAAAATTCATAAGCCATTTATTTTTAAAAGGTTTTTTAATCAAAGCAGTTAATGACTGTCATAGTTTTTGGAGAAAGAAATATGTAAAAAGAGCAGAGGTTGTGGAAAATTTTGAGTATCTTGGGTCACCAACAATGATTACCAACAATGGTGACATAGTGAAATATATGATAACTATTAACTGCTCTTCAAAGACTGAAACAACTGAATAAATTTTAGAATGGGACAGACAGAACTACAAAAATTTGATTTCTAAGAGCATGCATCTTTCCCATTGCCTGTGAGACCTGTACACTTACTAAACAAATTGAACAGCACATGAATGTCTTTGAATACAAATGTTATAGACAGGTTCTAAGAATATCATGAGTAAAGAAAAGAGCAAATGCATCCATACTTCAAGAACTAAATATTGAAGGAGGTTGGCTATTAAAGACGATAAAACACAAAAGAATTGAAAAATTTTGGTCACTTGAAACGTCACAAAATTTTACAGAGAACAATAATGTAGGAGTATAAGCCTGAGAAGAGAGGAAGAGGAAGGCCAAAGAGAAGATGGGTGCAGGATGTAGCGGATGACCTCCATGTGGATATATTGGATGCAGGACATCTTGCATGTGATTGAGAAGTTTTCCAAAGAGTTGTTTTGGAAGCAAGCTTCTGCAAAGGATATGCTACTGACTGACTGTCTTTCATAGTTAAGCATTAGCACCGAATCTTTAATCATGGAAATTGTTAAGCATTAGCATAGAAGGCTGAAAAAATCTGTATTTTAGAGAAAATTAACTATTGAAATAATTGTTTCTTTCCTTTTATAGGCATTAGACAAATGCAAGCATCAGGAGCAGACAATTATCCGGCTTCAAGAACCAGTACTGAAGTTGCGAAAGTCTGCACAGACAGAATTTGACAAGGTTAGTTTGTTTCCTTTGGTACATTATACTTCCTCATTATCATCAAGTCTTTTGCCAACTTGGATTGGTGACCATACCTCCTTGCAGCCTAAAATCTCAAATGTGTGTATTAATTCATGCAACAGTAGGCTGCAAAGAATCTTCTCATTTTGTCTTCTTTTGTTCTATTTTCCCCATAAATCTTTCCAGTTGTCACAAAATATGCAGTATCATTCTTTGAATGAAGCCAAAAATTGCAACCGTTTCTTTTTATGTTTGTGATAAGTTGTCTTTGAGTCTTCACCTCTTTAAAAACATCTGCATTGCTCATCATACTCGTACTTAATGATGCCAAACATGGGCTTAGAAATTATTATACCTGTCATCAACTATTTAACTGAAAGAGATGACTAATTTTTGCTTAAACCACTTTAGTTGTCCTACTTTATTTTTCAGCTGCACTATTTACTATGCCCCCTCCCGCTGCACGCCTCCCCCACAAAAAATGGCTAACCCTACAACATTAACAAGCATCTTGTAAAATGAGATAATTAAGGACTTGTTGGGTACCGCAATACAACTTGCCAACTGCCCTTTTAACCCTTTCACTGCTGTGGACGTATATATACGTCCACCTGGTAGACTGCTAAAGACGTATTAACTAGTCTTCCAATTTCTGTGTCCCCACTGCTAAGGACGTATTAATACGCCAGACTTTTCTTACAGATTGCTAATAACTGTAATTCTCGGGGGTGAAATGGCAATACACATTACCTAAATCTGATCAAATTAACCCATTTTCATACAATTAAAACACCTATAACGTGCGTTTGGGTGTATTTAGATGCATTTCATGTTATCCTGTTGTTTTGTTACAGGGATAGTTTTTAAAGAAAGACCATTTTTACGTTTTTTTTAATGGCATGATTTTTTTTTTCTGGAAATATATGTTTTCGTTGCCAGGTGAATCCAATGTATCAAGCAGCAACAATGGTCCTTGACAAATTAGATTACAGAGCAGTGGAAGAACTGAGAAGTTACCCTTCGCCCCCAGACAATGTCAAATTTGTTGTGAAAGCAATCTGCCTGTTGTTTGGAAAACCACAAACGTAAGTTTCTTAAGGAAGTATTCCATGCACAGAAAATCACAATAGAAACAAGATCTAGAGAAAAATGGCTTCTGTTTTTGGCTGCTGTTCTGTTTCTCAAAGTTGTGGTTGATAGTCTGCTAAGATTTAAAAGGATTTGTTAGATGGACAGTAAATTCTTATAGCAGACTATTTGTTCATTCTTGTTCTATTGTACCATTATATGCTACATTTGGCTCGCAGTCTATTTCTCAATTTTATTCTGTCATGTGCAGTCACTTCAGTATGGATCAAATCTAATCTTTTTTTTTACCTTTGACTTCTCTAATCAGTATCTCAGTTTCCTATTTCAGTGCATGTTTGGTGATTCTCTGTTTGTCTCTTCTCATAATGTGTCCTGTATAGTGCCATCCTTTCTGGCAAACAGACTGTTCACACTGCTAGTGGTTGCCCAGACATTTCTCTTATTTCTTCTATCTATATCCTCTTCATGTCGCTGTTGACACATAAGGCATTCACAAGTGATCTCAATTGCTGCCAGTCTGCTGCTTTTCTGCCCATGGTATCCCATGTCAGTTTACATTCCTTCATTTAACCATTCTATTGTCCTCCAGGTTTCCTTAGGTCGTCAACGTCTCCTTTTCCCATTCGAGAGCTGTTTTTGCCAAAGTGTCACAAGGCATTCTGCAAACATGTCCAAGCCCTCTCCATCATCTTACTTTGATTACATTTGCCAGTGATGCACATTCTGTTTTCCCCCTCATTTCTTCATTTGTGATCTTGTTTGGCCAAAATATTCTTAGAATTCTCCTTAAACATTTATTTTGAAAAGTCTCAAGTTTATGTGTAATTCCTGCTGTCATTTTCCAACATTCACTGTTGTATAATAGTATTCCTAAAATGCTGCTCTTGTATACCTCTCCAGTTGTTACAGTTTCCTAAATCTCCTTTCTTTGGTAATTTAATAATAGTACCTTCTTTCCACTCCTGTGGGATTTATTCTTGGTTCCAGATTTCTTGAAAAATCTTACACAATAGTTTTGGCATTTCAATTACCTCCACTTTCAGCATTTCTGGACAGATTCCATCGAACCCAGGTGCTCTGTTATCCTTTTGAGCTTTAATCGCCTCCCTAACCTCTGCCTATGAAAAAGGCTTTAGGCTTATTTGTAGGTCTTCCTGTGCCTCAGCAAGTGCAAGTCTGGACAGTTTAGTAATTACTGGAAATGTTCTTTCCACCTTTCTAATTTTTCTTTCTTGGCTGTAATCATTTTCCCACTCTTTGTTTTTAAAGGTAAATTTTGGTGCGATACCACATTTCCTTTAAGTTTCTTAGTTATGTTGTACAATGTTTTGATGTCCTGCGTCCTGCTTATTTGCTGCTTCCTCTGTTTCTCTTACTAGTTTTCCAATATATGAAAGTTTATCTGCTTTTGCTCCTCCTTTAACCTCATTGTTCTTTAGTGCATATTCTTCAAAAAAATCCTCTTTCAATCTGGCAATTTTGTATCTAACATTTGTCTTTTAAAATCTTTCTGTTGTGCTATTTTCTCCTACTTCGATTGGGAAATCCACTCCTCTTTCTTTGACTGCCTATATCCTAATATTTTCTCCCCTGATAATTTGACTGCTTCATTATATTTGTCGATTACCATTTCTGTTTTTTCTTGTAAAATGCTAAATCTGTTTTTGAGTTCAATCTTGAATTGCTGTTTGATTTGTGTGTCCTGCAATTTTCCTACATCATATCGCTGCGGTTTTGGTTCTCCTGTTTTAGCTTTCCTTAGTTTTAACCTGATTTTTCCAATAAGTAAATTCTGGTCACTCCCTATATCGGCTGATCTATGTACTCTGACGTCTTGCAGGGAATGTCTCCATTTTCCATTTATAAGAATATGGTCAGTTTGGTTTTCCGTTTTTCCATCTGAAGATCTCCATGTGACCTTATAAATTATTTTATGTGTGAAGAGTGTTCCTCCAATTATTAGGTCATTAGATTGGCTGAAGTCACATAATCTCTCTCTGTTGCTGGTCACTTTCCCTGTTCCATTTTTTCCTATTGTTCTCTTCCTCCCTGCGTTGTCCTTTCCTACCTGAGCATTAAAGTCACCCAGAATTAATAATACATCATGCTTTGGGATGTCTTCTGCTTCTGTTTGCAGAATGTCGTAAAAGCTGTCTTTTGTCTCTTCTTCTGCATCCTCTGTTGGCACGTAACAGACCAAGACAGATCATTTTGCAAATCTAGAACTGAACCTGGCATACAAAAGTTATTCACTTACAGGCTTCCATTCTATAAGAATGTTGTTGAGCCCCTTTTTAATCATTATTGTGACTCCTTCGGTATGTTGTTCATCAGCTCTACCTGACCACATTATGCTGTCATCTGTATTTGGGTTTCTTTTTCCTGTCCATGTCCAAACATGCTTCTGTATTTCTTCACTCCTCTTGAATATATCCCATCCTATGTCAGTCATCAATCATTTTCCTCAAGTATTAGTTTTTAAATACATTTAACTTTCTTTCCATGTGTTTAGTGGTTCTTCAACTTTAACTGGCATATTTATAACTGAAAAAACATTAGAATTAAAAATACCTAACTTGGTTCTAAAACTATGTAATTTTGAGTTTCATATTTTGTTTAAGCTTTTAAAAGCTACTGATGCCTTGCCAATGTGTATCATAATTTATGTCTCTATGTTTACTTGATTACCAAGGTTACTACCTAAATAAGTATAATTGATCTTTTCCTTTAATACTCTTTCACCCCCACTGTTACATCTGTTGGATCTTCTATTGGTCTCTTCAGTACTGCAGACTATACTGTTATGTTAACAGGACTGTCTGAAGTCAAGTTGATATCATGATGTAACTAAACAAAACAAAGACTAGAAGGCTCAGCAAAATTGACAGGAAGAGATGAAAACAGATGCAACCATCATTGTCTTGCTTCTTAAATGTGTCTTTTCATAAAAGCTTTGCCTGTCTCCTTTTATGTATTTCCAGTTTCATGTTGACCATGATGGTTATGAAAGTCTGTTGTTTTGTTTATTGATAAAGCCTGGTTTAAATGTTTGGTTGTATTTGTATGTGTCTTTTTCTTCCCCCTTATTGAGCTTTCTAGCCATAGTTTATGTTGTTTAGTTACTTATTATGTTGGGGAGCTGCTATGGTGTAGCAGCTAGACGCTGGCTTGTGGATCAGAAGATCATGGGTTCAGGTCCTGACAGTACTGGACTTTTTTTTTAAATGACCATGGCTGCCAGGTTGGCCCAGCCTTGAATTACCAGGTGGTGTCTTAGGAAGTAAAGAAATCTGGCCTGATGCTGACTGCGTCATCCACTGAATGCCGATTGGTCTAGAAGATATAGGTTTAGCCCTATATGCCCAGTATACCTGAAGGCATGAAAAATCATTTTTTACTTTACTTATTATATTGAGTATATAGTAGATTTTTTATAAATCAAGGTGTTGAAATCCAGGAATAAGTGTTAAGCTGCTTTGATATACGTCTAGTCTATAGACACAAAAAGGAAATAATATAAAGACCTTTTTTCTTACCATGGCTCATAAGTACTGTTGTATAGTGCTAGCCCTGTATTGTTAAAGATCAATGGATAATGAGTCAGATATTTTGCTGGTCACCTCTACATTCCAGAATATTTCCTGATACCCATTTTAAGATGCTCTGACCTTGGAGCCAGGCAAAGTTGTTAATAATCCTCTCTTGAAAAGATTTAAACACACAGTCAGCAGGCATGCTCAAGAATCTTGTAATTACTATTCAGTACAGTAACGTAGTGTTCCTAGTGTTCCAGAATATTCAGTCATTAACTTTTTCAATACCAGGAAATGCACTGTGCGTTCATTAATTGTTTCATGCCTGGAATACTTATTCTATCTATCTCTCTGCCCCGTGCTGTTACCTCTTTAGAGCCACATAAATCTGGGTGATAGTAAAAAATATAACAGCTTTTAGTGACACAGTGAGCATTAGCAACAACTGTCTGTCTTAGGGATGAGTTAATCATTCAAAGTTGGTTTAGAAAACAGCATTAAATAATACAATAACTTTATGAGAGAAAAAAAATCCCAATTGGGGTCAGGGCGATATTATGTGGAAAACAAGAATAGACCCACTGCCTCCCCAACAAGTATGTCATAAGAGTGGACTGACTGGGGGCTTCCATTGAAGTCAGAATCCAAGAGGCCAAGAGCCAAAAGTCTGCACACACAAAAATCAGATCACTCAACTCAGGTTCTGGAACAAGAAAGAAGTAAAGAGGTGGGTGAACAACCAGAACCTTCCACCAGAGTTCACAACTAGTGAACGTGAAGAAGAAGGAGAAGAAAAGATTCAAAGGACCAAAGAAAATATGCGTTGAAGAAATCTTGTTCTGCATGAAACTTAACATCTATTTAATCACTGTCTGAAAATAGAAATTTAATTGTTGTCTTAGTATCTTTAGGTATCTTTTTTTTTTTTTTTTTTCAAACAGGTGGGAGGCTGCAAAATCTTTGATGGTGGACGTGGGATTCTTCCAGGAACTCATCTTTTATCAGAAAGATGATATCCCTGATGAAGTGATGTCAGAATTGAAGACATTTGTCAATGACCCTCTCTTCACCCCTGAGAATGTAGCACAAGCCAGTCTGGCCGCCTCGTCAGTGTGTGCCTGGGTTCATGCTTTGTACGCTTACAGCAGCATTCATCAGAAGATGAAGCCTCATATGAAAAGTCTGGTTGATGCAGAAAATAAATTAGCTAAAGTATGTATGACAGTGGAGACAGATAAGCATAAAGTATAGTTGCCAATTAAATATAAACAGTAATTATAATATAACATTAATGTATGTGTGAAACCTTTTTTGCCTTTCAATTGCTGTCTTTGTTCCTCAGACTTTCTTTGTATCTTTTTGTCTTGCTTCAAACTATTCATTTCTAATGATTGCTGTCATTTTTACATGTAGATAAGGTTTTTTTTTTTAAAACACAGTTTTTCTCATCAGGCTTATGATGATAGACCAATATTTGTTTAGGCCAGTCAGCACTTGATGGGTGATTTGGTTCACTAGCTTGCTGGTCACATTTTTATCACAGGATATTTCCTGGTGCCTATTTTGGTATAGGTTGACTTTAGAGCCAGTGTAAATTATTTAAAAAATCAGACTCAGTGTTAGTCAAGCATCTAGGATTTAAAAGTAATTTTTTTCTAATTATTTAAAGCAATTGTTATGTTTTACATAAAGACAATTTGTGTCATTGTAAATTATTTAAACCTTAACTCTTTCTGGGCAACATTTTTTTCTGGGGTTTGGACAGCATTAATTTTGAGCATAATTTTTTTTACTGCAACATGACAAAGCTAAAACCTTCCTCAAGAAAAGTATTGGCTGTATAAAGACATATAATATATAAAATTTAAGAGAAATGTGTGCAGAATAACTATTTAAGTGTTAGGGTTACAACAAAATATTAAAATCACACAACATTCAAGGATGTAAGACACATATGACAATTATTTACGTGCTTACCTTACTTTTTACTTGTTCAGCAATATTGCTATCCATTTCTAAGAATTCTGTTCACTTACGTATCAGCTTGTCTTTATTTTAAACAATTAATTTAAATACTTTGGATGTTATGACGATTTTTGTATGACACATCAGATTTCACAGCAACTGAAATCGGGAAAAGAGCTAATCGAAACAGATGATCCAGTTGAAATATTTTGCTCAGTCTTTAACCTAACCTATAATACTGACACAAATTTGGCACATGCATTATCAATCATAATATCAAGACTATTTTCACTGACTGGCTGAGATTCATCAACAACAGAGAGTATGAACAGTTCTAGACATTTTCCCTTATCATTTGGTCTGGAAAAATCACACAGTAATTGAATCACATCTAATTATTATAAAACAAATCAGTCCAACTTACTTGTCTGGAAGGAAGAGCTTGAAAAGAAAGGGATGACCATCAGTGTCTCCAAAACTAAAACCATGGTGATCTCAAGAGAGGAGAAGAAACACCAGATCATGATGGGTCAGTATGCGTTGGAGCAGGTTAACCAGTTCAAATACCTTGGAGTTGTATTAGACCAAAATGGAGGCATTAAGACTGAGCTGGCAACACGAAAAGCAGCTGCTGGGAGACTCTTCCAGGCCATAAACCGAGGGTTTCTTAGCAAAAGAGAAATTGGCAAGAGGACGAAAATGGCTGTTTACCGCTCTACCTATGTACCAGTCCTGACCTATGGGTGTGAGTCATGGGCAATGACAACAGCTCACAGAAGCCAGCTGCAGGCCTCGGAAATGAGATACCTGAGAAAGGTGGTCCAAGTGACAAGAAGGGACAAAGCCCGCAATCAGACAATACGTCAAGATCTTGATACCCAGCCCATACTAACCCGAGTGGATCAGTCACAGTTACGATGGTTTGGACATGTGTGCAGAATGGGAGAAAATCGGCCACCATGGCAAGCATGGGAGGCTAAGAACCAGGGAACCAGACCTCCAGGACGACCCAGGGTGCGCTGGGAAGACAACATCCGACAGTCCCTGACTTTCAGAGGAGTGGAATGGAACAAAGCCAGAAAGAAAACTGCTGATAGAGACGTCTGGCGATCTCTCTGGCAAACCTCTACACCCCAAGGTAGAAGAGGAGCGACTAAGTAAGTAAGTAAGAAATTAGTGCAAACACCATACCGAAATTCAAAAAACAAACGGTCTTCGTTTCACTAATTTTAGTTTTTTAAACATGTTCATACAAATTTGTTTTCCCAGCAAACAAAACAGTATCAAAGTGTCTCTACGAAGCGCCACTATAGTCGCGAATAGTCTGAACAGGATGGATTCACAATACACTCAAGTTGTATGTGATTCCTGTTTCAAGGAGCATACTTTTTACAAGTTCCTTGCAGGATACAAAATGGTGAATTCATTATGTGTCAGATTCAGTCTGCAAATGAGCAGTTGTGTACCATAGTAAATGTGTTACTCCTAACTATTACATGGCTACTGTTGTGTTATTAGAAAACCACTTCATGATGTAGCTGATGCTTGCTTACCAACACATTTGATAAACATATTCTAGGCCCAAGCCCAACTTGGACAGCTGCGATTAGAGGCCAGTCAAATGAAGAACAACCTGGAGCAGTACATCAGTCAACACAAAGAGGCTGTTAAGGCTGCCAAGGCCATTGAAAAGCAGATACTGGTAAGATTTTTTTTTTTAAATCTTTTTTTTTTCCTTATTTCCTTTTTTAACCTCTTTGGGTGTTCTTCTTCTTCTTCTTCTCTTCCACCTTGTACCTCATCGAAGTGTCGGGGGGAGATGTAATGTTCGTTGATGAGCTCTGTCAAGAGCACTATTAAGACTGATGTTCATTTCTGTAAGGCTGTTCTTAATGCCATCACTCCATCTTTTCCGAGGTCTTCCACTCGCTTTATACCCGTTGTAACGTTTTAGTGTGGCTCGCTGTGGCAGATAGTACCAGGGCATTCTTGTTAGGTGTCCAAACCATTTCATTTGTTGTTCTTTTATGACCTGTAAGACTGGCTTTATTCCTAGCATTCGTCTGATTTCATGATTTTGTATTCTGTCTTTCCTTGAAACTCCTGCAGCTCTTCTAAGGCATTTCATCTCTGTTGTCACAATTTTACGTTCATTGGAGGATGTAAGTGTCCACGTTTGGCACTGATAGCATAGTATTGGCCAAAAAATAGTTCTGATAAGATTCACTTTAGTACTCTGAGGTATCTGCTTGTGTGTCAACAGGGGAGATAGTTGGCCCATTACTTGATTAGCTTTGGCACATCTGGAGCTAATTTCTCTGTCCAGTTTTCCGTCTGAAGTAAAAATTGCTCCCAAATACTTAAATTCCTCTGTTTGTCTCAGGGTGTTGTTTTTTAATTTAATTTCTAAATTGTCTTTATGTCTTCCTATCATCATTGTCTCTGTCTTCGTAGTGTTTATTTTCATATTATATTCCTCCCCTTTGTTACTAATTTGATTTAGGTGGTTCTGTAGGCATTCCATATTTTCTGCTATGAGTACCTGGTCGTCGGCGAAAAGTAATTCTGTTATATCTTCTTCCTGATTAAAGTCTGTTTCGCTACATATGGCGTCCATGTATGTTATGAAAAGAAGCGGCGATAGTACACAGCCCTGACGCACACCAGAGTTCACTATAAAAGTTCTAGACAACCCTGCCTTTGATCTTATGCAGCATTCACTACGTGTGTACAGGCTTTTGCAAATATTAATGAGATGATTGCTGATTCCTTTTTTCCCCATACATTCCCACAACATATTCCTGTCGACTCTATCGAAGGCTTTTTCTTGGTCTATGAATGTCAACAAACATGTCTTATCATGTTCTATTGCCCTTTCTGATAGTTGTCTCAATGTATAAATGGCATCTGTGCAACTTCTGTTTCGTCGAAAGCCCATCTGTGCTTCTGAAAGTTGATACTCTATCAATGGTCTCAGCCTTTTTTCGATGATCTTAGCATGATCTTTGGGTGTAACGGGAGATTAAGTTTTTTTCTTATTCTTCTGGCTGCCTCAGCCATAGACTCATCATGCTGCTGTAGAGTTTCTCTGTTAACTTTCCATGTTGTTCTTGGTCTACCTTGAGCTCTACATCCTTCTCCTGTTTTAGTGTATGCCTTGTATGGTGTGGACTCACAAGGCATAACTGGGCAAACCATTTGATTTGCTGTCTTTGTATGTAATTTAGGATTAATTCTGTTTTTTGTGTGACCTCATTTCTCATTTGATCTCTTCTGGTCACTCTTGCAGCCTTCTCAGACATCTCATTCCCATTTTATTTTCTCGTTTACTGGAAAGATTGCTATTTTAAAATGTTTTATGGGTCCTTTCCTTGCCATTGACAAATAGGGTGAGTGGGAGAATTAGGGGAAGTTGGTCCAAAAGCAGATGCTGATGTTGAAGGCTGGAGTTTTAGGCCTTCACATATCCTAGGCCATGAGGTGACATCTTTTCCTCCCCATAAAACTTGTATTTAAAAAATCTGAAATTTATTTATCAGGTCTCACTACCTATTTTTATGAGGCTGGATTGACCACAGAATAGAACTAGTCAGAAAAAAAAAATATTTTCTGTGCTTAAAATTGACTCTGACCACTTTCATAGCAGGCGAGTTCCCTAAGCAATGAGCACCTGTAGGTAAAATATTTAACCTTCTGAGACCCAAGTAGTTTTGACTTTAACTCCTTATATCTCAGAGAGTTAGGGTTAAAATCAAAATATTCTTGTTTTAATTGAATTCAATTTAGACGATATTTAGCAGAGTTAGTTAACTGACCAAAGGTTCAGTTACAGAGGTTAAACAAAACATCTGTCTGTAGTAGAAGTCAGTAAGAATATTCTGTCATCTCTGTAATGATCAAGAAACGTAGAATGCATTGTTTGGTTCTGAAAGAGTTCAGCAGTTGTTGTTTTTTTTACCAAGATGTAAAATTTGTAAATGACTAAAAGTTCACACGCCAACAGTAGTGTCTGTCATGTGATTACTTGGAAAAAAGGTACAGCATGACACTTGGAAATGTAGACAAACCATAACAAATATATTCCTATACTACTAAATAAATATTTGTTGTCACATGAAACCTGATTAACCCTACCAGACCGCTGGCCCGCTTTTCCGGGAATTTCCTAGCCAGCCGCTAAACCGCTGGCCCACTTTTCCGGGAATTAAAGTAGTATGTGACAAATATGCGTCACAGACTATAAATAACCAGCCAATCGCCAGCAGACTTCGTTTGTTAGTCATTGTGAATGACTTCCCACGTGTGTTGAGATTTCTTTGTGTGGTTTGATGTGAAAAAAATTCGGAAAATTCTCAATGAAACGAGCGGCTTCGACAAGAAAGTGACGTAGGTCTAGGCTTATCACAGTCCAACAGTTGATCTATACTTTAGTTAATTCAGACTGTGAATGCGTTCATAAAGAATATGATCCCAGTTGAAGTAACACAGTCAGTGAGAGCTAGAGTGAGGAGGAGAATTATGAACATTATAGATTTAAAACTAGATCGATAGTAAGAGAAGGGGGCGTGTCCTTCAAACTGCAACATTTGCTGCTTACTTTGAGGATCAAGACTGATCCTACTAGGTGGATTGGCACACAAAGGGGGAAGATTGGCGCTAGATGAAAGGTAAACCTATCTTCTACAATGTCTCCAAGTTTTATCTTATTCTAACCACTTGTTTACATGTAACTAATTTTTTTGTACATCATGTTGGTTTTTTGAGTGTTAGTGCTCAGGAGCTCAGGTTATAGGGACAGTTCGATTCAGGGCGTCAGGTCTGGCAGGGTTAAAGGTGGATTTGTTGATTCATCTTAAACAGATGAACCTGAAAATGTGCACTGATTTCTAGATTGTTACCAACACGTGCTTGGAATATTATATTATCTTGTGGCATGTGTTTGTTTTTAGTTGTTGTTTTTTTAAAGTTTTTTTTAAATGTTTAAATACAAACTTTCATCCTGAAGACATTGACTTCCTTTTTTGCCTTGTATTAGTTGATGTTCATTAAAATTTCATATTTCTTTTTTGAACAGGCCATTGAACGCAAGATTGCTCGGGCCAGTAACCTCATGGAGAACATGTCAGTACAGCATTTCCTCTGGCGCTCAGAGCTGAAGAGAACTCGAAAGAAAATCATCTCTGCCCCTGGGGATGCTCTGATTACTTCAGCTTCATTGATATACCATGGTCCCCTGGATGATAGATCAAGAAAAGACCTCATGAGTGACTGGCTAAATCGCATTAAACAAAATGCTTTCAGTTCTCAAGGATTCATGGGAACTGACCTTTGGTCAGAGACTGCCAGCTTTCCTCGGCTTATTAAGCCAGATTTGCAGCAGAACTGTGCTAGTAAGACTAGCTCAGATTTTCATGCTCATATGTTATCTCATTCTGAGGTAAACTGTCAAGTGCCTCTGCAACAAAAGGTATGCGAACAGTTTTGTTACGCCATCTGTATAAATATAATATCAAACATAATATGTTACTGTTTGTGCCTGTGCAGTGTTCAGAAGAGTTAAATATGAGTATATTGACTAAAGATAGCATTTGAGCATTTACTTTTGAAGAGGGGGAAAAAGCATTTTAGTTACTATGACATCATAATTAAATTTGTATTTAGCAGTCACATAGCAACAGGAACGTGGTATAAGTTCCATGCGAATTTTGGTTAAGAATCAAGTTTAGTTCATATTTATTGATTATGCCTCTGCATATATTTATTTTTAAAATTTAGGAGACATAAAATTATTTTTAATTGTTTTAACTTTTAAATTAAAAAAAAAAAATTACATTAAACTTTTTCGTATTCCATACTTCAAGAACTAAATATTGAAGAAGGTTGGCTATTAAAGACAATAAAACACAGAAAATTGAAATGTTTTGGTGACTTGAAAAGTCACAAAAGTTTAGAAAGAATAAAAATGGAGGGCTATATGCCTGGGAAGAGAGGAAGAGGAAGGCCAAAGAGAAGATGGGTGCAGGATGTGTTGGATGATCTTAAGATGGGTGTATCAGATGTAGGACATCTTGATTGTGATCGAGAAGTTGTTATGAAGAGGGTTGTTATGAGAGCAAGGTTCTGCAAAGGACACAGTACTGAATTTTGCTGGGGTGGGGGGGGGGGGAGGATTCCTAGATTTTGGACCTTCTTTATCAAAGGTTTTTAGGTTGAACCGGTTAAGGGGGAACTAAACAAATTCCTGCTGAATCACAAAATGAAGAAAATGTTATGGTACTAGATAAAACTAGAATGCCATTTCAGTGGAGACTGTAGTACATAATAGATTGAGAGGGAACTAAAAACACAAAAGAGAATTACAGACAAGTGAACAAAATGCAGAAGGCATTGAGGGGCAACCTCCTGTTCATCTGTATACTTCAGACCCAGTATTTGGCCTTATTACTTACAGACACAAACATGCATGCACACACCAACACCCACACACACATACATATACACAGATCAGTGGAGATTTTAAAATATCAACCTCAGCTTCAAGGTTCACCATCCTAACTGAGCATTGTTGTGCATGTAAAAACCCCTTGGCAGTTGGAAATCAAAAAGAGTAGCCTAACGGCACTGCCTGGGCAAAATTTGGATTTAAAAATCTACCCAAAAGTATTCCAGGATTCTTGCCAGTGCTACAGAGCCCGTGCTCTGCGCTGAGCTTCTTTGGACTCATACTTGAGTTAGAAAAACAATGGAGCTTTTATGTGTCAAGACATGTGTGCCATGATGTTGATCCCTTGTTCAAACTTCAAACTTCATTACATTACTTACAATATTCAGTTGCTAAAAGATAATCTTCAGCATTTGAAATCAGACTGAACTCTTTGTACAGGTGAAGACTTTCAAATACAAGTCTGCTCTTTATGAAAGTAAAAGTTACTATAAATCTGAGCTGAAAAGGCAGGATACAGTGCAGACTGCAGTACCAGAAGACCTTGCAGATGATTCAGATGAAGATGAGAACTGTTTGCTGCCCACACGTCCAAATCTTGCCCTCCAGGAAATATTGTCAGATTTTGATGAACTCAGTGAATGGCGCAAGCAAAATCTACCCACTGATTTACACTCTGTATGTATCATCTTTATTTTCTAAATTACTTTTTTTGTATTATTTATGGTAATTCTCAACTTAAAAAGACAAGTAAATTTAAGTATAACTACTAGAAAGTAATGGTAGTTGGCATGATACTGACTATATTATCAAGTGATATAGACAAGTGGTTTTTCAGCCTGTTGGGTCACTGAAATTTATGGTTTAACTCTTTGAGTCCCAGAGGGTTTAGCATCACGGGCCCAAGGGGTAGTAGAGACAGATATAAAATTGCTGCATCATGCGTTTTTTGGGCTTCTAGGTAGGAACTTATGAATGTATGATGCGTTCCTTGGGACTGAAAGAGTTAATACTTTGTCTTCAGTTTGCACAGATGCATTAGATGTGTGTAAATGAGGTTGTCTTTGACTTTCATGTAAATTAAGATATTGACTTAAATGGAAATTCTAAAACTGTTTTTAAAATCTTATTTTACTATAATAAAAAATGCTGCTTTTAAACTTCCACGTCTTTTCATGTTATAGATGGTAGAAACATTTTGCTGATCTTATTTAAAATGTTTTCTTCATTTTAATTTTATAATCACACTGCTTTTCCATAATTTTTTTATGGTCTTACTTATTGCATTGGCATTTAGTTATAAAAGTGGCATGAATGTCATTGTATGAAATTTTTAACAGTTATTTGTGACTGCTTAAACTGACTCATAATATAATTCCTCACTATACAATTTTCAATTTTAATTTGTTTGTTTCCTTTGCCAGGTTCATAATGCCCTGATTATGCGAGTTTGTTGTCACAATCGTAAGCACAGTTGGCCTTTGCTGATTGATCCAGACAATCAAGCAGAAATGTGGGTTCGAATTTTACAGAACAATCAAAATTTCTTTACAGAGAGAGATGTAGCAAGTTTTCTTACTGATGATGGTGAGCACTGCACAAATGTTTCTCTCTAGGTAAATTAAAATGTCCTCACTGCAAAAGCTGAATTATTACATGCCAACATTCACTGAATATGCTGGAAGTGTATGGTGGCGCATGTGTGTAAAAAATTTTTTTAAAAAGTGATTGTCCGAGTACTAATGTTTCCAAATGAATGTAAGTTAGCCTACTGACTACCATGTTCACACATTATGCAATCAGCCAACATTTACACCTGGCTACTTTGATCGCACCCCCCTGCAATCATAACTTTGGATGTTCACCGTCACATTAAAATCGAGACTTGTTTGATAAATTTAGTTGAAACCATGGTTAAAGTAATGTTTTCGGGCACAGAAAGAGTGACTTCCCTTCCATGCATGCTTTGTTGTGTCGAAGGTGTGTCCTATGTTGCGGGGGTGTCGAGCTTAGTGACCAGTCAGCAAAACATAATATTTGTCTCATTGTTGTCAATGGCCTGCATGTTCTATATTCCATGATGTGAGCATATTTAACAGTCACAAAAACATGTAGAACTGGCTTTGACACTTCATTCATACTTTGTAAGTTCATAGTGCAAAATGGTAGACAACAAGAATTATCGAATTTTATTTCAGGTTTAGGCAGAGCTTTTATCCAGGTATATTTCAGAGAAAAAAATTGTCTTATATTGGTTCACACAGAAGATTTTTCACTTGCCTGTTTTTGCAGCCACATAATGATGATGTATAAAAAGATTACATAACTTTTTATTCTTGAAATTTGTTCTCCTTTCAGTTTGGTGCAAAAATGCAAAATATGAATTTAGGTTAAATAATAGATCCTTATCAGGTCTGCACTGTATCAGGTTTGCATGGTTTTTATGTTAAATAATTGTGAAGCTATGGACATTTTGTTAGGCTATATTGCTCTCAGAAAAACGATTTTTCAGTTACATTTTTTTCCCCACCAATCTACAGCCACATGGTGATGACGTAAAACAAGATTACACAATTTTTCTTTCTTGAAATTTTTTCTCTGTTCAGTTTGGTGCAAAAAATACAAAACATTATGAGTTTTTATTCAATAGTTGTGAAGCTATGGCATTTTTGTTCACACTAGAAAAAGGCAGTATTTGGGAAAGTGCAAGGGTTAATGGGCGGCGTCCGTGGCTTAGGTGTTGCAAGTCCGACTCGTAATCCAGCGTACCACAATCGAAACCCACTGCTGGCTGCGTGGATTTTTTATCATGGTACGGGGCGTCGCAGGTCGACCCAGCCTAAAATGGGTACTAGAATGGGCTGTCCTGGGAAAGCAAAGACAGCCGGCGTAATGCTGACCACATTACACACCGAGTGCTGATGGTCTGTAAAATTATGGGCGCTCTTCCCATATGCCCGATATGCCTAAAGGCGTGGAAAGGGATCTTTACTAATAGCATACAGCAAATGTTAATGGGCTTGGTAATTAGAGGGTTATGAAAGATTATCCGTCAGGTACATTTTGTCATAAAAAAAGCTAAAGACCAGACTGATGGCCAGACAATTTTTGAAGGTAACATTTGATAGTGGGGAAATTCTATCTATCATCTGAAACAGTTCATTTTAAGGTTCTTCTTCTTCTTTGCCTTCACCGGCTTTTACTCCAGCAGAAAGTTCTGCTTGTTTGTTCACTTCTGGACTTTAAGTCTTGTTCCAGAACTTGAATGGTGGTTGCATGCACATCTATTTTACAGATCTGGCTTACTTGTGTGCAGACTGTTGGTTCCTTGCCTGTCAGGTAGCTGCACTTCGACTTTGAATTAAACCCCTAATTTGTTGACTGTTACAACTCTTGTTTTCCCCATAATGGGACCCCAAAAAAAATTATTTAAATATCAAAAGAAATGTTCGCAGTGGATTTCTTGGATGCCAGTGAACCTCCATGAGGAAGAACTCTTGGGGTAGAGTTTGTACCACCTGCTGTTTTACAGATAAGATAATGATGCATTTCGAATCAGTAGTGGTCATTGAAATGTGGGGCCACAGTTTGAGCCATGCAACAAAACTTTCAGGTGATGAATCGGGGTGTGACCACTTTGAGCCACACAAAACTTGCAGCTAATGAACCATGGTGCCATTCTTTACTGTTTACCCCTTCCCCACCCTTACATGAATATTTTATGATACTTTATATTCTATTTAGACATCCCAGTAGAGAGAAGCAGTTATCAGGAAAGTGAAGAAATCCTTGGTTCACCTCTCTATAGCAGGGGCACATCGAAAATATTTTCTGATACTACTGACAACACCGCTACAAACACCTCTACAGTGGGAGTTATTAACAGGTAAGTCAACTGAAAACTGTTGTTTTACTTATAAAATATAGGATTTAAATTTGATACAAATAAAAGCATTTTTATTTTTTGGGTACAATATTTGTTTAGATTAACACAAGATCTTTCATTTTTTTTTTATTCTTTCTTGCTGTTACACTGCTGATGGAACTATTTTACACGTTTCTATATATTATTGTTTCTCAACATAACATCTTCACCTTCAAAGTTTCCTCTTGTGTTCACCCTTGTGTTGTGGTTACAGTTGGGCTATGATCTCTGCACCTTTTGGCCTAACACATCTGATTTCAGGGAATCCTTAACCAGTCATCATTTGCAACCTGCTTGTTAAGGAGCAGTGGGTCTAATGGTTTGTCTCCCAAAACTGGGACCTCAGAACCCACAGGGAAAATAACATCTTCAATTTGAAGAAAGAAAATGGTTTTTTTTAAACAACTTCAAAGGTATTATTAATATTCTATGTTCACTAGTTAGTGCATAAATTATAAATTGTATGGGTCGCTGAGTTAATTATAAAAGACAGTGAAGTTCATACTAGAGACAACATTACAGATATAGATAATCTATTTTGGGCAAAATAAAAATAGAAGGAGAAGAAGAAGTGCATACATTTTTCATATCTAACTGGAAGAATTATGAATGGAAATCAGAGCATCTAAAAAAAGTATTATCTGTGATCGAGGGCGGGGAAGAAAAAAAAAAGGGGGGGGGGAATAGACAAATGAGCACATATAAGAAGAAAACTTGTGACTTTTGTTTTTCACTTTATAAGGGTTCATTCAGGACTACACTCCATCTGCTGTTGTACTGAGTTTTGATATAAATACATCATTATTAACCCTCTTACCTCAAGAAAGCAGTTTTTCCTACATTTACTAGTTTTGGTTGGCATGATGTTTGGGCAGTGCCCAGTGTGTCCATATGAGTGAGCAAGTAAGTAAATTTTACCCCACTAGGACATCACACAGAGTGATAAACACCTGGTGACCCAATGTGCCACCATGCGTGTGAGGATCACCCGTGGAGAGGTCCCGGAAATCGCGTTCAACCGTTAGGTTATATTATGATACCTCAGCGAAAGCCGGGGTGGGGCTACAAAATAATGAAAAATTGTTTCCTACACAGGGACAATTTTTTCAAGTTGTTCTGTGTCCATATTGCAGCTTTGGTTTTGTCTGTAACATGGTGGGTATAATTATATTCACCCTCAAAAAATGTGTTTACATATTTATTGGGGTGAATAAAACAGATTAAAAAAATTGGTGATTCACTATCATGTCATATAATTTCATTGTTACATCACATCACATTGCGCTAAGTGGCAGCGGGAGCAGACCCACTTTTAAATAGTCAAAGGGACAGAAATCAGTTAATTCTTTGCTCTGTTCAAATTTTGAGGTTACTCCCCTTCATGAAAATAATAAAATTTTCCAAGTTTAGACACTTAATTATTGGATTTTTGTGTGTGTGCACAGGCATGCGTGTGTGAGAGAGAGAGAGAGACAGAGACACAGAGAGAAGAAGCAGAGGATTCCACGCCTGTTGATCTTCTTGGTGGTCTAGAGTTTTCACCCTTGGATATTTATAAGACTAATAGATTGCTTCTGCTTCTTCTTCTGATTTCTTAGAAAAGAGTTTCAGAGAATTTAAAGGGTGGGTAATTTTTTTAATGAAATTTGACAAAAAGTAAATTGTTAAGATTCTTACAATTGTTAAAAATTACTTCAAACCCTACCGTATGAGAAATCTCATGTAAACTACCTAACCTTTGATAAAGGTCTTTAACAGCCAAACCTAACAATGAAGAAATATATAATACACTGGGAAATCATGCTTCATATTGTAAATGTGTTCATATACATTTTAATGTGAGTTTTGGAAGGATGGGAGTGTGGGAGATGTGGTTGAGAGGTCTTGATGTTCATCTTCGGCTCAATAGTTAGTTGGTGCAAATCCAGCATAGGGCTAATAATGTTTACAAAAACTGATGCTACCTAATGATGACACCTCCTCCACTTATCCCTTTGGTAGTGAGATTAAATATAAAATGTTACCTTAAAAGGACATCAGGTTTTGTGTGAGTTTTCTGCATGCTAAAAGCAAAAATGCACTTGACGGTCAAAGAGAAGGATGTAAAGTTGAAGGAATTATTATGGGTTTAGAACAAGTGTAAGGGTTTTTGCAATAATATTTTACTATGAAAACAATTCATTATCATCATGTGCCCAGCCAACTAGTGTAGGCACTCATGCCTCTCTACAGATCACGCACAATCCGTGGGCACCTGGAACAGCTCTCTTGATGATATCCCTCCATGCCATCATTTCAGCCCTTCCAGCATCATCTCTTTTGGTCTGCCTCTACCCAATTAAAAAATGGAAATGTGTTGTGAATGATTGCTTGAAAGAAGCTAATGAAAGTAGATTTTTATATACAACAATAAGAAAGATACAAATACTGTTCTTTTGGCCAAATAATGAGAAAAGAAACATTGGAGAACATTGTGACAACTGGAAAGTCCCGTGGGAAAAGGGGTAGAGGCAGACCAAGAAAGATGATGCTGGATGGGCTGAAACGATGGCATGGAGGGATATCATCAAGCGAGCTGTTCCAGGCAACCAGGGATTGTGATCTGTGGAGACGCATAAGCGCCCACGCCAGTTGGCAGGGCACCTGATGACGAAGAGGATGTTGTTGTGAATTACATGTTTCAGGTGCATGTCATTTGTAATAGTCTTTAGAAAAAAATGTACATTGTGTTGAAAGATGGCACATCTCATTGATATTTTCCATGCATGTTGTAGACAAGTATCACAGTCCTGCTGTTCAACTGGTGACACTGGAAACCAAACTGTAACTCAAGTGTCCAGTGCATTCAACAGCTTCACTGCTGATTCAGATCTAGATTTCTCTAAAGACAGTGTTTGGGTTTTAATGACTGATGATCCAAACTTCAACTCTAAATTAATCAGTGCCGTAGTCCATGGTAAGTTTTTTTTTCTGCCTGTAGTATTAGTTACTCTGTGGCTAAGTCGATGCGAACACTTTGTAATGGCGTGGTGCCGGGTTCAATCCCAGCTGCGGGCCATGCACCTTGCGTTGGTTTTGACAGTGGTATCAGGGAGCCAACCGTCCAGAAAGAAATGGCAAACTACTGGACGTAAATTTGCCTAGAGAAACCATACAACAGCCAGGGGCTGCTGGGGTTGGTTTGCAACGTCCTGTTAAGGATACGCAACTAACCTTTAGTATTAGTTACACAAATGAGAATGTGGTATTTGACTTTTTAAATTTTTTTAATGTTAATTGTGTAACATTTAAAGGATGATGCAGAACCAACCCAGACATTTTTTGGCTGTTCTGTTTTAGTCAGCATTTTTTTTTTTTTTTCAGCAGTTTACCTTTGCTTCTGAATGATTAGCTCTCAATATGATTGTCAAAATCAATGCAAAGCTGTCTTCTTTAAGATTTCTTGCAGCTGGAAATGAACCAGATACCTCAAAATTATGAAGTGCAATCACAGTGCCTAAGTCATAGGAATTGTCCAACCCCATTTTTTTGGGTTGTTTGCTTTTACTAAACAATTAACATTCAGTAGTTTGCCATTGCATTATAAATGATTGACTTTCTCTGTGATTGTTGAAATCAAGACAAAGCGATTTGCTGCCAAATCACTTGCAGTTGGAACGGAATCAGATACCATAGAATTGTGAAATGCAATAACAATATTTAAGCTGTAGGCACCAACTATTTTCTTGATATATTTTTAAAATATTAAAAAACTGGAACCCATTATAACTGTGGAAGAATTATGCAGTAAGAGGTAGAAGAAGAAAAATGAGTATGATTCTTGATGGCTTTTTCTTTTTTCTGCCAGGGACAAAATAGCATGGGAATTGATATATATTTTGCTAGAGTTTGTAAGATGTAGATAAGCTTAATCACTCATGCCTGTTAGAAAGCATTTGATGTTGATGATTATTGATGTTAGCTATAGAAACATCATTTGTGGACACTAATTTGTTAATTCTAGTCTTTGTGTTGGAAACCATAATTTTGTGCTCTACAATAGGGCTATTCAACTGGCAGCCCATGGCCAGACTTTTTCCTTGGAGGCCTATCAAGTTGACCTTGGAGGCCTATCAAGTGGCCCTTGGAGGCCTATCAAGTGGCCCTTGGAGGCCTATCAAGTGGCCCTTGGAGGCCTATCAAGTGGCCTTTGGAGGCCTATCAAGTGGCCCTTGGAGGCCTATCAAGTGGCCCATGGAGGCCTATCGTGGTCCTTGGAGGCCTATCATGGCCCTTGGAGGCCTATCAAGTGGCCTTTGGAGGCCTATCAAGTGGCCCTTGGCCTATCAAGTGGCCCTTGGAATTCTTTCAAGTGGCCCTTGGAGGCTTTTCAAGTGGCCCTTGAAGGCCTATTAAGTGGCCCTTGTAAGCCTATCGTGGTCCTTGGAGGCATATCAAGTGGCTCTTGGAGGCCTATCAAGTGGTCCTTGGAGGCCTATCAAGTGGCCCATGGAGGCCTATCAAGTGGCCCTTGGAGGCCTATCAAGTGGCCCTTGGAGGCCTATCAAGTAGCCCTTGGAGGCCTATCAAGTGGCCCTTGGCGGCCTATCAAGTGGCTCAAGGATCATTGCCAGTTGTATTATATTAATGATTTTCCTATACTGAGGCTTTGACCTCTGATCCGTGACAAACCCTTTTTTCAACATTTTGGCCCCAGAGTAAAGTTAGTTAAAAATAGCACTGCTCTATGATATGGACTGTGAGTATTCCCATAAGACAAAGCACCATCTTGTATAGTTTTTAAAAAAAAAAGTAAAGATCCCTTTTCATGCCTTAGGCGCATTCTGGCAAATGGGAAGAGCACCCATATTTTACAGACAAATTGACACTAGGTGGGTAATGTGGTCAGCATTACGCCGGCCGTCTTTACTTCCCGAGGACATACATCCTGGTACCCATTTTAGGCTGGGTCGACCGGCGACGCCCCATACCATGATAAAAATTCATGCAGCCAGCAGTGGGTTTTGATCACGGTACATTGGAATTACGAGTCGGACTCTCAACGCCTAAGCCACGGAGGCCGCATCTCGTATAGTGTTAATCAATAAATATTAGGGAAATGTCTCATTCGCATACTTTTGCTTTCATTACATGAATATACAGAGTGGCCTTAAGGTCTAAGAAATAAAAGAATAAAATCAAATACATTTTGAGACAAGATATTATAAATGCAAAAAAAGGCTTTATATAAATTTAATAAAAGTTATAAGAGTAAATCAGTTCACATTACAAATACTTTTTTCCATTATAGGGGCTACAGTATTGGTGACCCACTTGGAACGAAAACCACTTGACCAGTTATTCAGCGACCTGCTGCTAAAACAGTTTTCTATGGACAGAGATGGTAACAAGATTGTCAAAATTGGTGGCATGGCCTTCACTTTCCACCCAAGTTTTTGCCTCTATCTCAGTATCTCTGTGCCTCTTTTTGTAAAGGGTGAGTCGAAATGAAATCTAGCCACATATAACAATTTGTTTTATTTTAGTTACTGAAATTACAAAAAATGTTTATTGTATTTTTTCGGAATTGTGTGATACATCATCATCATCATTATCGTTATCATCATCATCATCAAGTCTCTTGCAGGCTTTTGTGTATGACTATGCCTCTCCACCAACTTGCAATTTCCAACAGCATGTATCAGTTCATATATTGTCACTCCTTCATGCCATGACAACAGGCTATCAAGAATCCTCTCTTCCTCTATCTGTCTTTCCACAAATCTTATTCCTCTGACTGAAACTACATATGGGTAATTAAGATCATATGACTTGGAAATGGTATACAGGGTAAGTCAGAAATATGGCTACATGTTGAATCACACAAAAGACCATTGGAACGGTAATTCTTGAAACTAAAAATGCACATCAATAAAAATAATACCAAGTCACTTAATTGCCTCAAACTGTTCTTTCTGATGCATGCACACTGAAACAGTTACTCTTATTTCTAACATCCTGTAAATATCCTCTTGTATATTATGCACTTGCGTACATATTTCAGGTGATGGAATATTCACAATTCCCCTGAATCATCTCTGTGTGATTAACATGGCCATGAGTGATGAAGCCATTATCAACAGACTTATGCTTGAAACAATGAAAGTTGAAAAGAAAGAGTTTGAGAGCCAGAGGAGATCAAATGAAAATGACATCATACTTCATCGTCAACAGCTGGCAAAGGAATATGTGAGTTCAGCATTTGCTACCTGACAGTTTCATCTTTAATTATGAATGTAGTATTATTATTATTATTGTCTCAATATTAATTAAAGTAATAACCAGAATAATTGTTTTATATCGAAAGAAATCAGTCCTCTCTGAATAATTGACTGAAAGCACATCATTTTGCAAGTCATAATTTTTTTTTTAATCATCCTGTTTTTCATTCATATGTAAATTAAATTCTGTCCAAAGTAGTGATAATAATAAGAAGAACTCTACGTGGGAGCATGCACAGCAGGGGTCCACCAGTCATCAGTAGAGATCCTTTGTCGACAATTGTTTCTTCCCTATTACTTCCCCAAACAATCTCTGAAGGTGGACCCCAATCTTCCTCTGCTGCACTTCATCGAACTCAGTAGGGACAAGACTTTGTAACAGTTGTTGTGAGATTTGGTGTTATATTGTCGCTGCGGGAGAAAATCAGTTTACCTTCACGACCAGAGTGACAAGCTTATGGCTGGTTCATCGGACAATTGTTAGACTTTTTTAATTTGGCAGAGAGACACTGGCAGACATATATCGGACACTTTGACTTCTGATGGATAAGAATCTCTTTTCCGCTAGGGGCCAGTCTACAGAGGCCTTGATAAGCACCTCTAAACCCTCACTGGACTGACTGACTGACTTTCTACCCCACCAGGACATCACAAAAGCGATAAACACCTGATGACACAATGTGCCACCATGTGGATGAGGATCACCACGCAGAGGTCCCAGAAACCGGGTTCAGCCATCAGGCCATATTTATGGCCTGGCTATATTGCGGCTCCCGGCAAGAGCCAAGGTAGGGCTTCAAATAACGAAAAATGCCATCCTAAAAAGGACGATGAGTAGTAACGATCACCCTCAATGGAACTAGCAGACAACACTACGATCCTTCCATTCAATGACTGATGAGCAATATTAAATTTATACAAATGCTTTTCAAATTTGCCACATATTGTTTACATTTGTGATTAAATACAACTATTGACAATTATTCTGTTTAAATTTTCATGATAATTTTCTTGTTAATTAATGTCTACAGGAGATTATCCGAGAGAAAACTCTAAACTTCCCAGGTCCTCTCCTGGACGATAAAACCATGCTCAATTCCCTTATGGCATGTCAAACAAATGTACAACATAACTACCAAGTTTTGGAAGAAACACTTTACATGGGGGATCATCTCGAAGGCAAATTTTCCCATTACATGCCATTCATAAGGCATTCTGCAATGTTGTACTGTGTGATGAACAAGATGTCAGCTCTCCATCCTGACTATTACCTGGCACTGTACAAGTTTGTGGAAATATTTTCTGCAGCCATAAGGAGCAGAGATAGAGGCAAAGAAAGCATTGGTGAGCTTCTTTTAGTGCTTTGATTAACATTTTATTAATTTATATCTGTTATTAATGCTTTCTATCCCAAATAATGTATTTTGTGGGACTGGCTATTCTTGCCTAGCAAGCACTATAGCAAGTGTGATTGTCCTTCTTATGTATAGTCAATATATCCTAAAGAAATCTGGCACCATACTTGAACTTTTTCTAGAAGCGGACAGGTGCGTTAACAGCTTTCACTTTTCTGTTGTTTAATGGACTGCCTCATTTTCACTTCTTATCTGCGTATTTTATCATTGTCGGCTGTTCTCGATCTCATGCTAAATGATTTTAATAACTGTATTGTAAATCTAGTTCTAAATTTCTTTTTTTTTAATTTCTCATGAACGCCTTTTAATAATCATACCTGATTTATTTTTTTGTCTACTAAAAGTAGCACATTTGCCATGATAATTATCATTCTGATTATTATTCTGTATACAAATAAAAAGTCACTTCCTTAAAGAAGACAAAAACCTACTAACTTGTAGGGTTATCAGCTTACTGACACGCACACACAATCCCTCAAGTTAAGGATCAGCCCCCATATACACATATATTTATTTATACACAAATAGATATGCCTGTATTAGTTTAGAGAATGCTAAATATCATTAACTGTTGAGTTAAAATTATTACCACATTTGCAAAATTGAAATCAAAAGTATTAATCCAAGGGTCCGTTTTGGCCAACAGTACTTAATTTGTATATGTAGAATTTCATAACTGGTCAGCTAAAAGTGTTTGCACATTATCTGTTTTCTCATTTACTGAGTCCCATTTGTCACAGGAGCTCCTGAGGTACGGGCACAAGAACTATCAGATGCAGTTCTTGAGGCAGTCTTCAGGTATGTGAGGCTGCTGATGTTTGAAGGTCACTATTGTTTGCTGGCCTTGCTTGTGTCCCTGGAGAGATTGTTGAGGCAACATAAAGCAAGCAGCAAGGAACTTGGTCTTTTTGTGAATGGGTTCATGAAGAATGGATCCCAAGATGCTAGTCTTCTGAAGCAGAAACCTCAATGGATGGACACTGAAGTTAGTATCTTTGTGATTTTTTAATTAACATATCTGAGCTCTGATAGCTTATTGATTAGTGTACTAGTTTATCAGTTTAGTAATCTGAAATTTGGTTTCGGCATCTGTGGCTTAGGCCCGAACGAGCTTCGTAATGCCGTTGCCAGGTTTGATCCCAGCTGCGAAAGATGTCTTGCTTTGGTTTCAACAGTGTTACAGAGAGCTGACCATTCAGAAGCATGGCACACTACTGAACGTTGATTTTGCCTTGAAAACCACAACAGCCAACAATTGGAATTGGTTCTGCAATGTCCTGTAAAGGGTACGCAACTAATGCAACTAACTTATATTTAATTTGGTTTCTTGGTGTGACAGGAAAAAGTGCTGGGAATTAAGACACAATTAAATTGACACCTAATAGTCAGTAATAAATCAGTAAGTACAGTCTTTATAATGAAGATTGACTGCATTGGATTTCTATCAGTTTGTATTTCTTACATTATATGTATACTATAAGAGGCAATATTTTGAGATCATTTCCCTATTTGTATTGTTGCATAGCACTTATTTGGGTACTTTCACTTTTTTTTTCATGCTTACTTTTTATAACATTGTCACTTCTTGACATTTGTGAAAATATTAGTTTTCTTTCACTTTTTCTTTTTTTTCTAAATGTTAATCTTTTTCAGGAACCAAAAAGCATGGTTGAAAATTTCAGAAATTTAAAGAATCATGCAAGATAATAAACTGAATGAGCTAAAAGACAAAAAACACTGGTACATTATTCAACTCTCTTGAGTCCAAGATGGTTCTGCATACATTTTCAAGGGGCACAGTAACCACTATGAACAATTGCAAGTGTATAATTAGGCAAAGTGCACAGTGACCGGAAGCATCTAACACATGGAGCCAGATCTTACTAGCATTTTCTGACCATATGTGAACATTGAAATGAAAAATATATGAATGTCAAAATTCAGTGAAAAGAGTCATTGTCACACCATGTGTTCCTTGGGATCAGTGAGTTAATGCACAGTTTATCAAGTGTGTTACAAAAGACTCAATAGTTTTATGTACACAAAGCTTACAATAGGTTCTACAGTGATGTATGTATTCTAGAACCTGAAACTTCATGAGACATACTAGGATATTGTACCACTACATCTCAGAAAGGTCTGTTCTATGGTTCAGTAAAACAATGCTAGATGAGAAACTGTGGTAGCCTGCATATTCTGTGAAAGACAGTGTTGCTCATGGAAGGAACATTGTTGCATGTATAGGCTGATTCCAACTGAACTGATGTGCTAGATATTTTATTAGTTCTGAGTTATCTGAGGCAGATGATGAGATTACTGCATTTAGGGACTTAAGCAAGGAGTGGCTGACCAAATGGTTATGAACGCTTGGCTGTCATACTGGAGACCCTGGTTTGATTCCTTAATAAGACTGTGGACTTTTTTCTGTGGGGGGGGGGGGGGTACAAAATTAAATCCTCAGAGGGGCTCAAAGACCCCCTTCCTCCCCCCCCCCCCCCCCATTTCTACGTGCACCACAAAAGTGATAAATACAATTTTTAGGGCAGTGACTTACAGCTTATCTGCTTAAATAAATACAGATTGGCAGTCAGTACTGATGAGGACCTGCTCAATCTAGTGAGTGATGTTCCCGAAAACAGATTTATCACTGCAGTTTGACAACAAAATATTGACTGAAAAGGTCAATCCTGTGCCAAGAGTGCACTGCTGAAGCTAGATGTTTCACTTGAAAGACAAAAAATGCAGCTTCACTGCAAAAAGAAGCATTATTCAGTAATCCTCCGAATAACGGCCACATATTATTACGGCGGTGGTGGTATAGTCGCCGGAAATCCAAAATTTACATGTGACTGAGGCCCTGTTGTTGGCCGCCATAATATGTGGCCGTTATTCGGAGGATAGCCCAAATTTATTTTCAGGATTAATTATTAAGATGATAAATAGTTTAAATTTTGTTTTTTAACTTCAAGTTATATAGTTTTAATATAATTTCTGAAACTGTTTATATCAGTGCTGTCTTGGGTGTAATATCGATTTTCAATTCATGCATAGCATTTTCTGCTTGTTTACTATGATGGCAGTCTTAAAAACATTTAAAATACATCTTTTACTTTTTAATCCTAATTGAAACCATTTTTTTTTACTATCACACCTTGTCTACTCATATTTGCTTTTTAGAACCAGAAAAACAAAATAAGATCTCAGAATTGATGAAATACCTTTGAATATTTGCTTGTTCATCCATCACCATAGGCATGGCAAAACTGCAAGCTTTTAGAGTCCTTCCAGCAACCTTTTGATGGCCTTTGTGACTCCCTGGTTAAGAATTGTCAGCAGTGGGAGGAGTATTTCCAGGCAAGTAAATATTTTATTTGCTGACACTTAGGCAATGTATCAAAAATTTATATATTGTTGAAGATTGTGAGTTGTGGTGAGACATGATCATCCACTCCTTTCAGCAAGGCAGCTGAGGGGGATGATCACCATTTGATGTATGTATGTGATATTTACTTTTTTCGCATACTTATTAATAAGTGAGAATAACTGAAAATGAATAAATTTATTCAGTTATGTAGTATTCTTTATTTATGTACAATGTTATCTCAAATTTACCTAGATATTTCACTCGGTGATGATTAACCTAAAATTTAAACACAAATTATTTATGTCTATAAACAAAGAAACTTTTTTTTTGTCAGAATCTTGTGAGCCTTGTTAGCCCAGTTCCTGGACCAACTCTTCAGGAGTTATCTCTCTTCCAGAAGTGTTTGCTGTGGAAAATGGTCTATCCGCAGAAGGTAAAATATAAATGATAGTTATTTAAAAACATGCATTCCCTCTCTCATAAAAAAAAAAAATCTGCAAGTAATTAACTGATTGAAAGATTTATCTAATTACTAACTTTACAGTGGAGAGGTCAATTAGAGTTCTTAAGCAGCCATTAGAATAATTGTGTACAGTTTCTTCCATGTTAATACGCAGTCCTCATTAATTTTGTCTTAAATTTTCGGTAGTCCAGCAGGCCCTGGACCCTGGGTTTTGGTCCTAGCTGTTGAAAACAGCATTGTGTATGTTTAATTTGTGTTTGCTTTGACATATTCTTTCTCTGCCCATGACAATAACATGTCTGCTGTCATTATATATTTTCTATACTGAGATCATGTTCACTGGCATACCATTGCACTAGGTCATCTGCATACAAAGCTGAATATTCTCTTTTGAACCATTTATATACATAAGGAATATAAATTTCAAAACTCATTCCTCATTGAGGTAATTCCTGAACAATGCCTTTTCACCATGCAGACCTTATAATGAGACTGGTGGTAGTAGTAGCTAGTTTTTATTTATTTATTTATTTATCAAATTTTTTTTTTGGGTCATTAATTTTGTCTTAAATTTTCGGTAGTCCAGCAGGCCCTGGACCCTGGGTTTTGGTCCTAGCTGTTGAAAACAGCATTGTGTATGTTTAATTTGTGTTTGCTTTGACATATTCTTTCTCTGCCCATGACAATAACATGTCTGCTGTCATTATATATTTTCTATACTGAGATCATGTTCACTGGCATACCACTGCACTAGGTCATCTGCATACAAAGCTGAATATTCTCTTTTGAACCATTTATATACATAAGGAATATAAATTTCAAAACTCATTCCTCATTGAGGTAATTCCTGAACAATGCTTTTTCACCATGCAGACCTTATAATGAGACTGGTGGTAGTAGTAGCTAGTTTTTATTTATTTATTTATTTATCAAATTTTTTTTTTGGGTCAGTACTCTTCAACCTTTGTAGTTATAACTGGACTGGACATGTGTTGCCCATAGACTATGTTTCTTCTTTTGTACATGCATTACTTGATGTGGTAGTAGTAGCTAGTTTTTATTTATTTATTTATTTATCATTTTTTTTTAAAGTAATCTTCAACCTTTGTAGTTATAACTGGACTGGACATGTGTTGCCCACAGACTGTTTCTCCTTTTGTACATGCATTATTTGATGCGTTCTTTGAAGTCCTTATATACTACTTCTTATTTATTTGTAATGTTTGCCCTTTTGACTTAACTGCCTTTGGATAATATCTATAGCTAACTAATAAATAAAATTCAAAAATGATTGTATGTCACGTATACTATCTAAATTCTACTTTGTTGCTTTAACAATGATTCCTACTGCCTTTCTATAGAGGATGGCTGAGTTATCTCAAGCTCTCATTTTATGTGAGCTGGGAAGTGCTGTGAAACCACCAGAAAACTACGATATCAATGAAGTATACAAACTTACTGACAAACACACGCCTACGTGTTTTATCTTACCGTCTTGTCAAAAGAGAAAAGTAACGGATGCCACCACAGGTAAATACTATGGTTAACCTTAGATAAGGTGTTATTTGTGTACAGCATACTGGTTTTTGTATTTGTGTTACCTTTCCTTTAGAGTTTTAATAAAAAACGTAAGACAAGCTAGGGATCATGATGAGCAAACAACACATGGTCTTACAACACTTCCAGGGCTTTATGCTGTGAAGAAGAGAAACTGTATCCATTTATTGTAGAAGAATCTTCCTATCATAAGCTATCTTACTAGTCATACTCACCATTGCCATGGGCTATGATTTCCATGCATCCCCATAGCAAAAGGGAACACTAGCTGGCATGATGGGAAAGTACCAATATAACTACTTCATTGAAATGATGAGAGAAGGACAGTGGAGTATTCAATATGCTCTGTCTCTCATCCATTTCCTGTCAACTGAAAGTCATGTAGCTTTTACATTAATGTTATCTTAAATATTTTTTTAAATCAGGTTTTAATTACGATCTCTGATCTTTTAAAATGAAAGCTGTGAAATACTTTGGCAGTGACTTTCTTAAAGCATTAAAGCTGTATTTATGTCCCTTCTTTCATGAAGGTCATAATATTCTACTTCTTGTCATTCTCTTTGCCAGTAGTTTTCAGAGAAGAAGGCCACAGGCCTGTCAATGTAGGATGTGATGTGATTTGTGTCTTCCACTGATCCATACAGTTTGGTTTCCATCTGAATGCCAACTGGCCACATCTGGGCTCTCTCTGCTGCATGTAGAGAGGGTTTGTGTAACACATATTCAGTATTTTGTGGTGCCTGCCCACACAATCGCAACGTTCTGAGTCTCCAACCTTTAATTTTCTGTACAAATGGCTGCAAAATCTGCTGTGCCCAGTGTCGCGTACGGATGTGAACTAGAACGCACCAGTACTGAGTGAGCAAAAAAGACGTCAAAACAATACGTAATATCGTTATGGTATTGTTATCAAAGGCATTCGATGTTTACAGTCTGAAGGGGACAGACGTGTGGATCCCTGAGGACGCTATACCCTGGGATGCCACTGAAAGCAGTCATTGTATGAAGTTTGATCCTTGAGGACGCTCTACCCCGGGACTCCACTATAAATCTCAGCAGAAAGCTGGTATAGTGCATACTTCGTTCGGCAGTAAGCCGGTATACTTATCTTACCTTGTTCAAGCCGCGAGGGAGAAGATTGAGATGACTGTCGGGATCTCCTAGGTTGGACTGCAACCCGTCGTGTGAATTGATGTACGAGTTGGCTGTAAGCCAGTATACTTATACTACCGACTGTCTGGATTTCCAAAGTCGAACTGCGACCCGTCATTTGTAATATGTCAGCTGACGTCAAGCGGTTTCTTATGGGTGTGTTTGGATAGGTTTGGATTATTAATTGCACATTTTCTCCTTCTGTTGATCATTGCTATTGTCAATACACAATGGAACCTTTCGTAGAGCGTTCGTTGTTTTAACGTTGGAAAGCATTTAAGTTTCTACTGTTTTGCCCCACTTGGCCTATTTCATCGTTGGTACGACACACATCAGCATGAAGCCGCCGCACATCACACCCAGTTTGTAGTCCAAATACAATGGTCTGTTTCCTACCAGGGAGGAGGTTGATTGGATCTTCGAGATTGTGTTCTGGATGGAAAGCATACCAGTGGGTTCTAATAGCTGCCTTGATCTGGGTTTTATTTTCCTAATAAGTGCATCCTGCACTGGCTGTCATAATGAAGGTTATAATAAATATCAGTGACAAGAAAGATGAGGCCTAGGAAACTACATTTTCATTGCTTCAGTAAGTTTTTTTTTTATTTTTTTTATATACTTTAATACTTTTTAAAAATTAGTTATGCCACCTTTCAAGCACTCTACAATATAATTCAATATACCCCTGTCTCAAGGACCTCTAGACTTTGCTGCTGGTTTGTTAATTTACTCACACATTGAAAAAGATAACTCTCTTTATGGAAATATTTATAATTCTCCTGTTTCCAGTGCTAATAAATACAGTTTAACGATTTATGTTCTTTTCTGTGCTTTTATTTTCATATTTTATCTGTATAACCTAATTAGTAGTCTGAATGAAATTAGCACTGTAAAATATATATATATTTTTTTTTAAAGTTAGTTGTTTGTCCTTTACATAATGTTGCAGAACCAACCTCATAATTTGTTTGGCTATTGTGGTTTCCTAGGCAAATTTATGTTCAATAGTTTGTCATTGCTTCTTGAATGGTTGACTCCCTGTAACATTGTCAGAATCAATGCAAGGTGGTCTGCTAGCATATCACTTGTAGCTGGGATAGAACACAGCACCCCACCATTATGAATTGTGTTTGCAGTGCCTAGGCCACAGACACCGACTTACTTGAAACGATATTAATATACAGCAAAATTTATATTTTAAACTATTGTTCTATGAAGAAAATGTATAAAAATTCTTGTATTTCTTTTTTTTTCAATCCTTGAGGCTACCCTTTCACATGCCCTATCACTGAAGTTAAACAACTGGCCAGGAAGATGGGCATGGAGGGTAAAGTTCGCATCATGAACTTTGCAGTTACCTCTCAGAATTTGGAGGTGAAAAATGCTTTAAAAGATTGCCTACATAAAGGTCACTGGCTTCTGCTGCATAACTATCATCTGTGTCAGGAGCCAGACCCTGAATTCTTCACTATTCTCAAGGTAATTTTACACTGATAGATACATGACAGTAATATTATGTAACAAACACGATAAGGTCTTAAAATAGTTTTGTATATTTATTTATGAGTTCAAAATGTCAGAATCTAATATTAGGTTGAGTTTTCTAAGTGAATATTCACTTCTCACCCCCCCCCCCCCCCCCCCAAATTTTTCTATTTTGTTGATTTCTTCATTTTTTCTACTTCTTTTTTTCCTTTGTCTCCCATTTCTCATCTTCTTCTTCCTCTTTCTTCTTTTCTTCCTTTTTCAGCAGCATATGTCTCTTAACCTCTTTGCTGCAAAAACTATTTCTTTCAGTTACCAACCATATCATGTCATTCTGTGATTTAGTTCTACACTATCTCTGTCTTATATAAATATCTTCTTGGTCCAGCACTTTGTAATTTCTTACTTTATTTATGCGTCTGTATCCACTTTCAACATGGCCAGAACATTTTAATTTGTAGAATTCCATAATGTCGACACTGCTTGGCCTTAGTTCGTGATTAGTCTTATTTAAGTGTTTAATTTCTAATCTGATTTCGGTGCTTAAGCTTATCCCTTTACTTACTTGTTTATTAGGATATAATATATGCTCAGTGGCATGAGGAGGACCAGACTAAAGACACAACAGATGTATATGGTGAGGACTGGAGTCTTGTCACAAGGTCCCGTCCATCTTCTAGTGTGAGAACTAATGATATTCATCAGTCATTCAGACTTTGGATCACCACTAGAGCTAACGAAGAGAGAGCTTTACCAGGTAGGGAACAAGGCTGACATTATTGCCATTGGAAAATTGCAGAAATAGGTTACAGTTTTATTCCAGTTTAGTTTTGTGACCGTGGTTCATCATTTTCCATGATTAGTTCATAATTACTTTGTTCAGCTATATTCTCAAGTTTTTTTTTTGTTTTTTTTTGGATAAAGATTGAAATAACAATTATGATCAGATTCTTTAGGTTGATGTCTTTGGTATCTGGTTTCTACCAATCTCTCTGCATGCATCTTCACCTCTTTTTATGCCTTTTATTGCCCAGTGGAGTAAAGGAAGAGGAAGACAATGAGAGAAGATGCTTGACAGTCTTGTTGCATGGCATGGAGGTGTGTCGGCACACGACCTGATGCATGCTGCAGGAGATCGCAGATTATGGAGAGGCATGATCGCCCACGCCAGTCGGCAAGTCACCTGATGATGATGGAGTAAAGGAGGTCATTCTTTTCTTTGCGATTGTGTGCCCATGCTATCTTTATCACTTTTCTATGTCTCTTGTTTTTTTGATTTTTTAATGTCTTCATTTCTTTCACCCTATGATTACCAGTGCAAAGGGATTCTGGTTAAATTGTTAGGTTGTCTTAGTGTGTTCATGTCCAGTGCCAGTGTTAACTCTTCATTCATTGAAATTTTTTTACTTCTATAATTTTTTTCTGCAAGTTTTTAAAATGTTATTGAAGTTTTGTGTTGTAGTAAATAGAATACTCCAAAACTCTAAAACCAGAGTCCAATGAATAAAAAAGATTTTATGTTATACATGGTTGCAAAAGGGATATTTTTAAAATTACAGATAAAACTAAATGCATGGGAAAGTGTTTTATGTTGTGTGTGGTTGTAATTGGGAGCTATGGTGACCCAGTTACTAGCATACATACCTAGTGGCTTGATGGACACGTGTTTTAAATTCTTTGAAATGGGTATAATTTTTTTTTTTTTTAATTGACCTGGATTGCCAAGTTGACCTGGAATAAAATAAGAAGCAGAAAACAATCCGGGAGGTAAAGGTGGCTGCATGATACTGAGCACATACCCGAACCAGTAGCGACTTGTCCAGAAATGTGGTGTTATCACCTTTTACCCAGTATAAATAAATAAATAAAAGAAGTCTTTCAGTATTTACACCTTTACTTGGAAAACAAAACAGCAAATTTTCATTATGTGCCATCTCCACAATGAAAGTCGGCTACATCGAATCCACTCCTGTCTTTGGGAGTATTATGCCGTCACTTCCATGGTCAAAATCTCCTACTAGATTCCAAACCCAACTTTTTTTAAATTTAAATATTTTTTTAAAATAAATCATCTATGGTTGAGAGGGGGGGGGGGCGCCTAAACCAATGTAATTGTGAAACTGTGAAACACATATACTAACCTCTAAGCCACAAGATAGCACTAAATGTATGAGAGAGTTTTGTATCAGACCTTGTTGCAAAGGCAGCCTTTTAATAAGTAAATTCAGAAGAGCTCCACAGTGGAGCATACACAGCAGGGGTCCACCGATCATCAGTAGAAAGATCCCTGGTGGATGATCGTTTCACCCCATTACTTCCTAGACAGTCTCGGAAGGTGGGCAGCCCTGGTTATGACTCCAGACCATGATCTTCCCCTGCTGCACTTAATCGGATTTTTGGACTGGAACAAGACCATATGATGACTGTGCAACATGTATTGTGAAATTAGTGTTATATTTGTCGCTGCCTAGCAAATTAATCATCTACCTTCACGACCAGAGTATCAAGTTTATGTTTGGTTCATCAGAAAATTGTTAGACTTTGGTATTTGCAGAGTGACACTGGTAGACATTTATCGGATACTTTGGCTTTATAGGGATGATAATTTCTTTTCTGCTCGGCGCTTGGAAATGCATCTGTAAGTTTGGTGAAAGTTAGTTCTAAATGCATTATCTTATTTCATTAAACAAAAACTGTTGTTACTGGCTGTATTTACCACTTTTGCAGTTTAGGCAGAGGGGTCTTTGAGCCTGAGGACTTAAGTCTTTGAGTCCATAGGAATGCATCATACGTTCATAGGTTCCTACCTAGAAGCCCAGTAAACGCAAGATGCGCCGATTTTATGTCTCTCTTTACTACCCCTTGGGCCTGGGATGCTTAACCCTCTGTGATTCAAAGAGTTAAGGAAAGATATAAAACTGAATGGAAAGTATATCAGCAAGCTTCACAATCTAACAAACACAAACAAAACGTAAACGTTGTGGCTATAAAGCCTTCATCAACTCATACATAAATTAAACAAAACCACACAAATACACAGAATCACTTAACTGGTGTATCCAGATGCTGCCAAGTGGATGTATTACCAGTGCAGTCAGGATTTAAGGCCACTTGGCTAGTGCTGTTGCTAGTGACTGTGGATGTAAGGTTTATAATTTTACACCTGATAGAAAAAGATCCTCGCTTACCTTGGATTTGAATATGGGTGTCCCACATGAGAGCTCAGCATTCTTAATTATATGACCAGCTGCTCCTCATTTCATAATATATGTAAATATGGGCCTAAAATGCTCCTGTTTGGTTCTTGAAGAAAAAGACACCATTTCCATTTCACATGTTTTTCTGTTTATGAATTACTTCATGATCATTTATTGTCTCACTTGTCACTTCTTATACATTTTAGGTTTAATTATTCAGCATGGCCTAAGAGTGACATGTGAGACAACAGCAAACTTTAAAAGTCTTCTAAAAAAGACTTACAAGTCTGCTGAAAATTTCCTATGCTCAACCAGTAGAAACAGTGAAGAGGTGTGTATGGAATTCTTTTCTTTAGTATTTTAAATAATGAAAAAAAAAAAGGAAATTCACAATGGATCACGTCGGTATTGAACACGGCATCTTTCATTTACAAGGCAGATGTGATCCCAACTACGCTATGCACTCACATGTTGACATGTTATGAAAACATGATTAATATTGCAGACCGGCCAATTGCGCATCATCAAGCAGCCAAATGCGCATCAACAGACCGAAATATCTCGCACCATAAGACACTAGATGAACACTCAAAAACAGCGGCAGACAGCAGCACACTTGCACCCCTTGAAATAATGGACTGTCAAGTCAGCTATGGAATTCCCACGGGAATTTCGTGTTTGGGGGAGGCAAAAAATATTGTACCAAACTTTATTGTATGTAATTATACAGACACCTGCATGCATGCACATATGTGCACATATACACACATTCACACACACATACACACAATGTTTTCAGAGGTTGCTATGGTGACAGCGTTGCATGAAAAAGAAAAACATATTTTTTCAATAAAATTACCTAATTCCTTGACTCTTTCAGTTAAGGCAATAGTAGCTTTCAAATGTTGGCAATAGCAGCAGTATAAAAAGGGGGTATTACTTATACAGTAGTAAAATCTGCACCTTGTGCAAAATATAATATGTTTTAGCAGGCATATATTCATCTGCAGCTTCTTCTTGAATTCCACGAGCTTGTTTTGAAAGAGGCTAAACATAAAAAAACAACTTATCACAAACATCATGAAGAGGTAGTCCAAATGCTTTTAGATATTACAAGATGAGAAAAACTGAATAACCTTATTTATGAAAAAGAAATAGATAAAGACAATGAGAAAAGAAGCTTGACAGCCTTCAGTCAATGCATGGACAAGTGTCAGCAAATTCATGCGTGCTGTTAAAGATAACAAACAGTAAAGAAGCATGATCATCCTCCCTAGCTGATAAAGCTTTAATGTATGATAATTATTTTTTTTAGACATAAGAAGAAAATTTTTACTGTCATATTTCTTTGTTTTTCCAAGGCTAAAAGTAGCAATTAATTTTAACATATTCTGTTGGCTGGTACACATGAAAAATAAAAAATGCTTACATGGCGCATTGGTTGAGATAGAATGGAGTAATTACCAATTGCTGCTGCTGCAGGATGTGGAATTCGCTTATGCGGACTAAATAGTTTTGGACTGATTAGTTTGATATGTAACAAAAATTATCTGTTAACTAAACTCCAGACCTCGTGTTGCTGAAACAGCCATTAAAAAATTTCCTGTACCTCATAATATTTTATGAATTTAAATAGAAACATAAACAAATAAACACTTCACGGACCATGCCTAAACTTATAAGAACACCTTTGTTTGAATATTTACTGACATATTTATAAGAACACTTTTGTCTGATAAATGTAAATTAATTAAATTTACAACAATCATTTTGTTAAAATAGTAAACATTCTAAGAAATTGACATGATGTGTGTTCCAGTGCTTAGTGGTTTTTCTTGATGACTTGAAAATTTTATATTCCGTCAAAAACAGATGATGCACAGCTTCAACAGAGTGATGCCACTTGCCCTTCTACATGCCATAGTCCAACAACAGTCCTATTATCGCTGTCATGCTTTTGTCCACCATCCTTTCTGGACTCTGACAGATCTGGCTGCAGTGACAGATACATGCTACAGTCTCTCTGCTCTGACAACCGACAACAATGCTATAGCTGATATAGCAGCATGTGTCTATGTAGCACATTGCCAGGTAAAAAAAAAAAAACTTTTTGGACCTGTTCCTGTCACAATATATTTTATTGTTTTTATATTATAATGAGATTGCCTTTCCATATAAGTGAATCTGTTTTATTGTCATCATTATCAATTTCCACTTTTGTCGCCAAACGTCTTTGTGAGGAACAGTTTGCCTACCATTGTCTGATGGCTATCAGTGGATATTGCTACCCACTGAATCTGTTTATTTACTGAAAAGAAGCAGAATAGCACAGGCAAAAGTGTATGGAAAGCACAATGTATATAATTGTTTTAACAGTGCTATATTTACATCATTTGGTTCCATTTTTGGCTTCTATTAAGATGTTCATAAGAATTGGGAATTGAAGACGACTTTTTTTTAAGATAGTTGTCATACAATGTAAGGGTTGGTTAGTTATTTTTTTTGGGGGGGGGGGGGGGGGGGGGGGAGTTGTTTAATTATAATCTTAACAGATAAAATGTTATGCTTTACTTAAAATCTGAGACATAAACTTGTGTTGAATGGTCGTCATAATAAAAACAGAAAATAAAATTAAAAGAAACGCTAGACAATAGGATCAATTTATTTATTTAGGTAATTTTGAAAGTGAAAGAAACCCAAAGAAAGAAATTATGACACACAGTGGCAAAGCATCAGTAGCTTTTAAAAATATGAACTGTAAATTGTATAGTTTTAAAACCAAGTTACGTATGTTCAGTTTTAATGTTGCTTTAGTTTTAACATATGCAAGTGAAAGTTGGAAAACCACTAAAGACACAGAGCAAAAGTTAAATGCATTTGAAACAAATGTATGAGGCAAATGATGAAAATAGAGTGGGATGAATTTAACAGGGGTGAAGAGAAATGTCTGGGCAGCCATTAGTATTGACAGATATAAGACAGCAAAGATTACGATGTTTGGACACATCCTAAGAAGAAACCAGCAGAGAGTCACCAAACAGGCATTAAAATGGGAAATAAAGGGATTAAGGGGGCGAGGACGCGCAAGAGAAACCCTAAGATGAATGTTGGTGAGAGAGGCCAAAGCTGCTAGACTGGATTTTATCCATGAAATTGAACTGATTGCACAGCATAGAATGGAATGAAAGAATAGACTGTGAACCCTATTTGACATAAAATGGTGCAACAGGATAATGAACTAGACAATATAAAAACTGAAAGCACTGGGTAGATTAGAATTTGAACTTGCCATAGACAAATGATATCACCACAGTAGATACACTATTTGCTTCTTTTTCTCATTACCGAGCTTTGATCAATATATTTTTTCTAATGCTACTTCAATAACCCCAAGAATGAAAGAATAAATGAATAAATAAATGAATTGACATCATTGTACTCGGGACATTCCCACATGTGTTCTGTCCCCTTTTTCAGTAACTAACAAACAGTTGACATGCAAATGGCACCAGTTGGAATCTGATTTAAAGTCCACCTCTGTTTCCTCTTCAATGTTGAATATCTCCCAGAACCTCTCTGCTCACGCCCGTTGAATTAGTCTTTCAGCCAATGGATTCGCTATCTGTTCATTAGCACGGTCCATTTAATCCCGTACAATCTTCACATCTGCTTCATCATATAGAAGCTCACCGCCCAGAGGAGTGGGAACAGCTAATCTATCAGTCTGCTCATTACCTTACACACCTGAATATCTTGAACAGAAAAACCAAGATATGCTGTTGATCTGGGTCTTAATGAGAGATGCAAGCCACTCTGATTGCAGGACACCAGATTCAGTTTTCTGAAGCGTGGTCTGTGAGTCAATAACCTCAAGAGTTCTCTAGCAGCTGATTTTCTAGGGACAAGACTCTGTCAAGAATTTGGAAGCAACAGATATGTGGTTTCTATGATAAATGCTATGAATACCTTGGATGGCCAGGGTAACTAACAACGATTGCTTGAAAGAACCTAATGAAAGTAGATCTCTATCATCATCATCAGGTGCCTTGCCGACTGGCGTGGGCGATCATGCCTCTCTATAATCTGCAATCTCCTGCAGCATGTATCAGTTCGTGTGCCGATACACCTCCATGCCATGCAACAAGACTGTCAAGCATCTTCTCTCGTTGTCTTCCTCTATCCCTCCTTCCACAGATCTTTCCAGTGGTCACAACATGTTCTATTTTCCCTCTTCTCATAACATGGCTGAAAAATGATATACATATATAAATTCTCTATATACAACAATAATACAACAATAAGAAAGAGACAAACACTGTTCTTTGGCCACATAATGAGAAGAGAGACATTAGAGAACATCGTGACAACTAGAAAGATCCGTGGAAAAAGTGGTAGAGGCAGACCAAGAGAGATGATGCTGGATGGGCTGAAACGATGGCATAGAGGGGTATCATCAAGAGAGCTGTTCCAGGCAGCCAGGGATCATGATCTGTGGAGACGCATGAGCGCCTACGCAAGTTTGCAGGGCACGTAATGATGATGATGAGACTCTCTGCCCTCTGAGCAGAAAGATTTGTGCAACTGTTCAACACCAGCTCCTCAATTCAATTAACCCTAACCTAGGCACTGCCAGATAAACAAAATACAAAGTTAGTTTGCTTATGAGGTCTGAACATTGAAGAACCATTTTTAGGCTGTTTGTGATTTCACTAGGCAGTTTTACTTTCAGTAGTTTGCTACACTACAGGCAAAAGCATGATCTCCATGATGAAGTGGTCAAGCCATTTTCCTCATGATCTGAAGGTTGTGGGGTCATTGCATGTCTGCGCCATTGAGTTCACGAGTACAAATTTTACAGAGATCTCTGAGGATCATCGGTGGAGCTACAGAGTTTGTGCTTTGTGTGATACTCTTGACAGGTGGCTTGCCATTCTGTGGAAAGAGACCAAGCCATATGCGATAAAACCAAGTGCAATGAAGTCATTCCTATCTACTTTCACTTTTAGGCAAAAGCAAAGATAAAAAGTTTTTTTTTTTGTTTCATCATTTTGTTTATAACTTAACAAAATCCAGTGTCTAATTACAAGCTATGTTAGATTTTCATTATAACTACCTTATAATATAATTATAAGGTATTCTTTAGTGCAGCTATGGGATAATATGAGATATGTGTCTGATTTTATCTCAGGATATGTCAGACAGCAATCCAGTGAATGCAGTTATTAAAGAATTGATCCACTATTCCACACTTGCTAAGAAGGTGAGAGCAGACATATTTTATTTTTCACATGTCTCTGTGTTCAGTCTTTAACTTTTCAGTGTTCAGGTTATCATATCATATCTATGAGCTGAATCCTTTCTTTCCTATTCTTAAATTCTTTCACCTGTTATTTCCTTATGGTCCTGACATTGCGTACTTTACTGGCAACTGCCTCCACCATAAAATTGAAAAGATATATGAACCATATAAATTGGTGGCCTGCTAGGTATGCTTTGAGTTAACCAATTATTTCTATAGACGGTAATTGCATTTCTGTATTTGATAGCTCTTTTTCTTTTTTAAACTTTATTTTTAACACACCAGATCATTCATTTTGCATCTCATGTTATCAAACATAGTTTTAGAATGGAGGTAGAGGTGGTCACTGCAGCCTTCCTTTGGCTTTAGAATTAGCTGTAAACACATATCGTGATTGTAACTGACTTGCAAATAATGCTGAGAAATGTTGACAGGTATACCTTGTACAGAGTTTTGTGCATTGTTTCAGAAGTCCAGGGTACTTGGCATTCTTTGCATATTTCTCCAGGGTTATGTAGGTGTGTTTGTTTTAGTATCCAGAAGCCATGAGTTGTTAACCCTTAGGCTCGGTATTATGGATATCGCAACCTTTTGGCCTTGATTCCATTATAAATACCATAAATCTGGGAGAAATGTGGCTTTCCTGCCTACCCCCGGGATTGAACCCAGACCACAAGGAGTTTGTCACCCGGTCTCCGCACAATCCGGTTTAGCCAACTATGCTAGAGAGCCGGGCATGTAGGTGTGTTAGGACATGAACAGCAGACAGACTTGCTGGCTCTGCGCCACTTGGTGGTAAATTTTTGCACGACAAGTTAGATGTTGTCAAGGCTATTTGGTAGGGAGTAACAGTGTGGAGTCACACTTAGGTTATTGTGGTCTGAAAAGAATAGTGCAATGGAGAGTGACTTGGTGATCTGACTAACACTCCACACTAAGAGGAAAGGCAAGATGCACTTACATTCAAACTGTCTTGGTACCATGGGAGTTGAAACTTTTTGCTGGCTACTGAATATGGGGATGGAGCACTTATGGGACTGTGTCGAGTGCTGCGATGTTGGTTCTTTAAACTAAACTCATCTCATCTTGATCCTCTGCGTACCTTGCAGTATCGATGTGAAGTATAATTTAGGGTAAGTGTCTGTTCATTTTACATACACCTAATTATTTATTTTAAATACACTAAGTGAAATAAGGTTTCTAGCACTAATTCGCTTGAATTCTTTGAAAGATTTACACATTCAGAGGTGTATATATCTGAATGAAGTAGTATTACTGGTTCATTCAAATCTTAAAATAAATGCTTGCACACTTGCAGGTTTCATTTGTTTGTGCTTTTTTCTTTTTAGGTTTCATTCGATGAGATCAAAGGGGTTGGACTGTTGTTGCACAAACTGGTTACAAGCTTCAAAGAAACAGGGGATTTACAAAAAACTCTGGACTCCATTGAGCCAGTCACTGCTGAGACTATTTGTTTACCTGAAGAAATTCATGAACATTTTCAGGCATGTAAAAGCAGGTGGGTTTTGTGCTTGTCTTTACCCCAAAAAATGGCATAGGATAACTTTTCTAACTAGCAAATATTGTGTTGTCAGTTTCACTGAAGAACAGAGGAACATGCAGACTGGAAATATGGACAGTATGGCATAGAAGAACATCTGTATTGGAAACATGGACAGTTGGAAGAACATCTGTATTGGAAATGTGGACAGTAAGGCATGAAAAAACATCTGTATTGAAAATGTGGACAGTATAGCATGGAAGAACATCCGTATTGGAAATGTGGCTATTATAGCATGGAAGAACATTCATATTGGAAATACGGACAGTATGGCATGGAAGAACATCCGTATTAGAAATATGGACGGTGTAGCATGGAAAAACATGCGTACTGGAAATATGAAATATCTGGGAATTAAATTTGACAGGAGCCTGTCCTTTAAGGACAAGGTGGAGAGTGTTGTGACAAGATGCCAAAAAGGACTTGGTGCACTTAAGACTATGGTTGCAATTGACATATAGCAGAGAATGCTTTTCACACTATATCAGCACCTGATCCTGTCAGTGGTTGATTATGACTTGGGAATGCTTACCGTCTCAAAGAGCCAGATGGACAGACTAGAGCGCATACAGAATGCAGCAATGCGGGTCATTCTGGGTTGCACCAGAGACACCCCAGTGGTGTGTATGCGATACATCCTTGGTTTGCCATCTGTTGCAGGTAGGCACAAAGTGCTGCAGGCGAAGTCATATCTCAGGGTAGCTGCAGACACAGACCACCCTTAGCACGAAGCTCTGTGTGCAGTTAAGGTCAGCGGCTGATAAGAGGGAAGTCATGGATGGCTCAGGCAGAAGACCCAATCAGACAGGTTTGCATCCTTGAGAACATTAGGCGAGGAGAGGAGTGGGTCAAAGTGCCACCTAAACTGTTAGACTTGTGTAGGGTCATAATTACACTGAGCCAGGAATGCAGTGACTGGCCAGCAGGTGCCACAGAGGTGGTATTCAGCAATTAATTCAAGAGAATGTCGCTAAGAGGATTTGATCATTTACACAAACGGTTCAGTGTCAAGAGGCAAAAGAAGTGCTTGGGGTTTCTTAGCAAAAGTTGATGGTCGACGATTGGTGCAGGAGAGCTTTGCATAGGATACCACAACATCCAGCATAAGAATGGAGGTGAAGGGGGTCACTGCAGCTTTCCGCTGGCTAGAGAACATGACACACACACATCGTGATTGTAAATGACGCAGAAATCATGCTGAGGAAGATCAGGACAGGCATGCTTCATGCAGAGTGGCATGCCTCGCTGCGGAAGACACGGGTGAGGAGTATTGTCTGGATTTTTTCACAAATGTGGTGAGATTGATGCAGTTGGGAGTGACGAGATGTTCTGGCAGATGCTCAAGGCTCAGAGGAAAGGCAATTTGGATGTTTAATCAGAATGCTACCATTAGTATCGGAACTCTTTGCTGGCTCTGAAGATGGGGATTGGAGCGCTTATGGAAATGCCCCAAGTGCTGTGATGTTGGTTCTTGAATCAAATCAAATCAAATAAATTGGAAATATGGACAGTAAGGCATGAAAAAACATCTGTATTAAAAATGTGGACAGTATAGCATGGAAGAACATCCGTATAGGAAATGACTGCCATGACACAAGTTAGAAGGTTGTGGACAGACATGATTACCAGTGCTATATGGCATGGACTATAAGTAGAAGATGGCAATAATAATCATTCTAAACTCTTTGAGCCTTAGACAGTTGCACTTTAATATGTTCTGATTTTAGAAGGTTTTACTTCATTTTATTAAGTTTTATTTCTAAAGGGGTTAGTTAAATAATAAAACCAAATGACCAGAAGGGTTCAAGTAGCAGTTATGATAGAATGGATTCAGGTAACCAATGGGTGAGGCGCAGGGGGTTAAGACAAACACATCATGCATGGAGACAGATTTATGAAATAAATATTAAATTTCAAATCAGACATTCAGTAGCTTATGCTGGCACAATTATTACCACATGGCAAGTTTTGCATAAAACTTTGTTATATTATTTTGTGGCAGTTAGTAACTGCTAATCCCTGATGTAATATTGGCTTTCCATATAAAAATATTTAAACTTTTTTTTAGTTCACTCATAGTTTAATTAATCTGTTACACTCTATGTTGAAGATGCAGAACAGATGTCAAAGATAACTATCCTAAGTGTTTATTTTCCTCAGTATTTTACTGAAAGAGTTGATTCAAACCGTGGGTGAGCCAGAGTTCTTACTGTCGACTCAGAAACTCAGTGGGGATCCTGCTTTCTGCCAGGCCATGAGTGTCATCTCATCTATGCAAGACATTCTTTCTGCCTGCCCAGAACTTCCAGAAACCTCCTTGACTCAAATTGTGCCTCTGTATTCTTTCTTCAGTCAAGAAGTTGCTGCTTTTAAGGAATTGCTTCAAAGCGTGCAAGTAAGGAATAATTTTTATAATGTAAATGACTTTTAATTTCTCCTAATATAAAGTATCATATGGGGACAACATCACCAATGACGAAGTTCGCTGTATTATCACTCAACATTTTGGTGACTCAAAACAATGTTTCCCCATTGTGAATTTGAACAAAGAAGACACAAACAATAGGTTGCACAATTTATTGTCTGATAAATTTTACGAAATCTTGTCAGGTGCATACTACATTAACAGTTGACTAAATTGAAGCAAATAAATCCTTTCAACTGAAATACAACTTTAACTTCATTCAAAAACTGTTCGTTTCACCACTTTAAATACAAGGTGAAGACCATGTTATTTTATTAGCATAATTCATGACTAAACCACTTTATAGCAGTTGCTTCCACAAATATCAATAATCTGTGGTTGGTTGAGGTGTAAATAATTTCAAATGTGTCGACCTCATTTACAGTATGCCCAGAATACAGAATATGCCATGCATTGGCTTACGGATGATTTTTTTTGACCAATTAACTGATTCGTTGTTGTTGAGTTGTTTCTGTTTTTAGTGTTTTGCATTGCTTGCGTGGCATATTTTATTATGAGCGAAACTTAAAGAAAAATGAAGATGTGTAAGTACCTGGTAGCTCCATTATGAAAAGCTCATTATCACTATAACCATCATCACAATGGTGGTAACTTAAATACTTTTTTTAATTGGCATCCAGAAAGAGATGTTTTAATTTCTCTAGATTTCAGAAGAAACAAAAGGAAATTATGGTGAAGTAAGTAAAGATTCCTTTTCACGTCGTTAGGTGCATCGGGCATATGGGAAGAGCACCCCATATTTTTACAGACCAATGTGCACTAGGTGGATAATGTGGTCAGCATTACAACGGCCGTCTTTACTTCCCCAGGACATACATCCAAGTACCCATTTTAGGCTGGGTCAACCTGTGACACCCCATACCATGATACAAATCCACGCAGCCAGCAGTGGGTTTTGATCACAGTGCGTTGGAATTACGAGTCGGACTCGCATGCTTAAGCCACGGACGCCGCAAATTATGGTGAAAGTACTGCATATTTAAAAATAAAGTACTGTCATTATAGACTCCCAGGTTGAACTAGCCTAAAATGAGTACCAGGAAATGTCCTGGGAAGGTGAGGTGCCCAGTCTGCTTTTGACCACTCTCCCCTAACTGATGACTGACCTAAAAGTAAAACAATAAAAACAGATTTAGACCTATATGCTTGGTTTACTGATGGTATGAAATGAGTTCTTCACTTACTGTCATAAAGGTAACATTTTGTCTTTATAAATTCAAGAGTGTAAAGGAAAATATATGACTGCTCATAAATAAATAGCTAATATAAATATACAGATTTGCCATTGCTTCCTGAATGGTTGGCTCTCAATACCACTGTTGAAACCAACACAAGGCAGCCTGCTGCCAAATCATCTGCAGCAGGGATCGAATCTGGCACCTTGGCATTAGGAAGTGGGTTTGCCATGCTTTAGCCACAGATGGTGATATTATTTGAGAACTCAATATGTTAATGACAATGAAAGTAAGGGGTAACACAGAAATATTTTCATTTCTATTGCAGTGATCAATGTGACCATAAATTTCACAGATAAAACATTAACTATCAAATGTAACTTATAACTTGCCATTGCCATTGCCAGTTGTCCAAGAAAAATTCCAAATTTGATCCTCTTTCAGCCGCCCGAGGGCCTGCTATATCGAAGAAGGGTCCTTTGCTGTCTTTTATGGTTTCCTTTTATTTGTGGTGTGTAGACACACCTGATATTATTGTTGTTTGCTTCCTTGCTGTGCTGCGTTGTTTGCGGTTTTGGGTTCTGGTGTGATCCAGATCTCTTTGCGATGATATTGAAAGGTACTAGCTGACTGTTGCTGGTGCTTGGCTTGCCTCGTGCTGGTCGCTGTGCTGGTGCCCTGTTGCTGCTTGGTTGCCGATCTAAAAGCCGCCGGAAAAAGCCAAACAAATATCCATTGCTCCATCGATACAAACAATGTTCCTTTTCAGGACAACCAGGGCCGTCACAATCTGTTGTTGTGATCGGCCCAAAAAAAAACAAAAATCTTTTTTTTTTTTTTTTTTTTTTTTTCCCTTTTTTTTTTTTTTTTTTCCACGGAGTGTGGAGAAGTAGTGGGGGTGAGATAGACTGCAAATGAGAGGTCAGTTTGCCCGAATGTGCCAGTAGATGTGATAGTGAGGTCGGGAGAATGAGAGTGACAGATAGAGGCAGGATCCATCCCGGTCGGCTGAGGTCGCTTGGTCTGAAATAAAAGTGAAAGGCAATTGTTAACATACACGTGGGGTGGGGTGGCATGACGGTGACTGGAATTCCCAAGTGCTGGTCCCCTTTGGTGCAATGCCCTCGGCTGTCTGCTTCGGGGCGTCGGGCGGCCTGTGGTATTTTCCGTTGTCTTCTTTTTTCTGAAAATAAACTAGATTAGGATTTTGGTTAGTTAAATGGTGATTACGCGGTTATTTGCCATTGGGGCGGAGCGGGTGGGAGTGGCTCCGGTACGTCGACCCGCTGTCCGGTTGGTGGTTGTTTGCTTAAGGCTGTCCTTAAAGATGGCGGCTTGTTTGGTGGGTTCTTTCTGTGGCTATTAGAATTGGCGGCGGCCTCGTCTCCTGGGAGTGCCGTTATTCCAATTTTTCTTGCGAATTTGGATCAGGGCCGCATTAAATTCGTCATAGAATTGGTCAAGTAGTCGGCCCGCTTCTGTTTCTTCTGGTGTTTTGTCTTTTTTCAGGATGGTTTCATAGTGGTAGTCGACGCAGTAGCGCCTACTTTCTTCGTCGTACGACAGCTTGTGCGGGACAATATGCTCGTTGTATTCTTCAAGCAATGCGTCGAGTTCAGCCTCGCAGGTTGCGTCAGCTACTGGTTTCAGGCTGCTGAGTGGCTGCCTGGTGGCTGTCTCATCGCTTGGTTCTTCGTTCATATCGGGGTCTGTCATCTGTTCCTGGTGCTGCATCACTACCGCTTCGGTAAGTGTGCTTTTGTCGGTATTTGGTTGTTTTACAGTTTTGCTGGAGGCCTCTCTTGCTTTCTCTAGCAGGGCGCGCTCTGTTCTTGCCGCCAGCACTGCAGCTTCTGCTTCTGCTTTTGTCTGGATCATAAGAGTGACTTCTTTGTAAGTGCTCTCGCGGGCTTCCCTAAGTGCGTCGGTTTCTTTTCGTCTCTCCTCCCTTTCTTCCTGTCGTCGGGTCTCGTCTGCAGCTTTTTCTGCTTGTAATTTTAGTGTCATTTCTGTCAAGTTGTCTTGCATTCGTGCAGCCTCTGCTAGCCACTTTGTTTGCTGCGATACCTGTTCTCGTCTGTCGTTTTTCAATGCTTTGATTTCGTCATGCATCTGCGAAATCAGGTCTAGCATCTGCGTTCTGTCAGCGTCGGTGTCGGACTTTTCTTGGCGGAGAGCTCTGATTTCCGCTAAAATTTCAGAAATTTGTAGCGAGATTACAGGGTCCATTGCGGCTGTGATCGTTCTGTCGGTTTGTCTGTCTGGTGTCCGTTGTGCTGGCTTCCCACTCGGTTGCTTTGGTGCTGCTGAGAGCCTGGGTGCCACGTATCTCTGTCCGGCTGCTTCGTGGGCGGTTCTGAGTGACCTTTTGCACTGCTGGAGATACGGGCAGCCCATGTATCTCGCGCCGTGCGCACCGGAACAGTTGGAGCATTTGCGGTTGCTGTTCGGTCTTTTAAAATTAGTGTCAATTTTAGCCAGCGGGCAGTCCTTGAATTCGTGCGCACCAGAACAGTATCTGCACGAGAGGCTGCTGCGGCAGGACGAAGCTGTATGCCACGCCTTATTGCAGCGCGAGCACTGCATGATGTCTGGTGTGCTGGTCTCAGGCTGCCGCTGCTTGCGTTGGCGATAGGGTCCTTGCGTCGCTACTGAAGGGTCGGCTCCCGGAGGAGCGGTCCCCTGTGCTGGTGATTCAATCGTAATGGGCGCAGTGTCCATTTTCTACGACGATAATAAAAAGTTCTCGAATTTATTTAGAGGTTAAACGCACGCCCTAGGTCTCGGTTTAGAAAGTTTATAATGTAAATTATAATTACCTAGGGCGTTGTTCCTTCCTCTGTTGATTCTTGTAGATCTGTGTTGCTGGTGGTTGTCGTTGGCTAGGTGCGTACACGGGCTGCTAATGACCCACCCGCAGCCGATTCCGATAGCTCAGTCGAGACAGACTCAGCCGAATATCAAGCGATTCTGTCCAGTAGCTGGCTATCGATAATCAGGCAACGAATGGATAGTTAGCGGGGCAACGTGTTCAGGCGAGGCGGGCTTGCGCGTTCAACGTGTTGCTCGGGCAAAGGCTGTCAGCGAAGTGTGTTGAACTTATAACTTGATAAGCCTTGCATTTATATACGTCTCTTCTTTATATTGCAGAATGACCTTCACGTCTTAAACAAAGCTGCAAATGGACTCATTACTCTGACACCCAAAATGCAATTTATGTTACAAGATATCTGCAATGATGATATACCTGCTACATGGCTTCAGACAACATTTGCCACTTGCTCAAGCTTGAAGTCATGGATTTTAGAATTACCAACAAGAATAAGTTATGTGAAAAATTGTTGGGTCCAGTGTCCGGTCATTCTGTCACTCAACATGTTCCTTAGACCTGACAAATTATTATGGGCCATTCTGAAGACATTTGCTCAGCAAGACTTCAAGGAAATTACTGACATCTTCCTAGACTTTCAGGTAAATATGATTGAAATCTTTGTTGCATTTTTATTCTTTTACCTAAAATTAACAATATTATAGTTTGTATGTATTTATATGCTACCGATGAGCTACAAATAAAATTATATAGATGCTAAATATTGTTCCATCTTTGATATGGTTGGGGTTTGCAACTCTCATTCCTTATCAGAGAATATCTCATAATCTAATTTATGCATTTACCAACTTTGAATGAGTCGTATTTAAATAATGTGTGGAGCTACTGACCATAGCAACTGTGTAAGAGGAGGAAAAAAAAGTAATAGTGACAGTGAAATCATGAAAAGCAAACAGCGAATAAGAATACTTACTTGATTTAAACCAAGTGAACAACAAATCTTTTTTGAAAATAAAACCGTAAAAATATATAGATGTAGTCTACCTGTTTTGAATAACAGTACTATATATTACTTTTGTTATTTTTTAATTGCATTCTGTACGGTAGCCCAAACTAAAATTGATAACAAGAAGTGTCTGGGATGTAAAGGTGGCTGGTGTGAATCTAATCACACCCATCAAGAGCTGAATGGTCTAAAAGATATGGCTAGCACTTTATGTCCAAAAGTAATCAAAATATAATTGGGCCTTTAAAAAAAATCAATTTTTGACATATTATTTTTAAGACATGAAGACATAACTATGAAAAGAATAAAAATGATAGCATTATAATCCCATTGACGTCTGTGGTTTAGGCATTGTGACAGCGCATTGTTATTCCAAGGTGATTAGTTCGGTTCCAGCTGCAGGTGATGTGGTAGCCATTCATTCTGCATTGATTTCTACAATGGTATAGAGAGCAGACCATGCAGAAAGCAATGGCAAACTACTGAACATAAAATTGCTTAGTAAAACCAAACAACCGGGCAAATCTTGTGATTGGATCTGCTGTCATCCTTTTAAGGATATGCATCTAACATTCTTTTTTCATAACCAGATCAATGGTATGAAATCAGATATAAATACATACCATAGTTCCCCAAGTATAAGACGATCATTTGCATAAGAAGCAGCTTGATTTTGAGATGGGGAAATTTGGTTAAAGAATAATGTGATTACATGAAGTTGTTTAACTCATGTTTTATTCATCATAGAATCCAGAAAACTCATAATCACTATTAAAACTATCATCCATATGATAATTCTTTAGCTTGTCCTTATTTGGGTCTGATGATGAATTACTGTCTTCATATTTTGCTTCATCCTCAGTTCCACCTGTGACATTTGAAATGCCACACTTCTTAAATGGCTTGATAACGATCTCAATCTTCACATTATCCCAGGATCGTGTCAATTGCCTACTTCTGGGGTCTTCCACCACCGCCGAGAGTATCCCCCACGCCGCTCACGCTGGGACTCACGAGCAGCAGCTACCGCATTTCCTGCAGCTTCCTTCATTTATTTGCTCGTGAGTCCCAGCCATCTAGTTCAGCCCTAATCCACGCTGTGTAAGCGGCATGGGGGATACTCTCGGCGGTGGCGGAAGTCCCCAGAAGTACACAATTGACACATGACTGAGGCCCTGTTAGGGTATATTTTCTGCTTCGATAATTTGGGACTGTTATGCGGAAGATAGCCAGAATTCCTAATGTAACAAAACTGTTGCAGTGGGAAAAAAACATTTAATTTTTTTAAATTTTTTTTTTCAAATTCTTAAATTTTATGTTGTCATTGAACTTGCAGCCCCAAATGTGGTTCTATACAGGATATTTTCTAACAAATAATTTGCTAAAAAAATCTGCTACCCTTAAAAAAAGAGACACTATATTTTGGGAAAATAAGTGCATCTTAAACTTTGGGAAATAGGGTAATCATTAGTCAAGTTGTATTTAAAGCTCATACATGCTTAAATGTGTTGTAAGATTATTTGTCACCCTGATAGATCAGCGTGTAATAATATGTCCATTATTTCTGTATCAATCACTTGTTTAATGTTTACTTATGGTCACTTTAATTATTTCCTTCTTTACTCCTTGACTAATCAGGTGATGCCTCAAGGACTGTCTCCCATCTCACCACCAGACAGAGGAGTCTATCTTGATGGTCTTCAGCTAAAGAATGCCTCTTGGGACAGCATCAAATCTGTTCTCTCAGAAAATACATTGTGTTCACACAAAGAGCACTTATTTCCTGTCCTATGGGCTAAACCCTGTGTGAAACATGACAGTAACCCAGCATGTGTTGACAGTGTGAAACATGAGCGTTACCTGTGCCCGGCCTACAGTGCCAGAGACTCACAACTACACAACGATCAAAACATTTTTTGGACGATACCTTTAGCCAGTCTAAAATCTCCAACATTCTGGTCCCAAAAGAGAGTGGCTTTTACTTTAAGTGCGGTGAAGCCATAAGAGAGGAGTGGCTGGCTCAGTGGTTAAGAACACTGGGCTCTCATCCAGGTTTCAATCAGCGGTAAGGAGATAGATTTGTATTTGCCGGGAGCAAAAATAAAATCCTAGCCTGCACAGTCCATGGCAGCTGCGCAAGCCAAGCAGCCCTAAATCTTCAGACTCAAGGACCGACCGACCTTCCCCAAGCCTACACAACACTAGAAAGCAGTATGGCTGTAAAGACAGTTTTTTTTTTTCAATCCATTACAAAATAATTTCATGGTAAACCAGGGTCAAGAAAAATCATTCTATACTTTCTTATCTAAAATTGATACCCATAAATTATCTAGGTTGTTAGAATGATTTTGACATCACCAACCATTGAATATTTCATTTGTCTAACATGGGGGTTAGTACCATACTCCAATATGCCAGATAAGGAGTACTTTTTACATGTAATTTTGGTTCAGTCAAATCTGATTTAAAAAATAACCAGTGTTGCTGTTCTTGCGAGATTCACATTCTTCAACGATCAATAATGCAACACTGTGTCTATCTGAAATATGTTCGACCATTATTCTTCATGTTGGACTATTTTATTTTGTGAATCTTAATTTCTTAAATATAATGTATTTGTATGATGCTTTTTAATTATTTTATGTTATTCTGGTTGTACAAAAAGATGTTGTTTTAAAAATACTGATGTATTAATTATAAAGGAGCATCTGACCGAACTGTTAGAAATCTGGGCTCTCAAGCTGGAGTACCGGGTTGAATCATTGGTAAGGCTGGAGATTTATTCTTTCAGGGGTAAAATAACATCCTCAACTGGACAGTCTGTGCGACAGCACAAGCCATGCAACCCTAAATCCTCAGGCTCAAAGGACTCCCCAGCCTACACCGCAAAAGTAGTAGAATAAAGATATATTTATTATGACCAATTATTTCATGTTTCATGTTTCTGATACATGCTTTTCATGTGTGGCTGTCACTAATCAATCATTATCATTTTAAATTGCTGCAACTTGGCTATAAAAGTGTATAAAATACCAAGTAAATTTGTTTTTTTAGTGATGTAATCAGCATGCAGAGTTTGTACACTTTAGTAAACTAAAATGTATATAACTATATTGGCATATGTTGAAAATTACTTTTTAAAATATCTGGTAAGTTTATATTTCAGTGCAGTCATTTGCTGTATGTTTTGTCGTGATTTTGAGATTGTCATATTTAATCGTTGGTTTTTTTTTAATAGTAAAATAACTGTCATATTTCATGTTTTTGTTTTCTAAAAGAAACAAATTTTTCACAGCAACAAACATGGCATTTAAAAACACTGAATTGTACAAATATAAAAATCAAATGATAAAAACAAGCATATGCTCAGATATTTTAATGACTGTTTTACCACTGAACTGTCCATATCTTTTCATATTTAAAAGCATAAAAAAGGGGGTGTTTACAGGTAGGGAGCATCAACTCACTTGCACCCTAGAGTGCAGCCTCTAGATACAAATTTAATCCAATTTCACAACTGAGCTCATATGGGGAATAACCCGAATCCTTTTTTATGGATTTTTACATAATGGCGAGCATGACCTTGCATCCTGAGACTCCAAGTATATGCTTAGTCTCTCATTCACTGAGACTGACATGCAAAGAATGAACTCCTTAGCTCTAGAGCTACCCCCCCCCCCCCCCCTGCTTTTTTTTTCCCCACCTGCAGGTATCTCCTAAACCTGTTTTCCACCCCAGGTATCTCCTAAACATGTTTTCCACCCCCAAGGATCTCCTAAACACGTTTTCCACCCCAGGTATCTCCTAAACACGTTCTCCACCACAGGTATCTCCTAAACATGTTCTCCACCACAGGTATCTCCTAAACTCATTCTCCACCACAGGTATCTCCTAAACACCTTCTCCACCACAGGTATCTCCCAAACACGTTTTCCACCCCAGGTATCTCCTAAACACGTTTTCCACCCCCAGGTATCTCCTAAACATGTTTTCCACCATAGGTATCTCCTAAACACATTTTCCACCCCCAGGTATCTCCTAAACACGTACACAAATGACTACAGCTAAATCCACAATCTATAGAGTTGAAGGCAAACAGTTTGACCGGTTTTTTTTTTTCAGAGTAATGCTCTAAATTAATCATTTCTGTTTGTTCCTTTTTCTTTCTCCAAATCTTTCCACTTTGTTAATTTCATTAACTGCAAACAAATTATATCAGTTGTTGTCTTGTTAGCTGGCCTCAACCTTTTTATGATTTCACCAGAAAACAGCTGACAGAAAACAGTTTTCCCTGTGATATACTTGAAAATATGGATAGTGTAAGAATATGTTACCAGGCCACATATATGTTGCATTGTTTCCTCCTAATATTGTGTACTTTTTATATTCATATTATTTCAGCTATACCCACATAGCAAATTCTATCACTTTCCTTCAATGTTTATGTGCTTGTTTCATTTTCTGTAGGTGTGCATGTCGCATTGCATAATATTTTATCCATTTATTATTACTACACATATAGCAATAGTATAATGATTTAGATATGTATATTGTCAAACACATTTAAAATGTACATTAAGAATATAGATTTTGTTAATGTAGAAATGCAATTGAAGAAAATAATGCTGGTAATATTCCTGTTATATGTTACTGCTGCCTTCCATTCCACTAATAATATCATATTCATTTTAAGCATTATTTGTGATTTTACAGCAGCTTTTTTTTTTACAATGCTGTTTTAAATGATCTGCTTTGTTAACATCATATGATGGTGTCTTGTCATATAACTATATTGAAAACTGAAAAGTGTTTATACCCCATTAAGATGTAGTTACTTTGTTACAGTAACCATAATCATTACTAAGATGTAATTATTTGTCACAGTAACATTAACTGTTACTAAAATGTAGTTATTTTGTCACAGCGACAATAACCATAACTAAGGTGTACTTATTTTTTCACAGTAACATAATAATAACTAAGATGTAATTATTTTGTCACATACTAATTTTCAACAATAACATAACCTTAACTGAGATGTTTATTATTTTGTCAAGTAACATAACCATAACTAAAATGTATTTATTTTGTCAAATTAACATATCCGTAACTTAGATGTAATTATTTTGTCACAGTAACAATCTTTTTGTTAGTTCGAGGGAAATAATGGTATTGTGCCTGTTTACAGCAAAGCTGTGATATTTGTGACCTTCAGCCAACATATCCGACTTCACTGAGTACTTGCTGACCTGAGTAACTTCCTGGATAGTTTTGTGGGACAGGGACATGTCACAACCTATTTGTGTGGTGTTCCCTTTGTCTCCTTATCCACAGGTGTTACCCCTGGAGGCCTGTCCTAATAATAATCCTGATTGCTACATTTCAAGTTTGATCTGTTGAATTAAAAATGAAATCCATTCTTTTTGATTTACTTTGCATGAAAATGTTAGTAACTTAGTTAAATATAAATATTTTTTATACTTGCATAACCAAGTCAGCACTTCACTAGCAACAGTACTCTCTTGGAATGTAAACAAACAAATTATAAAGAGCTTGGAGGAAGTATAGTTATGTTTTCTGAGGTGAATGCTGTGAATACTTTCACCTGCCAGAGCAACTAGCAACAGTCATCTGGAAGATGTTGATGAAAATAGAAGCTTGTGTGCAGCTAGCTATAAGTAAGAGACTGTTAATTGGATATAAAATAAGAACAAAATCTTTGGAAAACACCAGGTTGACTTAATTCCTTCACCCAGGAAACCATCTAACCCAGCACATCTGTTTATTGCCAATTCACAGAGACGCATATTAACCGGTATGGCTGCAACAACTTGTCACTCAAAAGCTTAGCTGATGGCAGCAGTTCTGTGTGCACCAGCATAATGCTTAGGAGGCCTTGGATATGATTATATTACTAAAAGTAGAGGGTTTTCTTGTGGAAAATTAGTTTTTTTTCCAGGGTCTTTATGATGTCATAATTTATCTTCTCTTTAGTAATCACCTAGAATTAGGTCAAGTATGAGTCATCATATAATTTTATTTTTAGGTGAGTGAAATTTATTTAATTCCCCACCCCTTTCATGTTTATTGATTTGTCGCTTAAGTTTTTTTTATTATTATTATTATTAAACAAATAAACAATTCAAGCAATTACTAAATTAACTTAAAATTGATTAGACACCTTGGTAAAAACATTTTGTTTTAAAGATTGTTTTCAGGAATTTTCACAGTGACATCTATTTTCTTTCAAAAGTTGCCATGGTAAAAAGGTTAAAGAATCTTCAGTATAAGAAGCAGAAACAGGCAAAGACTGTTGCTGTATTGGTTAAGATGATGGCATGGAGAAATATCATCAGTAAAATTAATCCTGAACCTCATTTTGGGGAACGAAAGAACAGATTCAGTTTATAGCCGTTAACGCTGAGAAGAAAAAAGTAAGGATCTTGAATGCTAGGGATCATGGAGATATAAGAACGCCTATGCTATGTATCAATACATATTGTGATGATGATGATTAACTGAAACTGTAGCTTCCTCTCTGAAGCGAGGTCATTTCAAAATATTTGTCTTAAAGTATGAAATTTTCTGATAATAAAGTTTTTTAAATTATTTGCTTCAAAGTTGTGCTACTATACTGTATGTTTTAGGCGTAGTGTTGTGTTTTGGAAGGTAAATAAACACATACATATGTATCATTTCTACTTTCTGTTGCTTATACTGACAAATAAACAAAATTTCCTCTCTAGGTTCCCAAACCCCATTTATGAGGGGGAAAAAGAATAACCTCCCTCCTCCCCATACCCCCCCCCCCCCTCCCCCCAACCACCTATCAACAAGCATGTCATAAAATTAGGAGTATTTCCTTCAAAGGTCAAGTGCATCTGCCTGTGAGGCGAGGAACCCTGAGTGTACAAATAGGCCAGATTTGTAAAATGGAATGCACAACCAAATTTAAGTTCTAGAACAAGAACAAAGTCCAGAAGTGGACAAACTAGCAGAATTGT